ACACCTCACATCCTGAGTGGACTGACGAGAAAAAGTCCGAACTTCTTGTTTGCCACCAAAATGGTCCTCCAAAAAAGTATCAAAGTCAATTAAGTCAGGGAGTGAGAAACCCAAACTACCAGCTTTGGATAAGATGAAACGATGCATATTTGGGTGTGGCTGTCAAGAATAGGGCAACCCCAACATGGAGTACCTAGGTAAATTAACACCAACACCTGCGGTCCATATCCTGGTGCCTTCATTTTCACCCCCACTTAGATCGCCTTGGATTGAGCCAAACTTGTGAGAGAGATTCTATGGACCCATTTCTACAATCCCAAAAGGTCCACTAGCAAAAGGTCGTGTGACGTCTGCCACAAAAGCAAAGGTCCAAAAGCACCTCGCGAGGCAACTCCCCGCTCCGACGGGAGAAAAAAGGAGAAAAAATGCCTCAGCTTTTGTCTTCCGCACAAAGTGCAGCTGATGTTGCGTTTTGGTTTTGTGTTTGTTTGTGTCCCAAAAAAGAAAACGGAAGAACAAACACATGCACGCACAGGCAAATGTCAAAAAGAAAGGCCAAAAACGACCATTGTGGGCCCTCAATCATACACTGAGCAACTGCGCTGCTTTTTCGCGGTCTCACCCTCTCTTTGTTGTTCTGCTCCACTCGAGTCACTCGAGGGCCGGGCATCTGCTGAGGAGCTTGCTGCACTGCACGTTCTCCACACGCGCGCCCCTCTTCACGTCCCGGAGGACTCGCAGTGCATCGCCGCGATCTGAACCTCGGCGTGGTTTGTCTGGACGCCGTAAGGGGGCGGTTCCCGCCAAAAGCCCGACACGAATCACCGTGCCTATGAGCACTTAAAACCGCTCCCGAAACGGACAACGGACCAGGGAACGAGGTGTCATGTTATGTTGCTTCTCTGCAGAGTATTGGTTTCCGCCTTGGTGACTTTTCTTTGGCTCGAGTCAGGCAGTCAGAGTTGCAAAGTGGCAAAATCCCTCTCTTATTTGTTGTTCTAGATTGCCTGGAGGGTTGCAAATGCCTAGCAAGCCCAGTTGCAAGGGATCACTAGAAGGCCAGGTGGAGGGTTAAGTGGTTTCCCAGCCGACTCCTCGCAGATTCGGGGGGAGAGCCCTCGCACACCGGTCTTTCCGATTGGCCTTGTCTTTCAGCGCAAAGGCCACTTGACCCCTACACTTCGCAACCTTTGACAAGCTGGCACGAAACTCAATATCTTGTAGCCTCAAGACGAGACTCAAAAAGGAAAGAACCGAAAACGGGGACACCGCCTTGTTGCTTCCAGAGTCTTCGCTTCCATCCGAGCGGCGCATCCCGCGAATTCCGAAGCAAAGGCATCCCCGCGCATTCGCCAAGCCGGCGCGGGTTTCTGGGGCCCGACTTGAGCCAGAGCCGAGTCAACATGGAATCTAAAAACTCGGTTGCAAAATCTGCCCCCCTGCTGAAAGTGACTAACTTTTAGTGGTTTAGTAACAACTTAAAGTCCTAACAGCACTTGGCAAAATGCACCAAAGTACAAAGGGGGTCCCCCAAAAGGAGATTACCTTCAAGATTGTCATGTGCTAGCTTTCTCCATGTTCATCTGCAGGAGTGCAGACTGTTCAGCATGTTATCATGCTTAGGGAAAATCATAGGTGCCAAAGTGTCCAACCCGCAAAGCGTCCAACCCGCAAATGCACAGAGGAAATGGAATCAATGTACTGCATATTTGAGTCATGCGGGCGGAACACCGGCGCTTGCGCGAAAGGGTGCCACTGGGCAACGGGTCATGCTCAGCATCTGGAAGCTCCGATGTTGCGGTCAATTGCGTTTTGAGCCCTCTGGCAAAGGCTGGGTGCATACATGCAAGCTGGCGTGCGAGAAATGCTCAAGGGAGTTTGGCAGAATTCCAACATGGGTAGCTTCTTTCGGGCTTGCCTCAAGCACCCTTAAAAGAGGCGTTGAGGGCGGATTTTTTGGTGGGGAAGCGTTCAAGCCCCGGAAACAGTGCACTCGCCTCGAAGACGCTGTAGAAGTTCCTGCGATTTGCTTTGCTGGGAAGGTCTTTCAAAGTACAGGTGCTTGGATGCTTGCCTCGCCCCCAATGCACAAGGGTGAAAGCAAATGGGCAAGTAAACTTTGCACCCTGACCTGCTTGACTCTGTTCGAGCCTGCCTAAACACCTACTGCTTGCACCTCTGCAGATTGACGTGGAACCCCACTCATTTCTAGGGGAATCCGTATCAGGCAAGAGACGGGTGTGCGTGCTGCTTTTGAGGGCACCCTCTTCAAGGTTGACTTAAAGGGCACCCAAATGAGTCTGCCGCTTTTTGAGGCTACTCCTTTTTGCTTAAGTCTAGAGGAAAACCAAAAGGAAAGTCGCCATCTTGGGGGGTCCGAAATGGTGGACAAGAGCCACTTCGCACCAACTTTGTTCATCCCAACCGGTGCAGGAGAACAGACCCTCTGCAGGATTCAATTCTCGCTTCTACTCGTATCAGTTTTGGAAAGGACAAATGCAGAGGGATGCTTTTATTCAGCCAACCTACGGCCCAGACGGCAGCCTCTTGGGTCCCCCTCCTTCCAACTGGTGGTTAATTGCAATAGGCCCCCCCCCCAAAAAAAGAAGAAAGAAAAGAGAAGAGATAACAGGATTGAAAGGGAAGCCCTCGGGGTAACGTCGGTGTTGCCCACCCAAGGCTCTATGGAACACCCCTATGAATCGACCAGTTCATCCTCGTTTCCCATTGCTGGCTTGTAAATAGAAAAAACTTCGGTGGGTTGGTCTCAAAATAGGACATTCCCGAAATTCATCCTGTCCCTTTAACTTGCCTTTCAACCAACCAACCCAACAATCAGCTTACCTCGGGGTTTCCCATTCACCACTTAAAAGCCACGGGTTCAATCCAAATCAAAACTACCATTCCGAATCACCATCCTGACAGGTTACCTGACAAAAAGGCTCCAAAAAGAAAAGGACGTTCCCGAAATTCATCATTTCCCCGCACCGTCAACCAAAATAAGCTCAGGTGATATCCCCAACAGCACCACACCCATACGGGATATCCTCAACCAAACAGTAAAAAACTCTGAGCCCTCAACCCTTTCTGGGCACCCAAAAAAACCCTCAACCCTCAACCTCTGGGTATTTTCGGATACCCTCAACCAGACTAGGCTGATATCCCAACAGCACCGAATATCCAAAAATCCCTAAGGGCACCAAAAAAAACCTTCTGGGCGCCCAAAAAAACCCTAACAACCCCTGGGTCTCCTCAACCGAGAAAACAAAAAACAAAAACTCGCTCTGTCGGCGTCTGTCAGTCGGTGTCGTCTGTCAGTCGAGAGATATCTTTTGGGGCCGCGGCTCCGATCCGCCCAGCGCCACCAGGCAGTAGGCGTTGGTGAGCCGGGAGAAGACGCCCACCTGACACTGGGGGGGGGGGGGGCCAGGGGGGAGGGAGGGGAGGGGAGGGGGGCTGGGACCTGGGGGGGGGGGAAGTGGCCAGGTTTTAGGCCCAAAACAAACAAACAAAAAAGGGTGCACAGGGGGTTCAAGGACTGTTGTGCCCGGGTTTGTCGTTGAACCCCGAATAGCTCCAGCGCCTTATAGATACAAAGTCGAAAGCGGTACACAACCAAGCCGCCCTCAAACCACACAAATGGCAGGTGGATGTCCAAGCAGCAGGTAGAATGTTGAAAATACATACCTGCATGCATATGTGTATGTATGTGTGCAGCAGGGGCAGATGTATATAGAAGTGTATATGTGTTCTATATATTTATATGCAAATGAGTGTGCTTGTGGATTCCACGGATTTGCGGATGCCTGGATTTGCTGGTATGGTGTTGGGTAAAAATGTATGGGCAACCTGTGTTGTATTCATGTACGATCAAGAATCCAAAGGAGGACCAAACATGTCCAACGTTTAAGCAGAATGATAACAACATGTCTGCATATGTAGTGCCAGAGAGGCACATGTAGCAATACACGTCTAGGCACACAAACGAATGAGTAAGCGCGTTGTTTACATAAAAGCAAAGGGCCAAAAAAAAAAGAAAGAAAGAAAGAAAGAAAGAAAGAAAGAAAGGAGGCACACCGGCGCCTCGTTGCTGTTTTCGAAGGCGGCGCGTACCGCCATGGACCGAAGGGTGCTTGCACCTGGCGTTTTTGGGGACCACTGGCTGGGGCACAACCAGAAACTGGCCTTATTGTTTACCATGATCAAAGTCACCCCCTAAGTGATGGGTCAAAGGGAAACAACCAAAAACACTAGAAAACCACTGGAAACACCAGAAAACAACTTGGTTAAAGGGAAACAACCCCATTTTCTGTCTTTGAAAGCCACTAGAAACAAGCAAAAGAATGACCCCACAGAAAGCAGCAAAGCTCAGCACGATCGCAACCTCTGAAAAGACCACCCTGCCGGGCTGTTTGACACGATCGAACCCTCTCGGACTCAAATTCAGAGGCGCCTCAGCGCCTTTGCTGATAGAAACTGCGGCTGGGTCTACACTTCACTGAGCCGAAGGGTAAGGCGAAGGGCCTTTCTGCTCGGGGCCTCTTCATGAAGAGTCACAATTCCAAGGGTTGATCTCTTTCCCAACTTTTTCAACCCTCCTTCTGTTCAAACTCCCGATCCGTTTCCGGCGGTGATATTCTACAAAGAAGGATCTCCGGGAAGAAGAATCCCTGGTTGGAGAATGGCAACGTTAGCCATAGAATCATCAGCCCAGGTTCTGCTCAAACCTCCCATGGTAAAGACTTGGCAACTAGTCTGGTCCATTGCTGCTCACCTGCTTGAACTCTCGCCTTCCGTGCTCAAACTGCTGGGCCTAGTGGCGTCAAGCACATGACGATCCTGCATTGCACCAAAATGAGGGTCACATGCCCGGAGGGGCTTGCGATGCCAAAGGTTGATCCTTCTTGGTAAAGCCAAATCAAGTGAGTTTGCTTTTGGCGTTTGGTGATGTTTGCAAGTTGGAAAGATAGAGAACCCACGACCATTAAACCACGGGATTCCCCGTTCTGTTCGCCCGTCGGTCCGTTCGCACCCCGTCCCCCCCCCTCATTTTCCTTGCTTTAGGCATTCCTCTGAAGACACTGATCCCTGGAAAGCAGGAGGAAGTACAGCTAGATCTGCCGACATGGGAACCCAACCCCCTCTTTCCCCTGACCTTCCCTTGATAAGGCCAGAGTCTAATTTGGAGCAAATCAGGCGGTTAGGTTGGTGTCGTGTGAAGGTTGGGCGAAACAACCCTGGGTGTTGGCACGTTCCCCGTGGCTGAAACCACCGGAGAGCGCCCCTGTGAATGCCAGGCCCGATTTTGGGAACAAAAAACTTGGGGCATGGAGGTCACGGGCCAACCCCTTCGAACAGCTCCTCTTGACCTCCCTTGACAAAAGCAAGTTGTTGCGAGTTGCAAGGGGACATCAAGAAACCCGGAAGTGCAAAAGTGTAAAAGGCAAAACAAGGGCTTTCAAGGCAAGTTAAGGGTTGAGTCCGGCGACGCGATGTGATTGAAGCCATATTCAATGCCGCTTGCGCTCACTCTAGCTCCTTTTCGGCTGGCCGGCCACCTGTCCGGCCACCGCACTCACACTCACCTCGGGGGGAAAAGGTGAGGCACTGCCAGCAACGTGCTGTCCTAGCATTTTCAAAAGGCTGCCCGGGCCCTCCCAAGACATGGGGATGGGGATAAGGGGGCCATTCTGTGGATGGACGAACTCCATTTCGCGCCACTGTTAAACCGTCGGAAACCATTCTTCGTTGGTATTTACAGGGGAATCATCATTCCGAGGACTCCTTAGGTGGTGCAGGATTTTGTCCATCCACAGCAGTTTCTTAAACAGTCTCCACCCCCAACTTGTGGGAGCAATGTATGGAGGTGGCGCAATCTTCTAGTGAGGTCGGGGGGCTTAACCCACATTTATTCCAGGGAGTGCTCAAGTCTAAGTCAGCGGACTTGGTCCCTTGGTAGCTTCAGTCAAGGGATTCTGGGCTCACGAAAAATGAACTGGGTCACTGGTTCTACTGTTCGGGCAACTGGCCAACTGGGGATTGTTTGAACAAAACTATCCAACCTTGACACCAGCTTGATGACATTCTCAACATGTTTCTCTGGATCATGGTTGACTGGGAAACCACCGGGAGCCTAACTCGTAATGTGAGAAACCCCTCAAAACCTTGGCCCCAATGTTCATTTGGCTGTGGCTGAAAAAACGGTATGGAAACCTGGCAAGTGGAAACCTGGACCAAAACCTGCGATCTGCACCTGCTGTTTAATCTTGACCCACAGATGGTTCACTTGGAAACCACCGAGAGCCAAACCCAATTTCCAGTAGCCCCTTCAAACCTTGGCCCCAACTTTCATTTGGGTGTGGGTCAAAATTAAGTCACTGGGGGACCGCAGGTTTTAGAAACCATGTTTCCATTTACCAGGGCAAGCCACTTTGGGTACCCATTGTTAACCCAATTTTCAGTTGGAGCCACCTCTTCCAACCCAAATCGACGCCCCAGAGACCGGCCGCGCCCAAGAGCTATGGCCCCCGCGGCTCGGAGACGCAGCGGCGCGCGGCGTCTCCCGCGGTGAGCTGGGGACAGAAGACCTGCGACCCGCGAACCCGCCACCAAAGCCCCCCGCCCGGTGCGGGTGGAAACAGCGGGCACCGGCCCAAAGAAAGTGGACATGGGATGACCATTGCATTTGGGAAAACCACAAAAATACGGAGATTGGATATTTCAACTCACGTAGGAAAAGCTCCCCGTCATTTGGGGGCCAGGAATATTGATCAACCCCCAAATTGTCTCTCCCAAAACATATCGGCCCAACACGGGTTGCTTCCAGCGAACTTCCCCCAAATAACAAGCTTCGAAAAAAGAGCGGGCCCCCTTTTCCACGGACTTGGCCCCAGAAGCCAACGGTACAGGTCTCCAAGTCTTCTCTATGTTTCCCCCCAGACCCAAAGCAAGCGAGCGATGGTTCAGAATTCAGCTCTTTGAAGGGCAAGGGAACTGGTCCAGCCCAGGGAATCCGACGCCCAACACCGAGTAACCTGGGGGCGTTTCCCCCCCAAAAAAAGGCCAGGGGTCGACACTGCTGGCCAATTCCTTCATTCCCTCGGTGCCTGTCCCTCCCCACACTCCCCCCCTAAAACATCACCCAGGAGGAAGCTCATCTACAAGTGGCCCAAAAAGATTGTCTAAACCGGCCAAAAAGGGAAACATAGGTGCCGGTGCACCTGCCTCCTCCGAAACCTTGGACTGCAGGCCCAAATGCTTCCTCGCGCGAGCCCGGGCAGGCGCGCTGGGCTGTCCATCCGGGTGTCCAACTTTGCTTGCTGGTGCGAGAGACGCAGGGAATGAGAAATGGAATGACCCTTATCAGCCATCCAACTTGTGAGTTCCTTTTGTGGGTTCCTTTCAGGTGACCTCTGGGGAACTCATTCCCACCTTCCAGAGCCACATTCCCTACTGAGCGCACATGCCAAACCGCAATTACCCGTTCTGATGACCTGGCAGCAACCGAAACCTGAAAAATCCGCAAGCAACATGGCGTTCAAAAAGAAGCCAACAAAAATCGGTCAACTCTGGTGACACCATGCACCTGGTTTCTTTTGTATAGCTGGTTAGTCGCTACCCATTTTTGGGAGTCCAAGTCGCGGTCTCACCGCCCCCGATCCGATCCGACCCGAGATCCGCTCCGCACCTCTGGCGGCGCACCGCGCCGGAGAAGGCCGAACCCGTGGAGCCCACAAAGTACCTGAGAGAAAAATCGCCAGCGCGAGCGGGTGGTCAAAACAGCACCAAAAAAAAAATACTCTCTCCACCGAAGCGGTATGGCCTGGCTCTTTTGCAAAAACGGGGACTGACTATGTGGTGCTTCTTTCTTGGAAAGCACCCCCAAACCGAAAAATGAGAGTAGACACGAAACGACAAAGACTTGCCAAGCAAAGGGGTTGTGCACAGACCCCCTGAAGACTAGTTTCCTTGCAAGGTCCCATGCACTTCCACGTTTGGAGAGCGGGTGCGCCTCACGGGTAGTCCCCTTTAGTGGCTCATGCTCCATTTGTTGTGCAGCCACAAGGGTCTGATGCGCCAAGTCAAGAGTGTTTGAAACATCGCCGGAAAGAACCCCCTCCAAGGTCTCTACGAGAAATGATGGGTTCATGTTCAAAACAAGCAATCATATGATCAACCGGCATCAACCTGCGCCTAATGAAAGCTACAAATCACCCCTGGATCTTGAAAACTGGCTTGGGGCGCCAAAGCAAGGCTTGCCCAATTCGGCATTCCACCTGCACGATGTGAAGTGATATGCGCTTACAAGGACCCCGAAAAGTCACCTGCGCCGCGAAAACTGGAGATGGTGTGCGTGTTTCTTGTAGAATCCGCAAAAAGATATGGCAAAAGGTGACCTGCACTTGACTCAGGGGCTGTTGTCCTGCACCCTGTCTTAGCTGCCCATCAAGCAGGAAAAAGACTGTCCGACCAAGGCCAGGGTGTCGATATGTCCCTCAAAAGGTGGGCGTACAGACTGGTCAACTGCCCGGAGGTTGGTCATAGGTGTCCCCGAATTTTCCGGGCAACTCCAATTCCTTTTGGTCATTCTTGTACCCGTTTTTCGGGTAACTCCAATGGGATTCCAATGGCGTTCCACAGCTCCAGTGGGATTCCAGTGAAAGCCACCATTGGAATTGGAGTTACCCTAAAAATCGGGTACAAATATGGCCATGGGTCAACAGCCAAATCGGTTAGCCCCCAGTGAACATCCCAATCCAACCACTAAAATAGGTTCTAGAATGGGTGGTGAATTCACCTACCACAAAATGGGATCCCAAAACGGTTTTGACCCACGGCCATATGACCCAATCTCCGGTTCCAGGGCTTTCTGTGGGCGCCCTGTGGCCTTCGGCTCATGGGGCTCCCCGCTCCGCTTCGCCCAGCAGCAGCAGCTCCGCCAGCTGCCGGGGGCCCTCGTCCAGCCTCGCAAAGTGGGGCTCGGGATCGAAGCAAGAGCCACAGGTGCCGGGAAATGGCCGTGGGCTTTTCAAAATCCAAAGCCCGTAGCCCCAGCGAACATCAAAAAATCCCCACGAAAATAGACTAAACTGGGTGGTGCACCTACCCCAAATGGGATCTCATTGGTTTTGACCCAGAGCCAAATGGTCTACCCAGAACCATGCTTCAAGAATTAAGAAGGCGGAAAACCACAGCTCTGTATGGCTGGGATTGGCCCGTACTAAGCGGAGAGGAGGGAGGGAGGGAGGGAGGGAGGGAGGGAGGGAGGGAGGGAGGGGAGGGGAGGGAGGGAGGGAGGGAGGGAGGGGGAGGGAGGGGGAGGGAGGGAGGGAGGGGGAGGGAGGGGGAGGGGGGAGGGAGGGCGGGAGGGAGGGAGGGAGGGAGGGAGGGAGGGAGGGAGGGACCTCTGGTGAATCTGTTTTTGGAGTTGGGACCCTTTCTGAGGTTGGTCCAAAGGGAAACCAAAAGGAAACTTCTGATTTTGTGGGGGGTTCCAAATCCCCTGGGTGCCCCCTTCAAGGGTTTCCCTTTGAAACCAAACCTCCTTTCGGTGTGGCTTTTCCCGCCGTGGCTTGTGCAAAAAGCGAGTCGGCAAGAAGCGAATGAAGGACCCTGGTTCCTGGAAAAGGGAGTTTCAACAGGTTGCTTAAACAGCGTGACTGAAACCATGTTAAACCCATGGTTCAAACCACCAAGCTGATTTCCCGAACGGATTCGGGTTCATCAGGCGATTCGTCAGTTTGGGTCGAGACCCAAGGGGGCCAATGAAATGTTGCCCCGCCTCGGCGGGCAAATCTAACCACGCCCCTTTAAGCATTCGGCAAAAAAAAATGACAAAGATGCGACTTGGGCCTTTTTGTTGTGTTTGCTTTTTGAGGGTTCCTTTTCAGCTTGGCTTGAAAACAAGCCAACCGAAAACGACCATTTTGGAGGTGTCCCTCTTCTCAAACTCTGAGGCAAAAGCTGCATGCTGTCCTTAATCTTCACATGGGCAGGGCCGAACTTCTCTCACGCTCAGAGTTGTTTGGCTCGAGCCGCTCAGGCTCAACTGGGGCCTCTGGCTTGTCAGCGCCATCATCCGGAGAGAAGAAGTACAGGGCCTGACCATAGGTGACCTTGTGGAAAAACAGATGGGTTTCCCTGATGAATGGAATACGGATCGAAACCAGTGCCACCCATCTACTTCTAAAAAGGTGCCACCTATGGGGCCTGTGGAAAAATAGCTTGGTTTCCCTGATGGAATGATCTAAACCCGAACCCGAATCCTTTTCTAACCAAACTTGCCGATCAAAAGGACACCAGGGCTGACAGCCAGAGGCAAGTGAAGTGGCTCCAAACGTCAGGGGAATGACATCAAACCCGCAGGCCAAACAATCTCCATGGAAGTCATTTGGGCATTCCGCGGGGTGCCCACAGGGGTGGTGTCTAGATGTAGGTCAACCTTTGATCCAAAGCCCAGCAGTCAACAAGGTGTTCCCCAAGAAGAACACGTCGATAAACGTATGAATACGGAATGAACTTGACTTGCTTGAATTTTAGGTAGATATCATTTCGCTGGGGAATGTAAGCGCCAACCACAAGTGGGTTCCAACCCTTTTTTGAACCAACCAATCACGACGCCCTCGTACATTGATGTGTTGTACGAAAACCACCGCATGATGTGGGGTCTATATCCCGCTTTGAAACACGAAAACACATCTCCGCACCAACTGCCACAGTTCAGCAAGCAGACTTCAGGATTCCCAAACAAAACCCGCATCATGGGCTGAATCCCTCGTGCTATCCCCAGATCGCTATGGTAACCCCCGCACAGCCTCAGCTTTCCCCCCAGTCATCTCCACACCCGGTGAAGGCCAAGTCATTTGCGGCATTTTGGAGTGACCCTTTGACCACCCCAAGCTCAACCAAACATGACATGTTTGGCTCTGATCCATATTCAGTGCACAGGCCTCATGTTTTACCAAAGTCGCTCATGTCGCCGAAAGGGACGTCACCCCAGCACCCCATCTCACTTTGATACAGAAACCGTCCTCCTTCACAAGGGACCGCAGCTCCACACGGAAGCCTGGCGAGCGAGGCAGCCAGGAAAGGTGTGTACTTTTTCCAGGGAAACCCGGTTGGGTTGGTTTTGAGGGGGAGCCAAAGGGGAAAAAGACCATTCTGTGGGTTCCCGAATTTTAGACAAACCCATGTGGGTGTGGCTTATTGTTGTGGAGGCTCGGAACCCCGTTCGCCCTTCATGTGGTTTAGGCATCCCTTTTTGGAGTTGGTACCATTTTGACGTTGGTTCAAAGGGAAAGCAAATGCGGTCCAAATCCCAATTTTGGCGAGCCATACCCATGTGTGTCCGGCTCAGGTTGCCGGCTTGCCACTCAAAGGGGAAGGGGTGTCACAAGGCAACCTCCCGTTCTCAAGATGGAAAGGTCACCCCGGCGAGCTGCTTATTGAGTACTCCGTGCCTTGAAAAAATTATCCTGAGTCATGGACACTATTGGTCTGGGCTTGGTTTGGGCATGCGGAGCATCACGAAACGCCTAGTCGAAGCACCGAGATAGATTGTCAGTTGCCCATGTGGACGCTGCCCCGTTCAGGCAGAAAGCAAACGCATGGCAAGAGCTTCATATGCTGTTATCTGCAAAGTTTACATTCCAAAGCCTGAAACAAGGAATACCCAAATAACAACCCTACGTCATGGTGAGGTCGTTTTGCCCGCAGGCGATTTCTTTTGCGCTCTTGCTGGCTCATTGGCATCACCACGTGGGTCCATGTGGCAGGTTCGATCGTTTTCCAGTTGCCGGTGAGGAGACCACTCGATTGTCCCATGCCCGTTTGGTTGATTTTCTCTGTCGCTTATGCATTTGTAGGAAGCTCCATGTGCGCGGTAATAATAACAAGTAAGAATACGAATGATGATGATAATAATAATACTAATAATAATAATAATAATAATAATAATAATAATAGGTTCCGCGATGGTTTCGGACCCGCGTGAGCCTAATAATAATAATAATAATAATAATAATAATAATAAATTAATAATAATAATAATGATCATGATGATGATGATGATGATGATGATGATGATGATGATGATGATGATGATGATGATAATAATAATAATAATAATAATAATAATAATAATAATAAGTATGACTAATCATAATGATAATGATAATAATAATAATGATAGTAATAGTAATAATAAGAATAATCCATCATTAGAACCCTGCTGAGCCCGGCGGAAAAACGGGTTCGGCGTCTCAACGATTTTGGGTTCAACATATTTGAAATGGGGGCTGAGCGAACTGCAGTTTGGTCTGGCTGCCTCATGTTCAGGACAGACCGTCATGGATGGACGAACTCCTTCCGTACAACCCATACAGCACACGCACGAACACATGCGCACAAACACAAAAGAACACAAAGGGTCCCCCAATCTTTGCCCAAAAGAGAATCAGGTTGCGCTGTTCCAAGCCTGCACAGAAGAAGGCATTCCATTCATGATTCTTCCACTTGCCACGGAAGAGGTGTTATTTTCCCATGTCGGTTTTATGAGATGGTCATGCAAAGAATGCTCTTCTTCTTACTTGAGTAAACACCCCCCCCCCCACTGCTCCCCTGCTCCCCGGCAACCTGGACTCAGTGCGAGTCTAAAGGGTTTCCTGAACGCTCAAAATCCACGCGCCCCCGCCTTCCTGCGCATCACTCGCGACGAAGACCTGCTCCAGTTTCCGCCTGTGACAATCAACACATTGACATGGGGTTAAGTCAAAGTGATCTACGAGAAAAGTAAAAGCAAAAGGAAAAAAGTTAAAGGCCGGATATACGCACAGATGTACGGCTGGGACTGTCTCCAAATTTCATCGACTCGAGTTTTGAGTGCGGCTTGCTGGGTGAGATGAGTTGCGGCTCGGTGGCTTGCTGTGCGGCTTTCGGGGCTGCGAATCCTCCCACCCAAAGAGGCCATGCCCGTTCGAAGCAGATAAGGTCGACCCGCCAAAGAAGGGGTCTCCGAAACACCGCAGGTGGATCATGGCGTTGATGGCCGTGGTGCCTGGTTTAATGCGGGCACCATCTGTGTTGGATGCTGGGGGGGAAAGAGGCGAATACAAAAACAGGGTAGATGGGTATCATGTTTTGCTGTAAGGAAACTAGAAGGACACCGAAGCCATTGTGCGGGTCCCAAAAAGACCTATGGCCATGTTTTTTTTTCGGGAACCACCTCAAAAGTGATTGGTGGACATGAATCCCCACCGAATTTGGATGTCCACCAAAGGGTCCCGTATGAAAATTCATAGCCATATCCAGGCTGGCTCCCTTCTTCAGCTCGGAGCCTTAGGCGGACGAACTCCGGGGCGCGGGCTTCTTGAGCAGCCGGTTGATGCGCGCAGCTGCGGCTGCAGCGCTGGGCGTGGTGTCCTGACAAAAGTTGTGGGTCGCGTTTTGGGCCGCTCTAAACCAAAACCCTCAAGCATAGGTGTCCTTTTAGGGGAAATAGATGGCCAAAAGTTATGAATCCCTACTAAAAGGGGACACCCCCCTATTAATCAACCAAGGGATTGTTACTCTGGAGTTAACGTTAGGGAAATAGATAAGCTTCCCTGGTAGATGATGAAACCATCAGGTAAACCAAGGAATCGCCGTCTATCTTTCTAGCGAAACAACCAAAAGGACACCTATGCCCTCAAGGGATACCACCAAAACTCCCCTTGTTCCGGCACAAACCCCCTGAAGAACCTGACAAAGGTGGTGTTTGATTTGACCCATGCGCATCCTACCCTTTTTTTGCGTTTTATGGGGAACCCGACTGCCTCAGCCTTGTTGTTCCCAGGTTTTAAGGTTCTGGTCAAGACTTGGATAAGACGTTGAAGCACTCCCTTTCTTTGGGCACCTGCGCTGTCCGTTGTCAGATCCCCCGCTAAAAGCTTAACTCTTGGCGGGTGAAATGGGGAACCCCCCCACTAAACCAGCTAAAAAGCTAAAAAACACCTTGAACCGACTGGCTGGTTGAACCACCAAGCCAATTGGCTGTGGGTCAAAACCAATGGTACCATTTTGGTTGGTAGGTGAATTCACCACCCATTTTAGGCTTCCTACTTTAGTGGGGATTGAATCGGATGTTCTCTGGGGACTAACCGATTTGGCTTGTGACCCATGGCCAATTCGCACAGCTTCTCCCCCCCCCCGCCCCCCGCCGCTGATCTTTCGCTTTCGCTTCCGCTCGCTCGGTTTTGCGGCGCGTCGAACTTCAGCTCCGGGACTTCGTCCACGGAGGAGCTGGCCCCGCAGCTCTGGTTCAAAGCCGGGGCCAGCTCCGCGTAGCCTGGCGCTGCCAAGATCCAAGATCCAAAACCAAGGCGAAACCGAACGTGGTTTCAAAACCCATCAAGACCTAGGTGCAACAACCTAGGTCCAACCATGTTGGGGGGGGGGGGGTTCTATTGCTGTCATTGCCGAATAAGTTTGCAAGATCCAAGCCGAAGGCGTCGGTTTTGGAAACCCAGTAACTGGGAGATATGGCCCCTGAAAACGGCGAGAGGGAGGCCCTTTTTTTCCCCCTTCTGCGTAGAGAGCTGTGGAGTCGCCTTCCTTTCGGCATCCTTTTGAAAGGATTGAACGCCTATTGCATGAACACGATGTTTGATTCTGGCCCGTCAGTGAACCTTAAAATGTCAGATACCCTGCCACCAATTAACATGGAACCTGGCGTTTTGGCGGGGATTCTGGAAGACAATGTTCCGTTTGAAGGGACCCCTTGTCAGGTTCCAATGTCATTGGTGAAATTCAATGACGATCTCAGAATGTTGGACCAAATAGCGTTGGTTCTTGTGAGCAGGGAACAAACCACCCTTAGTAACATGCCAAATCATTTCAAAAGCGGATCCAAGCTGACCAAACCTCGTTGGCGTTTGGCTCCACCACGCTGGTTGTAAAGGTTCATATGGATTTCTACACCCCCATATGAATCTCTTTGCGACCACCACTTCCACCTTGGCTGAATGGAAAACCTTAAAGGAAACCGCCTTCTTTAGGGTCCCCTATTTTGACACACGGGGGTTTCTCAAAATGGTCCCAAAACACGGCGGCCTTTCTAGCAAAAAAAGAAGGAGGGGGGGTTCTCTTCACAACCACCCAAACAGGGTATATACCCTTAGAGAAAGACATCCTTTCAGAAACACCCTTTTGTAGTTTAGAGCGGGAACAATGAGAGGTATGCCCCCCCAGGGTTCCCCAAAAAGAAGACAAACCCACACCTTTATATATATATATATGTATATAGGGTGTATATATATATATATATATGTATACATATGTGTATATATAGTTATACAGCTATACATATATGTATGTATATATATATATATATATGTATATATATATATACACGTCCCGCCCTTCTGCCAGGCGGCCACACTTCTTGGCCTCCGCGGCATGGCCCAGGTTGGAGCTGCCCAGCGGCAGGGCCCGCATCTGCAGCACGCAGAGCGGCACGCGCTTCCGCAGCAGGCCCTCGCGGAGCTTCGGGGCGCACGAAGCTCACCGTGTTCTCAGGACAAGAAGCAAGCGATTGAGTAGGAACCGTTCTCATTTTTGTTTGCTTCTGCTCATTTGGTTTTTTTGCTCATTTGGCTCACTGCTCATTTGGCTCACTGCTCATTTGGCTCGCTGCTCATTTTGCTCACTGCTCATTTTGCTTCTGAGCTTTCTTTCTGGTGCGATAGCTAGGGAATGACCGAGACTGGGTTTGAGAATGATTCTCTCATTCCCTGAGAACCGGCAAGTTTTAGAAGGCACCTTATAGGGACGTGTTTCAACCGAAACTTACAGCCTCAAATGGGGGTCTCAGTTGAAAGGGGGGAACAGAAGGACACCAGCCAATTAAAGAAGGGCCCTCGCAACCCGGTTTTTGAGGCTTGTTATCTTTCGCGTGGCACGAAAGAATGTGACAATTGACGCATTGGTGGATGTTCTTACAACTTTCTTCAACCGCAACTGGAAAGGCCCTGGGTCGCAGCTAAAAGGGGGACCATTGGAAGACACAGCTTGTTTCCAGAGAGTGTAGGAAACATCCGCGAAGAGGGCAAGCAACACGTTAACATCAATGCTCCATTTGGATGATCCGGGAATTGGTTGATATTACCCCCCTCGCAAGACCTAAGGCTTAACAATGCAAACGAACCATATTTTTGGGAAATGGATGGCCGGCACCACGAGCCAGCACTGCCAAGTCCAAGGAGTCCCTGAAGCGCGCACCCGCTCAAAACTCCTACTGTGCTTGACACTGCTCAAACTAGACTTTCTAATGGCAACCACCTGGCTTGGTCACGGGAAGCTCAAGATGGCTGCTGAAAGTCCAAAAAGGCTATGGAGAGTAAAAACGAGGCATGTGCTTTGACAAAACAACAAACGCTTCAACACGTGCCAACTCAACCATTCATAGGACTTATGCTTGTCCCTCTTGAAGACGACATCAGCCTAGCAAATGGATTTAAATGCTTCGATGTGCTCCAACAAGCACTTTAAGCAAACATAATCATGCCATGTTCAAAGGGGGTGGGGTTGGACAGGGTGCTATGTGGGCGTTCAACGCACATCGTAGGTCCGCATAAGGTTTACAAGAGAATGATTGGTTCAAACATGCTGTAAGTTGTTGTACGCGACCGAACCAAGCCAAGAGGGAATTTGGGCAAGGGCAGGTTACGACCCTAAACATTGAAGGCCTTGCTGGGTTCCATGTTCGTCTGCAGGAGAGTACTCATCTGACCGCGTCACACTTCGGTGTTGTGCTTTGCATGTGGGTGAAAAACTGGCGGGGGTTGCACAAGCACAACGCAGGGTCCTCCTTAAACACAAGGGCATCAATTAGAAGGCGTGTTGGATCCCTCGGGGGAACCAGAAGGAAAGTTACCTGTTTTGTGGGTATTCTACTTTAGGATGTCAAGTCCACACCAATGATCGGAGAAAAAGCGGAATAAGGAGTTAGAAGAAAGGAATATAATTGGGAGTGTCCCACCACTCCACTTTCCCAGTTTGCTTTGACTTGCTGACTTGCCCCCCCGAACCTGGGGAGCACTGAAAGTGGGTTCAACAGTCAGTCTTAAACACGTACGAACCTGCCAAACCACAAATGGGTAAAACACAACAAAAACGACAGGGGTCACAAGGACGGAGTATGTGAGCAAATCATCAACTGGCTGGTGCTCAGTAGGGAATGAGGGAATGAAACCAGCGGTCCCCTTAAAGGACACCACAAGGGATGGTTAAGGGTCATTCTCTCATTCCCTGCTGAGCACCAGCAAGTCAACTAGTTAAGAGCAACATCCTTCCTCCAGAACTCAGTGTCAGAATCGTGCGTCCAGCTCGCCTTCAGCCTTCGACTTCAAGCTCACGAGTGGACTGCACAAAGTTGGCTTTTTTTGCCGGTGAAGCGCAAAAAAGGAGGACACTTCAAACGGACTCAGGAAAAAAATCGTGAGGCAAAAACGCCCGGCAGTGCCAAATTTTGGTATGTGCCAATAGATTCCCAAAAGTGTTGTTCCCTTTGGTCTCTCTCTCTAAACCAACCCCAGTTAGCGCTCCACCGAAGCGGCCGAGGCGATGTCCGATTCGATGGCCTCTGTGAGGCTTGTCTCCGCCATGGGTGCCATACGCCAGGGCACTCCACTCGAGTTGCCTCACAGCCGGGCTGGGAGGGAGGGAGAGAGAGCGCAGCTCAAGCCACCCGTTGTTGCTTTGTCTTTTGAATTAAAAACGACAAAAAGTGTGTCCTCTCTTGCTTTTGTTGTTGTTGCTGTTGTTGTTGTTGTTGTTGTTGTTGTTGTTGTTGTTGTTGTTGTTTAATGAAAAACAAAAAGTGTGTCCTCTCTTTCCCCCTCCCCACGTCCCCCCCGTGCCGCAACACTTCGAGTCGTTTCTGCGGACTCCTTCCTAAAAACTTAGTAGCCTTGGCCAAAACAAAAAACATAAGTCTGAAGGTTGCAAAATCGTCTCTATGCGTCCCCTGAGGAAAAAAACAGCTGTGGGCACGCATGTAACACCCCAGGTGTCAGGAAACCCCATCCCGGAGAACGCCATTATTTCGCCATCTTCTCTCCCTTTCAACAACCCATTAAATGGGCGCCGAGCCTCAAAGAGGACACACACCCAAATGGGCTTGTCTCAAAGGCGAACCCCAGAATGGGGCGTTCCCTTTTGGTTCCGTTCAAAATCATCCAAAAAGGGCACCGAGCCTCAAAAATCAAAACAGAGACAACTGAAACTCCACCACACCAACCATCTTTGGGTGATCTTGCTTTGGATCTCCCTTTCGACCTCCAAAAAACCAACACACACACAACTGGATGCAACCCCTGCCATTTAGTTCCCTTTAAAACCTTGGGGTTGCTTCCTTTCGGCTCCCTCTAGAGAAAAAAACACTGGCTCCTGTTGGTTCACACGCACACAAAGCCCAACTGGCGTCTTGGAAACCTTCGGGTTTCCCTTTTAATAATAATCACAATAGTAACATCAATAATAATACTGATAATACTAATAATAAATCAATAAATAATCAACCAAAAACAAAAAAAAACGGACTCCGCCCGAACCCCCCAAACCGAACCCGCCGGCCCGCCTTTCCCCAGCCACAGCCGCAGGAACGGCTCCCGCGCGCCCAGCGCCAGCTGGTCGTCCGCCACGAAGGCGGCATCGGCGCTCGAGTCCTTCGCGGCGTCGGGGAGGACCCCCCGGGCGCAGCAGGAGCCGCCGCAGTAGCAGTACCTACGCTCCCGGCAAAGGAGAGGGGGTGGGGGGATCTTCTCCTTTTTTGCTCGGCTCGTTTTTTGTTTGGTTTTTAAGGTGTAAGGGGGGGATCTTCTCGGTTTTTTGTTTTGACTTTTTTTTCCTGGGCGGCTCGTTTTTTTGTTTTTGAGGTGGATCTGACAAAAGGGTTGCAGTGGATTTTCAGCACCTCGAAGGATTTCCCCCGCAAAATGGGATTACAGCCGAATAAATCACTGAACATTCACCACATTTTAGCAAATTTTCGGTTGTTGCTTTTTCTGGGCAGCTCGTTTTTTGGTTTTTTAAGGTGTAAGCACTTTTTCCTGCACGCTGGGATTACAGAGGGAAATCACAAGTTGTTAACCCAAATAAACCCAAATAAGCCAATTCGCCCCAGAAAATCACCAAAAAGTTTTAAAACCTACGCTCCGGGGGAGAGCCTGGGGATTTTCGTTGTTTTCTGGGCGGCCCGTCCTTTGTTTAAGGTGGATCTGACAAATGGTTGCAGTGGTTTTTAACCCCTCTACGGAGTTTCTTGGAAAATGGGATTACACCTAGGGCAATCAACTCGAAAGTTTATCCTGAAACCCAAACAACTCTGGATTGCATCGGGAAATTGGCTAAAGTAGGGCGATTCCCCAGGGTGTAATCCCAGGGTGTGATAGGAAAACCGGTAGAACCTCGGGCTCGGGGTCTTTGGTGTTTCGTGGCCCGTCATTTTAAGTTGGGCCCCAAAAATGGCGGGGTTTACTTCTAGCTTCTCTTCAAAAAGCCACAAAAAAGGGGCACCCTCAAAAAGACATACCCATATGGGTGTGAATTTAGTTGTGAACCCTTCGGTTGACAGAAAACTCATGATTCAAACCAGTGTCTGGAAATCAGCGCCTAAGATTGGAACGCCCTAAACCAGGTTTTCCGGGCCTTTGGGTGTGAAGGTTCATGGGTCCCTAGGACCCTAGCTTGGGCCTAAGGTTGAAACGCCCTTAGGAAGATTCCTAATATGTCCCTCGCTCTTTTTGTTGGGGGGGAGACATCACATGTTGCGCAAATGATGGCTAATTTGTAGTGAGGGTCTTTTGGGGATGTTTGAAGGGGAAGGAAACCAACAAACAGTCCAACAATCATCAGTACTCTCCTGCAGATTTCTTATAACCCAAAAAGTGACTTCCCAGAATTCACGGCCCATTAGCCAATGAACCGGGGGTCAGGAGTTCACATGGTATGATTCTTTATTGAGGACCCTTTGGACAAGAAATCTGGTGTTCCAGATGGTTGCAACTCTGAAAGCCCTAGCCACGTATGCATTCCACTTCAGTGGTTGGTTGCATTGGCTATGTCTTGTTTTATGGGGCCCCTCCACACTGCTGGGTGTTTTGTTTTGGTTTTCCTTAAACCCCTCATCCCCTCATCCCCCCCCAACACGGAGAACAAAAAGAAGAAGAAAAAAAAACGGGTACCCTCCCAACGTTGCCTGGGTCTTGCTTTTGGCCTTCCTTCAACAAACCCCAACAAAGAAAAAAAGCCGGGCACCCTCCAACCAAAAAACAGGCACCCTCCTAAAAAAAATAAAAATAAACTGGCACCCTCCAACAAAAAGGGAGGCACCCTCCAACAAAAAAAACAGGCACCCTCCCAATCAAACTGACAGACCCGGACCCCACCCCCCCTCCACCAACCCCCAGCCAGCCCCCAGCCAGCCCCCCCTCCGGACGTGGCGCGAGAGGTGTGACGAGGTGAGCCCGGAGATGCCCCGCGCCGCCCGGAGCCGCGCGTGAACGCAGCGGCGCCCTGGTGGAGGCGGCGAGAGACGGGGGATCGACCCGTGGAATACGAAAAGAGTCCTAAAAGACCAGAAAAGGTACTAGAAAACATGTCCAAGGGGAAGAACAGAAAAAAAGGCACAGAATAGGTGCTAGAAGAAATGAGCAACAAGGGGAAGAACAGACTTTAAAAAAAAAGGGGAAACGCGGAAAGCGCAGCCGAAGCGGTTTCTAGACGAATGGGAACTTTCCGGATTGAGAAACCCCTGGTTGAGCAATTGGAAACCACTGGCTCATCCACCCCAACCATCCCTTGTTTCATGTCAGATCCCGAACGGCTTAACAAAACCCCGAAAATACCCAAATTCACAAACCTCAAGGGATCCATTGGTGTTCCCGAAAGTTGTTCAATCTGAGCAAGAGTCTCATCCACAGAAGTGGCAACGCGGTCACCAAGCCTCCCCCCTTTTTCAGATGGAGTCCTCGATTTCTGACTTTCCAGCTCCAGAAGTGATTTCGTTGGAACCCGCCGGTCAATTGCCACTTTTGATTTGGGGAAATGCCGTGACCGCTATTTCATCTTCCTCTTGAAGTGCGCTTCCGTTCTTTCTGTGGGCATGGCAACAAGGGTTGTTTGTCTGAAAATTGGGACTCGGACCCCGCAAAATGGCTTGTGGTTTCTTTGTGGCTTTCTTTTGAACTCACCCAACCATTTTGGGAAACTTGCCATGCGGGTGTGTCTCAACAAATCCGAAACCGCCAAAGAACACCGTGTCTTCCCTTTGGGAATTCCCTTTGAACCAAAACCCCCAACATCGTGCACCATCCAAAAACAGCCACACCCCACCCGTCGCCCCGTTTCCCGTTGCTTGGCTCGGCCACCCGCGCGTACGTCCCACCTGCGCCCTCGGCATCCGAAGAGCCCCACACAGACCGCAGGTCCGGCGCTGAGAGCACCAAGAGGTCGGGCCTGGCGGGGCAAAGGAACCAAGCCGAGGCCGTGGAAATCCGACAAATCCAATAGGAAATTCACGGAAATCCGCTAAAAAACGAGCAGAAAGTTGAGACATTGAAAAACCCCAGGCTCCAGATGTCCTACTTGAAATCCAAAAGGGGGAAGTGCCTACCAAACGAAATGATGAATCGGGGTGTTGGGATCAAGCAAGCAAAAGTTGATAAGTCGGTTTCGAAATAGCAGCAAATGGGCAGGATTTCCAAACCTAAAGGGGTGAGGAGCTCCAACTGATTAGTCTCCAACTGATTCGTCTCAACACGAAAACGCAAAACGAGTGGAGTCAGAAGGGGCGGAGGTTCCGATAAAGTTGTCTTCACTAAGATAGTCTGCAAAGGACAGCAGCAAGAAAGTCGAACCCGCAAGTGGTCTTGCAGTTGCCTTGTCAGCTGTTGACATAGGTGTCCTTTTAGGGGAATTAGATGGCCCTGGTAGATGATTAAACCATCAGGTAAACTAGGGACATCTATTTTGCTACCAAAACAAAAAAGGACACCTATGGCTGTTGAGCTCATGCGGCCACCTGTTGAATTTGAGCACAAATCGGTGCTTCGCAACATGGGATCGAAGCATAGGCCCCTGCCCTCCTTCGTCTATATCTGTGTCTGTGTCCTGTATGTTTTGAAAGCGCAACATGTGGAATAAACGTTTCACGCGCTTCACCTCCCCTAGAAGATGACAGGTTAAGGTCTTGCTCACGGAATCAACCAGACAAATCACTGCACCAACTGAGAACCTCCATGAACCACCACCTATAGAATCAAGGAAGAGCTATCAATCTGCCAACCCTTGCAATGCCTGGACCTGGTAAGTGTCCCTGCGTTGAGTCAAATGAAGCGGGAGGGAGGCTCAACTCCTGGTGGCGCCATCCCCGTGAATTCCTTTCAGTTTCAGCCTTGGGATCATCCCCCGGAACGCAAAGTCTTTGATTTTCTCGTCAAGGTCGTGCAACTACTGATCTCTTGGTGCCTGCCAGGTTGGCGGAAAAATTCGGCAGGCTTGGCGTGGAAGCCGCGAAACACCCGCCAGGGCCAAGTTGGGATTCAATATTCTAAGGGCACTCCGCCTAGCTGGGCTGCAACGCCCATTTCGTATTAAAGACCCAAACACGAGGCGAGGTGTTACCCTTCGATTGCCAGGGAGCAGGTGGGTGGGGTCAGTCGAGCGCACAAAGGATTAACTTAAAATCTAACAACCCACATGTTTTCGGTGGGAGAAGAGTCAACCTTGAGAAGGTCCGCAAAAGCCCTCAGGGACGCAAACATGTGTCTTAAAAAGACACAACCACAAACAAAAACGAGCAAGGTGTCAAGGTAAACTTCTTCAGGGAAGCCATTCCAATATTTCAAACATACACTGATCCCTAGCTTTAATCAAGAAACAACAACCGGCAGGGACCGCACAACCAACAAATCTCGAGAAAACCAAAAAAGCATAAACCAACAATACAAGACCGACCACCTCCCCTCTTGCGGCTTTTTCCCCAGCGGCTTGCCTGAGGCGCACGAAGAAGTCGTAGCGTCGCTCAGCTTCCCGGGCCAAAATCAGCTTCAGGCACTGCTTCATGCGCCGCAGCTGGTTCTTCGCCTCGAAGGCCCAGGCCTCGAAATTTCGAAACGAAACGAAACCAATCAGGTTCTCGGTCCTCATATGGATCTGTGTGTGTGTGTGCGTGTGCGTGTGCGCGTGTGTGCGCGTGCGCGCACGTGCGCGCGTATTTCCGCATTTCGCGCGTGCGCGTGTGCGCGTGCGCGCCTGTGTGCGCGCACGCGCACGCGCACGCGCACGCGCGCGCACGCGCACGCGCACGCGCACGCGCACGCACGCGCACGTGCGTGCGTGCGTGCGTGCGTGCGTGCGTGCGTGCGTGCGTGCGTGCGTGCGTGCGTGCGTGCGTGCGTGCGTGCGTGCGTGCGTGCGTGCGTGCGTGCGTGCGTGCGTGCGTGCGTGCGTGCGTGGGTGGGTGGGTGGGTGGGTGTGGTGGGTGGGTGGGTGGGTGGGTGGGTGGGTGGGTGGGTGGGTGGGTGGGTGGGTGGGTGGGTGGGTGGGTGGGTGGGTGGGTGGGTGGGTGGGTGGGTGGGTGGGTGGGTGGGTGTGTGGGTGCGTCCGTGTTTTTAGGGGACCCGAGAAAATGGCTGGGTTTCCTCTTCCCTTTAAAAGGCCGCAAGAAAGGCGTACCATAAAAAAGACAGGCCCAGACATGTGTGTGTGTGTGTGTGTTTTTTGAGGGTACCCCTTTTTGGGGGTGGTTTTGAATAGAAACCAAAAGGAACCCAACCATATTTTGGAGCCCTCGGCGTATTCCAACCACTTTCCGACAAAGGTCAGGGCCTAATGCCTAAATCTGTATGGCTCGTGGGGTATGTTCATTGGTAAGTAGGAACGTAGGCAGGGTCAACTTACGCCGCCCGCCAAGAGGCAACCTATACTTCAGGACGGCGTCACACAATTGTCCAACGAGGTGGGTGTCGCCGGAACCCAGTTGTCGAGGGTCGTGTCTTTTCCGTGGCGCGGTACCTGTTTTGGGTTGTTTCCAAGGGAAGACAAAAGGAAACCAGCGATTTGTTGGGGTCTTCTGAGACAAACCAATGAAACCACTACACTGCACTTGAAGCTTGACTCGCTCTTGGGATAACCACTCGGACACTTGGTTTCCCAAAAAGGGGAAGCCCCACATAAGTGAGCAGCAAAACCCTGTGTATTGAAGGACTATTCCCCCCAAAACCCATGGCAAAGAATCAAAAGCACTTCTTGCAAAGACTTCTTGGGATAGTCCCCAATTCACGCAGGCTACGGATTCCAAGATATGCTGCTCCGGACATGGTAAGATATTCTTGAGTTCCTTCGGCAAGAAGTTCCGTGGGCACCAACTGACCATACGCCTCGCGAGTCCCGATCTCCCGCTCCACAAGGCTCACAGTTTCCCGAGCGCCTGCGTTACGGCCGGTGGCAAGGACCCCAGCTTCTCCGCGCAGAGAAAATACTCCGCCTCGAAGTGCGCGTGCCTCGCGGCTTCGAAGTCGAAGACTTCGGCTTCGGCTTAGCGGCGTGCTGCGGGCAAAAGAAAGGCCCCGCTTGGCGTCCTCTCGAGTGACATCCTCGAGATGATCCGTGAAATGGCGGTTTAAAGAAAGGGAAGCCATGTGCTGGGCGCTCACTTCTTGACCAAGATGCTGGTGCGTACAACACCTACCCCATAGAGTAGTTCCCATCTTCCAAAGTTTCAGACCCGAAGATGTGCGGGTTATCCTCTTGTTTTTGAGAGCTGCGCAAGGTGATCGGCAAACGAAGGGCTTCAAAGGGAGGCCTGTTTTTTTTTTTTTTTTTTTTTTTTTTCTGGTGAAGCCTCGTGTGTTCAAACCGGTGTTGTTTTAAAGCATCAATAGTTCGGGTGTACGGTGCTTCGCGAAAGGGGCGGCACCCCAAATCGAAGTCGACTGCCTTTGTTGGCCTTGAAGTATCGAGCCTTGGACCTGGCAAGCTCTTCTTTTGGACAGGTCGGACCTTTGGAACCCCAGACGCATGTGGGAGCATGGTCCTTAAAACACCTTCTTGCTGGGGCAAGGGCAGGAATTGTAAGGATTCCGGAGAAGGGAAGCATGATGAGTGTAAGGCTCACTCCCTGAGATTCTGGACTCCAAACTGTTTGAGATGGCAGCCAACAAGTCTGGACCTTTTTGGATCTTCCACTAGGACGGTTAACCATCTTTATAAGCAACAAACAGTAGCATCACTAGGGGGAGGACATGCGGAGACCACCCAATTCCTCTGTTTCGCGCAACAAGCAGGGGAATACCCGTTCAAACCAATAGCAAGTGTTTATTGTCGGTTGCTCATATGGGAGTGAGGTTTGTTCACGTACGTTTGTGGCCAACAAACATACCCTTCCTCCCACAAGCATAGCACCTGCCGGGAGGCGGGGATACCTTGAGATCAGCGTCCTTTTACTGTGAGGTGCCATGTTGGTCCATTGGTGGGAGGAAGGGTAATTATAATGGTTTCCCCAAACTCCAATGAAGAAGATATCAATAATTTCCACAGAAAAGCCGTTTCCAAAGGATCGATATTCCAAACTCACCCCCTTTCTGGCAAAAATGCCCTCTTGCAGCAAAAACAGCCCCACGAAGAAGTCACCGCCATGTGACATCATGGTCAAACAACTTCTCATGCGAGTCCTGGCTCCCTTAACTTGTGCGGCTTGTCAGTACTTCCAACAGAATTCTTGCCCATCCCTTTACGCAAGCCGTTCCGCCACGTTCCCACCAAACAGATGGTGGTTCTGGTCCATGCTGATGGTTCATGTGTGGCGAACCTTATGTAAAAGAACATCGAGTCAGCTCCCAGAAACGTTGGGGCGTAAAATAAAAAGGGGGAAATGTAATATAATGACGGAAAAAGAGAGAGAGAGAGAGAGAGAGAGAGCGAGAGAGAGAGAGAGAGAGAGAGAGAGAGAGAGAGAGAGAGAGAGAGAGAGAGAGAGAGAGAGAGAGAGAGAGAGAGAGAGAGACCCATATTCAGTCAACCTTGAAATGTCCAAAAAACATGGCAAAACGAAGAGAGAGATCCTCCAGTCGGGCGGTCTGCGCGCGTCAGGATCGCCTCAGGGGTTCCAGCACATGGACCTCGTGAGACGCGAAGACCGAGACGATGCCGCGCCGCTTCAGGCTGGCCCGGGCGCTTGCACCCAGCTTCTCCCTGAGAACCGCCATGGCCGGCGCGACTTGGGTTTGGGTCAAAATTAAACCAGGGGACCGCGGGTGGTGAACTCCGTTTTCCCATTTAAACCACACCCATACCCACTTTAAACCGGGTTCCAGTTTGGGTACCATTTTTTTGACCCGCCACTTGTTTGTGCCTTTCTTGGGGCTGAGAAACTGGGACCCCTGACACAAATTGGTTTGTCTTCCATTGGGCTTGAACGCCACGATTTGGCAGGTGGGAAAGAAAACCTCGAAGCTAAGCCCAAAGAAAAGGGAGTGGCTCAGTCCCCCTGCAAAGCAGGACACGTTCTTGGAGACGAACCTAGGCATCCCCGTTAATGAAACCATTAATGTTCATATAGCCCATATCACCTGGCTTGCCAAGGGAAATCCAGCAAAACCCAGGGGCAAGGATCAAAGGGCTAAACTGTACCGATGTTTGATGACTGTCCCCAATTCTCACCTACTCCCCAACCGATTGTTCATTTCACAGGAACCCAAAGGAAACACCGTTGATTGTTCATGTCATAACAGGATCCCAAAGGAGACCCTTCCATGCTCCACCTTTGCTCCTTCGGAATGGCCAAGCTGCAGCATCCGCATCTTCGGCGACAACGCCTCGGTGAACAAGCGCCACTGCCCAACCGCCATGACCGCCACCAGCGGCGCCGAAGGCGAAGCCGCCTTCGCCGAAGGCGGCGCAATCCCCGCAGCCGGAGCCGCCGGACTTTCCGGAGCCTCCGTGATGAGTGCCTGCCGGCCGGGCCGATTTGTTGGGGAAAAAGGCCGCTACGTTGCGCGTGTGGCCATGGGTCGAAACCCCGTACCCCCAATGAACATCCCAATCCCCACTAAAAAAATCCAAAATGGGTGGTGCAGCTATCCCAAAATGGTACCATTGGTTTTGACCCACAGCCATTTGTTGCTCTTTGTTGTTGATTTTTATTCAAGGGGCACTCCCTTTGGACGGAAAGTTGCAATTGTTTGTCCCATCTATTGTGTCAACCCGATGACCTTGAGTTGTCCTTCAAAGATACCAAACCACACAAGAACAAGGGTGGTGGCCTGAACGAACGCATTCATATGGGTATAGCCTTTGTTCGAGGGCTGTTTTGGGTAGTTTCATCGGACTTCAGACAAAATCTGGGTCCCATGTTGGGGGCTCCCCCAATCTTAAGCATCAAAATGGGGTTCTACCATCGATGCTGGGGCTTCTCCCCTGCGACAAGGTCCTCATTTGGCTTGGACATGTTTTTCCTGGCCTCCATTTGCTTGAGCGCCCTGGAAAAAATAAAGATACTCCGAAAAAGATATTCCAAAAATGGTAGATTCCCCTTAAAACCAACTGGGAAATAATGATAAACACTTCAACTGGAAGCTGGATTCGGTTGGTCTTCCCGTGGACCTGCGACAAGCGCCGATTCAATCTTCGCCCAACCTGCGCGACCCCGTTGTCGAACTCCTGCTCGAGGGTGGTGGCGTTTTCCACCGCCGGCAGGGCTGGCGGGGTCTGCGACCAAAGGACGCCTGGCCGGCGTTCGACTGTCTCAACTGGTCTCCATCCGTGTGAACTTCGGATTTTGACGAGGAGGACCCTGTCAAAGGAACACCCAAAGATAGACATACGGTCCCCCACCCTCTGGACCTGCGCTCGCGGGCACAAAGCCTTACTGTGGATGGTTGCGAAATCCTTTTCGCACCAGTTCAGAAACCCATCGGCATGGTTCGATTCCCCAACATAGATACCAGCAAACGTTATGATTTCAACCACGGCTTCACTTCGTGGTGCGAAACAGCTTTTGCAACCCTGCGCAGTATGGCAGGCTTATCGCTAAGCTGGGCTGCCCTCAGATCCCCCGCTAAAAGTTTAACTTTTAGTGGGTTACATGGAAAACTACCACTAAACACTAAAAGGCTAAAAAGCCAAGGAACCGGATGAATCGCTGGCTTCGCCACCAACTAAGGAACGGCCTCCCGGTCCACCAGCCGGTCCCGTGCCTGCGAGACAGCTCAGCGCCAGAAACGCCGCGGCGGTCCGGGAGCAGCGCATGCGCCATGGCACATGGAAGCGCCGCGGGCCGCGGCGCCAGGTGCTGTGACGGGCTCCCAAAGGGGGAGGATCTTGGCAACCGGTGGTAGCAAAAATGGATGCCGGTCTTTGCAGCCCACTGAAAATGAAGAGAATCAAAAATCTGAAGACTGAAACAAACAGGCCAAGAACAGTGAAGGGTTGGTCAAAAGGGGATGCGTTCTGTTGTTGGACCCTTTTGCGTTGTTCTTTAAAATGGAAATGGGCTGCTTCATTCAGGAGAGTCCCAAGCGAATCCAAAGGTGAAGAATGGGCTCAAAACCACAGAGGGAGTTGCGTTTGAGCTTCAACTGGGTTTCTTACAGCCCCCTTTACACCTCACCCCAAATCACCATCACTCAAAATGGCCCCAACAAGGCGATGGGTAGACCTAAGAAGGGACCTCCATGGACTCAGGTTATGATTTTATCGCATTTGAGAGGCATGCTGTGCCCACACAGCTGGCTATGCTGAGCCACTTCGGCGATTTTCCCGCGTCATCCTGGGATGTAATACCACAACCTTTGGAATGATGGCCCCTGATTTCTATTGCCCCACCACACAGCCCCAGGCCCTCCAAAAAACGTGAAAACAGGAAGCGACCGAAGGTCTGGGAGAGGGTCATGGGTGGGCTCCCCCGGCAAGGCTTCTCAATGTTTGTGCCGCCCTCGCTACCATTTCGGTTTCCCCTTGGTCTCCCCTCAAAACCCACGGTTTATTCCGACCAACCCCAACAGGTTTCCCGGAGCGCTAAACAAAACTCTCGGCGATTCGGATTTCCTGTTGTCTCCCCTTTGGTCGTCTATGGCTTGGTCCCACCAACCCCATCAGGTTTTCGACCAGATCGCTAAACAAAACTGGCACTGGTTTGATGGTCGCAACCTCAGTCGCTCATTGCGCTCTCGTCGTAGCCTTCGTCGTAGCCTGGCTAGCCTTCAGTCTCAATACACCCGATAAAATGTTGGCAGCCCGAACCAGAAGCGTCCCTTGAAAACGCTCAGGGCCCGCCTTTCGTCAGGGTCCCCACAGCTCCCTTTGAGAAGCCCTGGTTTCGTGGTGACGAAAGTCCAAACTAGGCGTCCAGCCACTTGAACAAACCACAAGTCAAAGCTTGAAAGTTTCAAAACTATTGGCTAGGTCAAAGAATTTTGCTAGGGTGAAAGTAGTAGATGGCACTGTTCCCTTTATGTCCGTGAGCATAACACAACCAAAAATTATCAGGTTGCGCAATCTACAACCGGCCCGGCTGTGGGCGCAAATCAAGGTGCGCATGTGCTGGGTGCATTACACTTTGGTGACCTCCTCAAAGTTTCCTTCCGAATGGCTTGAAGGGAAACCACCGACTCGTAATGTTGAGAACTCAAAAGGACCCAGTAAATGACGTTGGGTGAAAGATGGCATCCTCTGTAGGGACACATGGGTCTGAATTTTAGTTAGGGACCCTTTGGTGGACATCATTTAGGTGGGGATCCGTGTCCACCAACCACTTTGGAGGGAGTTCCCTACCAAAAACTCCTGGCCGTGTGGGGAATAGTGCCACCTCACTCGCACACGGTGCTGGCCTGGTGCGTCGCCAAGAACTCGTTCCGCCGGAGGTGGATGCCCAGGTAGGGCAAACTGCGCAAGTCATGCAGGCAACCAGGCAATATCTAACGGCAATATCAGGGTATGCGTCAAAAGCTATGTTCAAGAATTGCTTGATGAAAACAGAGAGAGAGAGAAAACAAAATGCATGTTTATTGAAGTATGTCCAGATATGTATATCTATGAGTACATTGATACCTGCGAATCTGTCAAAACGAAATTTGTTGGTTGTGTCTTGTTGTTTCGTTGTTTGGCCAAAAAGCCGAGGAAACCACGAAAACCAAATAAGATGCGAGAAAACAACAACAAGAACAAAAGAAGAAAAAGGCAACCCCCCACCCCCGGAAGACAGGCAGTTCACAGCTGTGTGGCAACCAAGAATCATCCCCACCCATTTTGAAGGCGATTTCTCAACCAAAAATACAATGCCACTGTGAGAAGAACCAAATCGTCCCCGAAATCGGTCGCAATCCCATGGTGAGGTTTGGATTTGATTCGCCCAGACCCCATTTGAGGGTTTCCATTCGGCATAAACAAATACATTCTAGGCATGTGTCAGTCTCAACAAAGGCGATAAAATCCATGACCGGGCTGTACCTCATTAAGCAAGGTCTCCAGGCCACAGCCAGGGTTGAATCGGCTCGCCTAAACATGTTTAAACTCCCGCGAATGGACAAAGTCCTCTTTGCAGCAGAGATGGATAAACAAAAAAGTAGAACAACCCACCTACTGCTCCAAAACGGATTTCGTCCATCAACAGTACTGTTTGAACAACCTTCTTTGGTTTCTCTTTAAACGTGGCCAGCGTTGATCGTCTAGACGCAGTTGGAAAGCGAGGCCTTGACGAGAATCCAGGAATACCCTTGGTTCATTCCTCAACAAGGCGCGCCACTTTGGAGCGAACCCAAACCACTTTGGGTGACCCATGGGTTCTAGCAAATGGCCATGGGTCAAAATGCCGTACCCCCAGTGAACATCCCAATCCCCACTAAAATAGGTTCGAAAATGGGTGGTGCACCTACCCCAAAATGGGATCCCATTGGTTTTGACCCACAGCCAAACGATTGCCCAAATGATTGCCCTTGCAAATGGTGTCCTTTTAGGGGAAATAGATGGGTTTCCCTGGTAGATGATTCAACCACCAGGTCAACCAGGAATCGCCACCTAATTTTCGGCCAAAACAACCAAATAGTACACCTGCGTGCCCTTGGTGCCACTGGTGGCCCCGCGCCTCCCCAGCGCGATCTCTTTGAAGCGCTTCGCAGCGTCCCGCAGCGCTTTGGCCGGCGCGAGCCTCACTCCGCGAGCGAGCGAGCGAGCGAGCGATCGGCTTGCTCAAAATGGGGAAGCCCCAACGAGGTTACTTTTGACTTCCATTTTGACAAACGACGGTCAATGGAAATGCACACAAGAAAGGTTCAGGAAAGAGGGCCCCGGTGAGAAAGGACCCACTGAAATGAGTCACTTCATCAAATCAGGTTTCGTGCAGCCAGGATTAGTAGACCCCTGATTCATGAAAACAAACAAGACCTGGTATTCATTTGGCTCCTCGTCGATCGTCACAAAACCCTTTCCCTTCCCCTTAGCCGGAAGAGCAATGGTCACACTGGTCTCGTCAGCCTCAGCCTCTGGAATAATGACGTCGCCTTCTGCATCAATTCCTTCAGGCTCGTAGTCTTCGTCGGGGTAAGGGCTTCCTGCACAACAAATGATCATTGGGACAGTCCCCTACCAACAAACGTGTATCCAGGTTAAGATTGTAGCCCAAATGGAATCCTGGTTTTTCATGTCGGTTTCCCCTTGCATGAGGGCCCAATTCCTACAGTTGACAAAAAGGGTCCCCAGTCCCAATGGCCTAGGGCTACGGCCTAGATTATAACCCCCTTTTGAATGAGGGCTCCAGCATTCGGTTGACAAACTCGGGAAATCTGTTCATCTACCCCGTAACCCAGGAAACTGTTCAAACAAGCTTCCCTCGGTTCCCAGTCTTCCTTTGGTCCAGGTTCCCAAAGCGTAAGCGTCAACTTCCACGGGCAATCGAGTATGGGTTGGTGTTGTTCGGCATAGGCTTCCCCCTATAATTCAAGCTATCAACAACATGCAAAATGCAAGCTTGAAACTCGCGCTTTTCATGGGAAGGTGCGAGTTGAGACCAGGGGCAGCACAACGAATCCTGGGTTCCCATTGTCGGTTTCATGTGGGTGTCCTACACATCTGGGTGTCCTGTGATGCACCAAAAAGGGATCCGACCCGCATGAGCCACGCGTCAGGGTGCGACTCATGTGTCTCTGAACAGCCCACAAGAATGCCAGCAAGCAGGTGGATGGAGAATGGGCATCCAGCGCCCCAAACCTTGTGACCTTTGAGACACCCGTGGCATCAGCATACCCCAACTTTTGGAACTAGATTGCTTTCCCTTCCTTCCAAGCGGTCCCGATCTGTTTCTAGGTCTGGCTGGGGAGCATGGGAAACCCTGGGATAAATTGGCGGACGAAGGATTTGCGCGCCATTTGGGAGTGTCTGTTGGGTTGACGCCCACGAATTATGTTTGTTGCGTTGTTGCCTTCTTTCTTCTTCGCTTTATTTTTTTGTTGGGGGGGGGTTGAAGGAAACCCAAAAGAAACCGAACACACATTTTGGAGCAACCCTAAATGGGTTCAAGCAAATTCAATGGGCTCAGAGATGCTACTCAACCTTCAGGTCTTGCCCGAGAAAATGGGATAGTCTCAAAGCAGGGGAGCCCAAAAAAAACGCAGATTTCCCTTCAAACAACCGAACAAAATATGAGCTTCTCAAAGCAGACCTCTAAAATGGGCGTTGCATCCTGTTTGTTTCACTTTGTACCATCAAAAAGGAGCGCTTTATTTGGCTGCGGGTCAAAAACAAGGCTCCCAAATGGAACCCTGGCAAATGGGTATGGCTCAAAATTAAAGAGCTGGGGTTACGCGGGTTTTAGTCTTGGGCTCCATTTACCAAGGTGCCATTTTGGTACCACTTTTTTGAGCCACAGCCAAATGGAAACATCGACTAGAACCTGCAGTCCATATCCTGGTGGGGACCGATTTTGACCCACGCCCCTCTTTGAGCTTCGGCTGAGGCGCCGGCGCAGGATGGAACTTGATGCTCATGGGCCCTGATGCCGATCGCCATTGCGGTGGGGCAAGTGTAGACATCATTTGGGTGGGTCTTGTTCATGTCAAGCTGGAATTCGGATGATTGCTGATCAACCCACATGGATGAGGCCAATGTCCAAAAACAAAATGTCCACCAACGGCTCTATGCCCAGACTCCCACTGTTTTGGCGTTGGCTTCCCTTCAAAATTAGGTCTCGTTCACGTCCACCAACCACTCTTGAGGCGGAACCCAGATCAAAATTCATGGAATGCCCGGACTCCCTCGGTTTTGGCTTTGGTGTCCCTTCAAAACCACAAGAACGGGGTGCCCACAAAGAGACACACCCATCGGTGTCCAACTTTAGCCCAGTCGATCAGCCGGGTTTTGCACCGTCGGAAGCGCCAATGCCGACGAATCGTCCACTATCTTGCGGAATTCACCCCTGTTTGTGCTTAAAATAGGCGTACCAACATGGTCATCTCCCTTTTGGTCTCCCTTTCAACCAAGGACAACATGGCGCCCGTTTTCCTTTCGCCCTAAGAGAGAAAGTCCAAAGAAAACACACCACGCACCAACGGATTCGGGCGTTTTAGGCGGATGCCTTCCGGGCTGTGCAGGTTCAAGGCGTCCAGGTGCTTCACCAAAATGCTGCTGCTCCTCTGTTGCTGGGCTCTGTGGTTGACACGCCAAGGAATCGAAAAGAGCGCGAACCCGCCGCCCTAAGTGTTCCACCAGTGGTGGTTCGACATTTCTGCGATCCCAAACAAGGCCCAACCGCGACGAGAAGAACCTTGGCCGCTCACAGAAAAGAGCCCCCGTGAAACCGAGGCTCTTCACAAGAGTCCCAGCAATCCTTGTAAAACTTTGCTCGGAAAGAAACCAACCAAAACCTGGCTGTTCTGCCCTCGTTTGGTCAATGAAAGGCTTGGAGCAGCTGCTAGGTGTGTGTGTGTGTGTTGCTTGAAAGAGGAAGCTTTTGAATCTGGCCCCACTCCTATTTTTTACAACGGGAAGATGTAGGAACGCCGAACGCCATCCCCCGTTCGAGAGAGCTAAGTTTCCACCCTGCAAGATACTAAATTCCGGATATGCGGTGCCCTGTATGGGCACCAAACACAAAGGGGTCCCCTCCAAAAGCGACACACCCATCAGTGATTCCGAGGTTGCATACACCTCTTCCCAAATGTAGCAAGAGCGGGAAAGAAAAGATCTTGTAATTTACCGTGATTGCTCAGTGTACCGGCAAGGTAGTAGATCACCCCAAGGATTGCCGCTTGCTTGCCCATCTACATCTTGACCCTTACATGCTCTGCCTCAGTGCATGCTGATACCTATTCTACCTATCCCCCAATTCCGGGGACGACACTCAGGGCTGGTTTCCCAATGGGGTGCCCTGAAAAGCTCCAGGATGGGCTCCGTCGGGTTCGTCAAGCAGAAGTGGCAATCCGAGGTTCGCCTCAGGCCTCGATCCCGTCCTCTTGCCCGTGCTTTCAACCAAGTTCAGCAGAGCCTCCCAGGGCGCACCCGCTTGGGGCAAAGGCGGCCAAATCGCACTTCGCAGCGGGGAAGCGATGAAACGGTTCCTTGGACACTTGTAAGCGGACAGGAGGAAACCATGGCTATTTGGAAGGGTGGCTTGACACCTTCCCATTCAAATTGCAGCCAGATTCGCGACCTGGGAGAAATTCACGGGCTCTGCCTTTCTGCCAAAGAAAAAAAAATCTGAGAATTAGAGAACAGCTTGAGAAATCACTACACGCAAACGTCCTTTCAAGCTGCCTTGACTGCGAACTCTGTTGCTCACTCAGCAGGGTTTAGCCAACTCTTTGCTTAAACAAAGCTCTTCCCTCAATTCAACCCCCACTTGCAGAGAAAAAAAATGTTTGCCCTCCCCCCGCCTTCATGCCTCCGCGCAGAACCTGAGCGCAAAGTTTTTGCCCCCGAGACCTGCTTGGATCGTCTCGGGGGTTGCATGGCAACCCTGCGAAAGGCTGAAGTGGGGGGCTCGACTGAGGGGCAAATTGCAGGCGAAGCGCTTAACTCCCGGGCCACCGAAGTACGTACCCTGCACGGTCCTTTTCACGCTCACTCCTAGTCAAAGCACTCACTGGACCATCTAAGCCAAAGAAGGCTGATACGGTCGGCCCGCAGAATGTGGCAAATGTGCCAAGCCGTTGCAAGGTTTTGTGGAGGGCTGGTTCTGGGAGGAAGATTTGGCCGGGGAGACTGCTGTAGTTCAATCACGGAGGATTATGAAGCTGTGAAGGGTTGACATCCATTCCTGCTTTCAGCCTATGTGAAAACCCAGATGGATCCTCGGGGATGCTTGTAAAAACAAAACAAGAGCACGCCACTTGGAAGCGTCCCATTGGTTCGGCATAGGCGACCTAACCTGGACATGCTTGGACAGCCAGAGGCCGTTTGGGTATGTGTCGGAAGTGGTGTGATGGAAAGCCAAGTTGGCTTCTTTCATGCTGGTTTCCCTTTCGAAATAGCCCAAAAAGGGCTCCAACTCGTTTGCCACATACCCTTTTTAGTGTGGATTTTAGAGGAAAACCAACCAGAAATCCCACGTTTTCCATGAGGCTTGCCCCCTTTTCCAGCCCCCGCCAAGCTCCCGACCCCGCATTTGAAGCTCCGCACCTGGATGTCTGAGTCGCAGTACCTCCGACGCTCGCTGCTTTCGGCTCGTTTCGGCGCTTGTTTCGGCGGGGCTTCGGCGGCGGGATTGGCGGTTTTTGCTGGGGAGCCCGGATTTTTTGGGGGAGAGGCCCGGCGCTGACGTGCTCCCAGACTCTTTAAGGTGCAAAACGCATATGTTTCGAGACTCTCCCTGTGCAGGGGCTATTGATTCTTTCACATTCGCTCTGTGTGTCTGGTTGGGACCCTAAAGAATCAGTGCTACTCAACAGAGCTACCTGGCAGTCGATTCATAGTCAAAACCTAGTCAAAACCATGTAAAGAATCAAAGGAGCTTTTTGCCGCACACGTTTTTGGTTGGGACTGTCCACTACTATGGTTGTTGCTTGTTCAAGTAAACTCCATCCAAACTCCTCTACTCTACCAGGCAAGATATCCAAAAACACCAGAAACGGTAGTCCGGCCGCCTTTGGCGAACTGTTTTCCCCCAACAGCTAGAAGCTACGGGGTCTCCGCCCAAATAGGCTCCGGGGTGGTCCGGGGCGGCTCTGAGGTAGGTTTCTGAGGAGGGTTTGGGGGTTATTTCTTTGGATCGCTCTGGGTTTCGAGGACCATGCTTTTGCTAGGACTCTGATCTTCGCGTTCACGCCGGCAGAGTAACATGGAACCCCAAGAAACGTGTCCCAACAAGGAGCTCCCTCGAAAACTCTGGCTTTTGGGGTCAATGCTTACCATATGCTTATATATTCGCAAGGGAGTAAATCCCTTCAAACAAGTGTGCACAAGGGGGCCGTTGGGTTTGTGTCCTGAGCACTGTGTCAACTCCCCCTGTGTGAATTCAAATCGGGGAATCAAATTCCGTTGGCAACCATGTACATATGGTTGTTCCCACACTAGCGGGTTCGATCCAGCGGGATTCTTCAAAGTGAAATAGAAGCCGATTCCAGGCAGGGGAGTGCCTAGGTGAGTGGCAACCAAACCCTGTTACCAAAATTGTCTACCCCGCTCCATAAAGAATCCAAAGGGCTTCTTGTCGCACCTATTCTGGTTGGGACTGCCTAAGTTGCGAAGATTCACTCTTAGTTTGGGTGGAAAGTTTAGGGCCCCTACTTGACACATGGGCGTGTCTCACTGGGTGGTTTCCTGTACCCCTTGCATCATAGGAATCACGAGGGCGCCCAGCGTAGACCACGGAGCCTCGGCCGCGATTTGGATCGCAGGCGAGAAAAGCGCTACATTACAAGCGATGACATCTCACGTGTGTGATACCTGTGTAAAAAGAAATGCGAATACAGGAAAGTACCTCTTTATCTATCTATCCATCGATCTATCGATCTATCGATCTATCGATCTACCGATCTATCGACCTATCGACCTTTCTACCTATCGACGATCTGTCGATCCATCGGTCCATCGATCTACCGATCTGCCTGCCGATCGATCGATCGATCGATCCATCTATGGGTCTATCGATTTGTCGATCTGACTGTCTGTCTGTCTGTCTGTCTGTCTGTCTGTCTGTCTGTCTGTCTGTCTGTCTGTCTGTGTCTGTCTGTCTCTGTCTGTCTGTCTGTCTGTCTGTCTGTCTGTCTGTCTGTCTGTCTGTCTGTCTGTCTCTGTCTGTCTCTGTCTGTCTCTGTCTGTCTGTCTGTCTGTCTGTCTGTCTGTCTGTCTGTCTGTCTGTCTGTCTGTCTGTCTGTCTGTCTGTCTGTCTCTGTCTCTGTCTGTCTGTCTGTCTCTGTCTGTCTCTGTCTGTCTCTGTCTGTCTCTGTCTGTCTGTCTGTCTGTCTGTCTCTGTCTGTCTCTGTCTGTCTCTGTCTGTCTCTGTCTGTCTCTGTCTGTCTCTGTCTGTCTCTGTCTGTCTCTGTCTGTCTCTGTCTGTCTCTGTCTGTCTCTGTCTGTCTCTGTCTGTCTCTGTCTGTCTGTCTCTGTCTGTCTCTGTCTGTCTCTGTCTGTCTCTGTCTGTCTCTGTCTGTCTCTGTCTGTCTCTGTCTGTCTCTGTCTGTCTCTGTCTGTCTGTCTCTGTCTGTCTCTGTCTGTCTCTGTCTGTCTGTCTGTCTGTCTGTCTGTCTGTGTGCATGTATGTGTCTGTGTGGCTATAGTCTGCCCAGGATGTTTGAAGCCACCGAAAAAGGGAAATATGGCTGCCGTCAGAACTGTTGACCCTTGGCTAGTATTTAAAGGGAAACCAAAAGGAAACAGACCAAATTCTATGCGACCATTATTTTCAGAACTGAGTCAGTCCTTTTTTTCCCTAGGCATGGCTTCTATTCTGGAGGGCTTGAACTGTGGGGATGTGGGAACCGTGACAGGACCAAGAGGTCAGGGGCGGGTTAAGGGCAACACTCAGTCTGCCCCTTGATCCGTTGCTGCCTTGCAGAGCCGGTTTCAAGCCTCTTAAGTTCTTGCGGCAGGAATCGGGTGGGTCCTAGACGGCTTTAGAGCATTGTTTGCTTTGGCGCTCCTGGGGCGTGACCACTGCTTGGCACTAGTTAGGATTGAACTTGGGAAAACTTGCGGGTGGCTTTGGGCTGGCTTGTGTCAGGTCCTTTTGGCTGGTTTCAGCAGTGCTAACTGTTGCTCAAGAGGGGGGGGGGGTTATGTGTATTATGTCTGGTTTGCGCCTGGTTTTGGTGTGTTGCCCCAAACCATCACACCATCAAAGATGATAATGCAACTCAGCCAAACAAAACCTAATGCCAAGCGGTGGTCACGCCCCAGCTAGCCCCAAAACGAACAAAGCTCTAAAGCCGTCCACAGCCCACCCGATTCCTGCCGCAAGAACTTAAGCGGCTTGAAACTAGCTCTGCGCCGCTGCATGGGGCTCAGGCCTGTCTCGCGGTGGCAAAAAATCAAGAGGGAAGACTGAGCCCAGTAATGCCAGGGATGTTGACCCGCCCCTGTCATGCCACTCTGCCAACCCACCCACCCACCCACCCACCCAACCAACCAACCAACCAACCAACCAACCAACCAACCAACCAACCAACCATCCAATCCGCCCAACTGAGCCACCCCTAAGCCAAAGCCATTGCCAGTTTAACGGACAAAAAGAAGAAGAAGAAGAAGAAGAAGAAGAAGAGAGGCACCTCCGTTTCCCCTGCAATCCACCAAACAAGGCCACCCTCCAAAAAAAAGAAAGAGACACGCCCCGCCCATCCAGAACCCCCCCCCTCCCACCCCCCAAATACGCACCTCCCAGCTGAAAACGCCCAGGGCCCCCGCGCGGCGCGGCCCCGGACTGCGGGAGCTGCTGGCCCTGGGTGTCACAGACCTGCCGCTCGGCACCGGGACGCGAAATCCGAGCACCGCTTTGGAGCCGTGGGAAACGGCGGTGGTGGGTAGGTTGGGGCATCGAATGCCGATGGGTGTCTGAACTGGTGCGAAAAGGAGTTCGCAACCGTCCACAAGTTGTGGATGGACAGACTCCGAGGCGGCAGCTGGTGGCTTGTGTCCACCTGCAGTATGATCCTGACTTGATTTGGCTTTGCTGCACTCTGCGTTCCATTTCGGGGGCTAGTGTGGCAACTAGGGAAGAAGCTGGACACCCTGTCGTTTGCATGGTTGGTTGCAGTGAGGGAATCCACGCATCATGTGCCTCAAGCCCTGGAAAACGAGTTTCGGTTCCTTTCCGGGGTCCCAATTCGATCCGGAAATCCTCACAAACAGTTGGCGGAAGCACCGACCCACCGATATGCTCAGCGGCATTTGTGCGGAGTCTGGTTCTGGTGCAGCGAAACGACATTCCTTTCATGCTATTCTGCAGGAGTGCACGGCATGAAGACCCAAATGGAGAAACTGACCACCAGCGAAAGGCGGCGAAACCGCGAAAGCAGCTGGATGGTTCTTTGGGAATGAAGCACCCAGCCTGCATGATACCAGGCTTCAAACCCAAAAAACTGGCTAGGGTCCGATCTCCCAAAGGCTTGCCAGGTGCTCCGAAGACCCAATCCCTCGAAAATGTGGAGCCCAATTCCCAGGTTCCACCCATGTTCCCTCACCCCTCCATGGTGAGACGTGTGTGGGTGCTTAAGGTCATACCCTTATGGCTTGCGCGGGGTGTGTGGGTGCTTGTTGGCAGCAACACCGGCCTTGGATTATTTTTGGCGCTTCGGAAGCCAAAAGGAAACCAGGTTGGCCTTGGCTCCAGGTAACAGATCCTTGAACCAAACTCATTTGGGGGGATCCATACGGTTGCCCCTTGCCCGCCACCGCTTAAACCACGAATGGCTCTGGGGTATGGCCCATATACATCTATCTATATGTATATATATATATATATATATATGGTCACCCCACATGATCAACTAATTTCCTCTACTCTGCTTCCATGCAATGAAAAACGCGTTTTAAAAAACACATGCGTTGTTCGTGTGTGTTGCCTTCGTATTGAGTTTGATGGGTCGTCGGATTTTGGCCATTCAATGCACCTGCAAATCCATGACAAGTTGCCAACAACACTGTTGTGTTTCATGCTTGGGCTTGATCGATCAGGGATCCATACATTATACACCTGAACATTGCCCTGCAAATGGTGGTTTCCCGTTGTTTTGGTGGAAAAAGCCATGTTTCAAATGTGCAAAATGTATCTTTTAAGGAGCCCTGACAAATACTGTGTTTTGCTGCGTTTTGAGCCTTGTGAGCATGTCTTTGCTGCCTGCCTTGTTTTTGCTGAGCGGTTTGCCGGTGAATTAAGTACAAAAACAAGAGCACACAACATTAAACCTTCGGCTCTTAGATGCTGTCCACTACCACAGACCCCTACCCAAGCAAAAATTGCATGTATAACATCTGAAAAGCAACCAAAAAGCATGCATCGTGTATCAAGCGTCCTTGGCCAAATGTTTTGGGGCGAGTGGTTTCCCATCTTTTCATTGGCCCATCCTCCAGCATCTCCTTGGCGCCTTCATGTCCTTGGTGTAGCCCAAGAAGTCCCCAAAGCCATCCTCCGAAAGCGAGGATGGACATCAGATCAAAACCGTTGTGGTACCATTTTGGTCTGGGGATTGGGATGTTCACTGGGGGTACGATTTGGATTTTGACCCATGGCCAATGTGAGGCTCAAGGAATTCTGGGCAAGTTCCCATTCCAACATCGGACATGTGGAGGCCCAATTTGGGAACCGTCATGGGCTGAGTCGCTCGTTTCACCACCAAATCAAGCAGCTCGTTCAGGCTTTTGATGGTCGCTGCCGCCGTTTTCCAAAGCGTGCTGGGCGCCTGTTGCTGCCACGAAAATGCAACTGGGATAAAAACTGCACGCATGGCTCGGCACACCGGGTACTGATAATTCACATGGAACCTCCAACAATTCCCTTTGCAAGGAAAATGGTCTTCCAGGGGCTATCAGGTTCCGAGCTGCTTGGTGACAGTATTTTGGTTTGAACCAACCCCTTGTCAGGAGCTATTTTGGTTAGAACCAACTTCAGTCACAAGACGAACGCATTTCAGTGGTCCCTGCAGACCCCCCAAGCTCTGGCGCCTGCAGCTGAGCACCGCCCGCACCGAGGACCGGGACCACCTCAGCCGAAGGAAAGATATGGCCATGGCTCAAAACCCAAATCGGTTAGCCCCCAGTGAAGATCCGATTCAATCCAACCACTGAAATAGGTTCGAAAATGAGTGGTGAATTCACCTACCAACCAAATGGAATCCGATTGCTTTTGGCAACCACAGCCATATGAACGCGAAATGGTAGTTCAAAATGAAGCAGAAAATCATATGATGATTGATGAAAGGTGTAATAATACACATTTGTAGATCATGAAATAGTATGATCGTTGTAAAACCACCCTAGTTGGCTTGGGTGCCCTTGAGCTTTTGTGTCTGCCTGTCTCTCCTCAATTTACAGGCAGACAGGCAGACAGATGTGTGTGTGTGTATGTGTATATATATATATATGTGCGTGTGTGTGTGCGTAAATACCGGTCTAACCAGAGCTCGGGCTTGAGACTCACCGGGGCTCCGGTCCCCCAGATCCACCTGGCCCTGAAACTCCTGGAAAGGCACCTGCCATCCAAACCCCACAGCCGGGGGAGCGGGAGCGGGAGGGGATGCGGGGGAGAGAGGGGCCGGAGGGAGGAGTTGGGGGAGGGAGGGAGGGGGGGGTATGATAGGCACTTAGCACTTAGGGACTATTTTGCAACCTCGTTTGGGGTATTGTTTTGGTTTAGGATTTGAGTCTACGAAATTGACTGTAAGTGTCCATGGGGCGGGGGGGGCGGCCCTGAGTGGATTGACATCGACTTCAGGCCAATGGATGAGTGAACAAGATCAACTTCCCGCCAATGGATGAAACCTTATGAATAAAGCGACAAAGGCGAGAGAGAAGCCTTTGTCACAAGCGTAAAAACGCCGGGCTTCGGCTCACTAGGGATTGAAAAGTGGAGGAATCGAACGAGAAGGCTCGTTGGCTCCAATCCGACGCAAAACACTCGGAGTGCAACATGCACAGCTTGATCAACACAGCGGGCAAAGCGGAGGCAACCAAACATGCACAAACCACTTCTGCAACATGTTTCAATTGCAATCACCGCTTAGGTGTCCGTTTGGAGAAAAATGATAGCTCCAAATGATACCCAAAGGGAAGCCAGTGCCGTCCATCCACCAAGCTGACCTGGCACCAAGCTCACATCTACCCTGCACACCGCTCGATGAACCGGCGAGCGCGCCGATGTGGATCTCAAGCCATCCACGTCAAAGAGCTCGCTCCACCTCGGTCGAAAAAGATACAAAGCGGGGTGTCTCAGACCGAAGAAAGGGAGCCGAAACGGGTCGTTTGACCTGTAGGGTTGCAATGTCAACCTAAGTTTAACCAATGGGCGCGTATTAATAAAACTCTCGGCCACCGGACCCGCTTCTTCATCCAATACTAAATTGGGAAGGGGCTAATTCAAAAGTCAATGGCAAACATATAACACCGCCCCCCCAAGTCGACCCTCCAAAGCACAACATGTGTATGTAAGCTAACCAAACGGCACCACACAAGCATGCGATAACTCTTTTATCCAAGCAATGTGTTGGTGCCAGGGACTCATCTTCCCCTGTCAGATGTCAACGGCTGAGTGGGCCCCATGGGCCACCCACCACAAACTCTCAAAAACTGAAGAACGGGTGTGCAGACTGATAGAGCCCGCCCCTGAGCCGGGGCCCGGGGCACCCAGGCCACAGAATGGTCTGCCACCAGGGGAAGTGAGTCACCCACCGGCTCCGGTCACGGGAGCATGGGTGGGCCCACGCTAAGATCAAATGCATCTCCATTCAGGAGACGCGGGAGAAAAACGAACTCCTCGCAGAGTTCCTGTTTGGGGACCCTGTGCAAAGGGTCGAACCCAGAAATCTGGGTGCGTCAGCTCATCAGCCCACTGGTTGAATTCCCGGGGCACGTGGTTGGCCGCCAGCGAGCAGCCATGGGTGTGGAGCAGGAAGACCAGCTCCGTCAGGATCGCCGCGGTGTAGGGCTTCTTGGATCCAAGGTTGAGCATCGCCATAACGTTGCCCTGATTGTCGCTGCCCACCGGGAGTCGGACCCGGGAGGACAGAGGGCCTTGGTGCGTGAGGATCATGTTACAGAGGAAGAGCGTGCCCAGCATTTCCAAAGCCGCAATCCTCCGCTTGGGATCCCCATTCTTGAATGCTCACGGGTACTCTTCCACGTGGATCTGCTCGTGGAACCAGTACACCTCCTTCTTTTCTGGCTCCATTTTATTGGAGCACCATCCTCCCACAAATGCCAGTCCTTCGTCCGAGGCGCTAGCATCGCTGCAACCCCACCAAGAGGACTTCGGCAAGTAAGGGGAGTACTGGACGAAGGGCGTGTTGAAGAGGAACCGCAGCATGAACGCCAGCATCCTGACCACCTTGGGGGGTTTCCCCACCGTGGTGGTGGCCATCTTCCAGGCCCAAAGTGGCTGAAGCATCGACTTCGCCAGCGGACATGCAGCAGTTGCCCATTGGATGCGGCCCAGGGCCTTCTCGATGTCCTTTGAGTGCATCGCCTGCCCTTCCACCATGGTCTGCAAGACCTCCATCACCAGGATGTGTTTGTTGGCGGCCATGAGAACCTGCGGGATGTTCGGGTGGACCACGAAGCCCAGCCACGTGTTGACCTCCGCCAAATGTGTCTTCTTCCAGCTAAGCGGGGTGCCCAAGGCCAGGAGTGTTGCCAACAGCGCCACCGCCAAGTTTACTGCCCCCTCGCTGCGAAGCAGCCACAGGAAGTCATCCACAAAGACGAAGTTCCAATCCACTTGCGGGAAAAGTGCGTAGAGGACCCTGAGTAGGAGGGCTGCCAGGCGTCCCCAGTAGGATTGGACTGGCCATGCCGTATGTGCCTACCTTGTTCACCCACCATTCTTCTTCCAGTGAAGCCACCTGGAACCGCCAGTCCTTCCTGAGGACCTTCACTCTCCGGTGGGCCTTGGTGACGTCCGCCTTGAGCAGCACCCACCTGGTGCCCGGCTCCGGCCATAGCCAGCCCTCGGGTGGAGGTTTTACGACCTCCTTCTCGGGGCCAGGGGCACCCTGAGAGGGAGGTCCCTCCGCAGCTGCCGCATGTAGCCAATGAAGAGCTTGTACCCCATCCAGCACCGTCGGAGCCGTCGTCCTTTCCACCGTCTGGTTCCTGATGGTGTCATTGGCCCCGCCCACCGAGCCATCGTAGATGGTGCGGATCTTGTCCCCTTCGTCGATGCCCGCTAGGGGGCCTGGACAAAGGTCCTCAATCTTGCAGCCACAGCGCGCTGCTGCCTCCACCTTGGTGAGGGGGCCCTCTACCATGCCCATGGGGACCTCCTCCAGGAATGTGCCACGGATGAGCTCACTGAAGTGATCCGCTGAGGGGTAGTTACCCCGGCCCGTGGGATTCCTGAAACTCCGGCTCCTCCCCTTTTAGCTCCTTCTTGAGTGGCCAGATGCCCGGCAAGGCTAGGGGTGGGTCCGTGACCCCCAGTGGGACCCCTTGTTCCAGATCCCGAGGAAACTGGTGGTCGGGGTCCTGAATGTTCAGCGCCACGCTGTGCAAGATGTCCAGGAAGAAGGGTTGGCCTTCAGCTGGTCGGCCTGCCCCCGGCGCCAGGATCTCCCTGATATCCTCCAGCAGATCCTCCGGGACACAGATCTTGGCCCCCATCGCTGCTGCTTTGGACAGTGGCCGAGTCCACGGGGCCAGCCGTCCAAGCGAGGGCTTCCCACCCCCGTCCCTAAGGGGGCGCTGTTTGAAGGCCATCTGGAGGTACATAACCTTGTCGGAGAGATTTGGGTCGTGCGTGATCGGCAGGGTGGTGGGCCGATCCGAGATCTCCATGCAACGGCGTGCCCATGGCTCAGGAGAAAGAGTTCCACCCCAAAGTTCGACCGTCCCGCCAGCCGGCTGTGCTGGTGTCCGGACCTCCGGATTGTCTGAGGCCGAGACCGGAAGTGAGCCCAAAATTAGTCCCGCCAACGCTTGCTGGCCGGCCTTCAGCCTCAGGGACTGGCGCTTGTTGTCCCCCGGCGTGCTGGGAGATGGTTCCCTCTGTCGCCTCGGGGGGGTCGTTGGGTTCGCTTGGGGCACTGTGCCCCCCGACCTCAGCGCCTCCAGGACGGGACCCGCTCTGCAAAGGATGGCCGCTGCGAGACCCTGCATCATCTGCTCTGGATACCGGCTGAGATCACTGGAGTTGAGCTTTTCCCCCCTGGGGTGAGCTCCGTGGTTGCATCGCAGATCATGCCAATGGTGAAGGGGCATTAAGGTCCGTTGACAATGTCGTGGACTTCACTACCACCTGGCCCAGGCGGCACTCGTCAAACTTGATGAGGGAGTGGTGGAGTGCGTTCGCCCATTGAATGTAGGCCTGTGTGACCCAGATCGATGAGCACCTCGCTCTTCCATTGGGTCCATTGGGTGCTCCAGGAAGGAGGAGCCCACCTGCGGGACGTTGACCTAGTCCCTGGTAGGCCAGCGAGGTCAGGTACATCTGTCGGAGCATGAGCACGCTGTCGTTGTCCGTGTCCTCCATTACCCGGGGCTCCAGGTCCTCTAAGCCCCACAGGGTCTGCTCCGCCCTGCCCCTCACCGGCGGCGGGCCTCCCGGTTTTGGGCCACGTCCCTGCAGTTGGGGCCGCCCCCCACAAAGGCGACCTTGCCCGCCATGGCCATGGAGCACATCGTAGAGTAAGGCTCGTCTCCCAGCATGTCCTGTCCAAGATCTCCACCCTTTCGCCTGATGTCCACTGCCCAAATGTACTCCGAGAAGGCCGGGTTGTAGGCATGGAGGTAAGCATCCAGGGCCCCCGCATCATCCTTCCCAGCGTGCAGCAGGATGAGGGACGGCTTTGACGACTCCGACACCGGACGTGGCGTCCACCTTAGTCTGAGCCTCAGTCTTTCCGGGGTGTCTTGCATCCAGGGGAAGGTGGGGCTTGCCCCCCCTGGGGTTTCCGTGTGTCCTTTGTCTGACCCTCCGGTCATCTGGCCCTGGGCTTGCTGCTTGCCCTGACGGTTCTGCCCGCCCTTGGAACGCCCCTTGCCGGGCGGATCCTCACCTCTGGGTCTCTCTGGGGGGTCTTCCCACTGCCTCGGTGGGTGCGGGGGAAAGGGGTGCTTCCGCCCTTCTGGAGTGCCCTGGCTGGGTCCGCTCCTCTTCTTCGGTGGATGGGCTTCCGGGGCCGGTGGCACCCTGGAGAAATCCCCTCCCACCTGCGGCCGTCCTGGCCTCCCCCACTCTGTCTGCCTTCCGCTGTGGCTCTGGTGGGGTTGGCTCTCCCCCGCTGTGTGCACTCTCGCACTGGTGGCCTGTGATCCCATCGGAGACCAGGAAGCCACGGGGCCTATGGCACCCTGAGTGGCCTCCTGTCACTTGGGAAGGTGTGGGCATGCCTGTGGCACATGCTTCGATGGGGGGGCATCACACACCCACCCATCCTTCCTGACCGGGCAGTTGTGGGATCGGCCGCATGATCCCGAACACTTGTTGTGAAGGTGATGATCTCTGCAGTACGCCACCCCTTTGGGATTCTTGAAAGCCCAGTGGTCCGGCCATGGGGTCGAGGAGGTGTTGGGGGACTTACCTTTGCCGCCCTTACCCTTCGGACTTGGTGTAGACCGAGTCGAAGGCCTTCAGCGATGCCAGCGGGAGGGTGATCCGCTCGTCGCACACCGCCCTGAAACGCAGCGCCTCCTTACTGTCATGGATGGGGGCCACTGGGATCTCCATCACGGGCAACGGGCAGTTGACGATGAAATTCTTGGCCGCCAAAAAGGTCCCCATCTCCTTGAAGATGTAGCTCCATTCCTCCTTGCTGCGCGGCTTGGGGATGCCCAGGCTCTCCAGGAAGGGCACCGCCTCCTTCCTCATCTGGAGAATGTTGCCCATCCACTTGTCCGAGGTCGAGCCCTCCGCATTGCGGCCCCGGCGTTGCGTCTTCACGATCAACGGGAAAGTGGTCCAGGCCGAGTAGATGTACTTGAAAGTGAACCTGTGGGCGTACACTCCCGTCAGGCTCGGCAGGTCCCACGTTCTCGTCTGTCTGGTCCAAAACACCCCATCACCTTTCGCCCAGAAGATCCCCACCACCTGCTCCGGCGCCGGGCGCTCGCCCCGGTTCACCTGCGCTCGGATCTCCAAGGCCGTGTAGATGACTGGGTCGATGTGGTCCTGCTCGCACGTGAGTGGGTGAGTCCTGCGCTCAAGGGCCAGGAGCTCCTCCGGTTAAACTGCTGGTCAGCGCCCCGGGGGATCTCACCGCTTGCATGCTTCTTCCAAATCCCCCCAAACATCCGGAGCTCTCCCTGGTGCCTCTTCATCGCCCAGAGGATCAAGGACAGCTTGCCCTCCTCCGAGTCCAGGTCTTGCTGTGACATTGGCTGGTTTGTCCCGGGGCCAGTGGCACCCTTCAAAAAGGCCGGTGCCACCAGATCGGGCATCTCCTCCAGCAGCGCCTCCTGGTGCCATGGGCTGAGCATCCTGATGTAGGGGACATACTTCTCCTTGATGTCCCCCACCTGCAGCTCCAGGGGGCAGAACAGCCCCCTCTCCAGGGCCTGCCTGAGATCATCCGGCCACTCCAAGGGCTTGAGAGTGTGGTTGAGCATCCATGCCTGGTTGGTGTCCTGGGTGCGCTTGTTCGCCGCCTGAGCCTCCTGAATGGAGCCCATCGCCTCAGCCAATGCCTGGCTGGCGTCAACGCCCTTCCCCTCCAAGTACTGGTCTCTCAGCTTGGCCTTGAACCGCTCCAGGTTGACCTTCCTGAGGGCACGGGCTCCCTCATTGGCCACCTCCTCTGACGGCAGGGCCTGCATGCCTTTCTGGAGAGGCGCCAGGATAGCCATCTCATTGTCCAGCATCTCTTCAGTGACCAACTCCTTGTGCCGCCGCCTGGCCGAGGCCTCGTTCCCGATGCTCCCGCAAGGCCTTATGCAGCTCCTCCTTCTTCCGGATCGCCTGGTCCACCTGGGGGTGGTAGAGCTGCCGCCTCCTTCAGGGACCGCTGCACTTTGACCTTGATCTCCTGGCATTGCCGGACCTTCAGCGCCTTGTCGTCCGCCTCCATGGACAGGATCTCCTGCCGGATGTCCACCCGCCTGTTAAGCGGGACCGCGTCTGCCATGGTGATCTCATCTGCCGTGTCCGTTTTCGGAGGGGCTCTCCCCAGGACCGTGCCGTCCACCAAGTTGCGGTCGGCCTGTGCCCGGGTACCACCGGGGCCAGCGGCACCCAGGCTTCCCCATTCCCGCTGCTGGATCCAGGTCGGCTTGCCCTCCACGATGAGCAGGTTGTAGGTGATGCTGTCCGCCTCATAGGTGGCCGAGGGTGCCTGGAAGGGGACGAACTCCTTGCCTGGGCAGACCCAGCACTGCTTGGCTGCCTCTGGCCACCCCGTACCGCATGCCTTGCACATGAACTTGTAATCGGAATGGCATGCATCAAGCCTGTGCATTCGCTGGGTGCCAATGCACGCCTTGTTCCTCTGGAACTGCGAGGCCCAGACCTCCCGTGAGATTCTTCCCGACAAACTTGTGGAACAGGGAGACCGCCTCCTCCACCGTGATGTCCCTTAGCAAAGTGGCCGCTGATGCCGGAAGGACTGGGAAAAGGTCTGGGAGGTCCACCAGCTTGAAGTAACCGGGTCGGCCCTCCACCGGCACCAAGGAGACCGGTTTGTTAACCTGAGCCGTGGTCTTCTGGGAAGCCGCCGCGAAACCCCTCAGCCTTTTCGTGGGTGGCGTCTGTGCCTCCTCCGGTGGCGTGGCCCGCTCCGTGACGTCCGCGTCTTCCATGTCCTTGTCATCCTCCTCGGCGGGGCCAGGGGCACCCAAGCCGGAAGTCGGTGCGGCAAAAGCCACACGGAGACGCTCCAGCGCACTGGAGAGGTCCTTCATCACATCGGTAGCCGAAGCCGACGGGGGGGCCTTGGGCTCGTCCAAAACCAAGCCGGCCGCCACTGCCGCCTCGCGTGTGCGAATTTCCTGGGCCTCCTGGCTGGCCATTTCAACCTCCTCCACGGTGAGTGTCTGGTCCTCAATCAGCTCAAAGGAAGTGGCCGAGGTTGCCGAGGAAGCCATTGCTTGATCGGGGTTAGGTTCGAAAGTGTCAAAGCACAAAGTTTTCAAACAGCTTGGGTTCCAGGAACCCAGACAATGCTTGAGCCAAAATGGCACATGCCATTGTGGTCAAGCATTCCAAACACAGTTCATGTTTCCACATGCGTTTCAACATTAACAAATAATACACCACCCAAAAAACTCACATTAATAAAATTCCCCGAAACAGGGGGGCAAGCCAAACAAGCTTTTTTTGTATCAGGGAGCAAACCAGTCCAAAATGATTCACAAGTAAGCAGGTAGCGTGCAGAAGTTGATGGCGCAGAGAAGTGGCTGCGAGTACTGTAACTTGGCACGCCGTGGCCATGCCCCGCATTATAAGCCTTCGCGTCCTGATAGTCTTCGCGGCACTCCCGTCACTGACACATGCAACAAGTGGGCAGCGCACCAGGCAAGGTAATTATATAACTGGAACCTTCAAAGGCAGACCTCAGATCTCCAAAAGCATACATGCCCGGAAAGTGCGGCTTTTAAACGAAGTCTCTTTACAAAAGTAATGTCCCTGGACTCCAACATGAGGTACCACACAAGCTCCCCAAACCCGTATTAGTAAAAGGGCTCACATGAATAAACACCCCAAAGCAAAGCGACCCCTAGGAAGAACTAGGTATTGGTACTACTACAAGTACTACAAGTACTACTAGTACTTGACGCAGTACTACGAGTACGTTGTACTAGAAGTAGTACTACAAGTACTAGAAGCAGTACAACAAGTACTCTGGAAGCAGTACTACAAGTACAACAAGTACTACAAGTACTACTCCAAGGACTACTACAAGTACTACAGCTACTACTGCAAGTTACAAGTAAAATTGTTTTCTTGTTACGGTACTTTGCCCGGGAAAGAGAAAAGTTGAGGGGGGGGACCCCGTTTACTAATATGAAGTCGACATTACTAGGGTGAATGTGCTTAGGGCTTGTTGGGCTAGTTTGCGGTGGGTGTCGGCTGGAGTTCGTCCACCCACAGTATGCACGTTTGGTTCTGCCAACCTGGCCATGGGTCAAAATCCCATACCCCCAGTGAACATCCCAATCCCCACTTGGGTGATGCACCTGCCCCAAAATAATAAATCTAAAACGGTTTTGACCACAGCAACACGGATAGGCCCACGCAACTGCCGCCATCCCTTCCGTGATCTCAGTCAGCTGCGCGCGGCGCTGGCCCCGATACCAGCGGGGCACCCAGCACCAAGGCCTCGCGGGCCGGAGGATTTTTTTGCGCCGGGGGGCCCAAGGCCCAGCGTCCCCGCGTTTTTTCGGGCGGCTTAGGGGTTGGTGGCTTGGAGGGTACCAGCGTGGGTGCCTTCTTTCCCAAGAATCAGGGCTTCAAATCCCAACCAATCGAGAACACCAATTCAGGGGAAGCACTTGCCACAGAAGGGAACAAGAAGAATACGTCTCAAGATGCAAAATGCAACCAGCAACACTACAAATTCTGCATTAACACTCCAGAGAAAAGATGTCGGAGCACTTTGACAGGCGCATGGGAAAAGGTTCGGTGTCCTTTGATTAGTTTGGTTGCCCTGCTATTCTGGAAGAATGTCCTAACCCCCAAGTTCTTTCAACAGCTAGGAAAGCTTGATCGGTTCTCACTTGCCACGAATAAAAAGGTCAAACCCTAAAAATGCAAGACGAAACATGACAGATTCTTTGTTTTTCAGACGGCCCAAAGCCGCAAGAAACACTGGCGCGTTGTTCAAAAGGAGCGATTGCTAAAGGGAGCGAGAGCTTCCTTTCCCTGCAAAACCATCCAAAAATAGTGGGGCGGCCCAAATCAAAGGAACCAGCTTGATTGGATCAGGGGTAGGCCCTCCCCCCCCCCCCCTCGTTTATGGTTTTTGTTTTTAACAATCTGAGCTTCTTTGGGTTAAAGGTTTCCAAGGTCTGGTTGTTCTAAATTGCCCCCCAATCCTGGAATCCCTCATGCCGTTGAGTGCAAAAAACAACAACCATTATTCATGTGTGTCCCCTCCTCCTCTGGTTTTCACACGTGCGGATGCGTGTCAAAATAATTCGGGGGCCCAGAACCAGGTGGCGTTCCTTTAGCCTTTTATTGAACCAACTCCCAAGGCGAATCTCAAAAAATGGACACCCATTGGTCCCAGCCCGTGGGCAAACCTGAGGGACCCCGCGGCAGCACAAGCGTCCAGGGCTGGCAATCGCCTCGAGGCGGTGTTTGGCCTGCCTGACTTAAGAGGTCCATGTTCCCTGCAAGAACATGTTGTTCAGGAAATCATATGCAGATAGACAGATACATATATACACATATATAATATGTATATACACATATGGGTGAGTGTGTGTGTGTGTGGATGTACTTAGTACATACATACATACATACATACATTACATACATTACATTACATTACATTACATTACATTACATTACATTACATTACATTACATTACATTACATTACATTACATTACATTACATTACATTACATTACATTACATTACATTACATTACATTACATTACATTACATTACATTACATTACATTACATTACATTACATTACATTACATTACATTACATTACATTACATTACATTACATACATACATACATACATACATACATACATACATTACATACATACATACATACATACATACATACATACATACATACATATACATACATACATACATACATACATACATACATACATACATACATACATACATACATACATACATACATACATACATACATACATACATACATACATACATACATACATACATACATACATACATACATACATACATACATACATACATACATACATACATACATACATACATACATACATACATACATACATACATACATACATACATACATACATACATACATACATACATACATACATACATACATTACATTACATACATTACATTACATACATACATTACATATACATACATACATACATACATACATACATACATACATACATACATACATACATACATACATACATACATACATACATACATACATTACATACATACATACATACATTACATTACATTACATTACATTACATACATTACATTACATTACATTACATTACATTACATTACATACATTACATTACATACATACATACATACATACATACACATACATACATACATACATACATTACATACATTACATACATACATACATTACATTACATACATACATACATACATACATACATACATACATACATACATACATACATACATACATACATACATACATACATACATACATACATACATACATACATACATACATACATACATACATACATACATACATACATACATACATACATACATACATACATACATACATACATACATACATACATACATACATACATACATACATACATACATACATACATACATACATACATACATACATACATACATACATACATACATACATACATACATACATACATACATACATACATACATACATACATACATACATACATACATACATTACATACATACATACATACATACATACATACATTACATACATACATACATACATACATACATACATACATACATACATACATACATACATACATACATTACATACATACATACATACATACATACATACATACATACATTACATACATACATACATACATACATACATACATACATACATACATACATACATACATACATACATACATACATACATACATACATACATACATACATACATACATACATACATACATTACATTACACATACATACATACATACATACATACATACATACATACATACATACATACATACATACATACATACATACATACATACATACATACATACATACATACATACATACATACATACATACATACATACATACATACATACATACATACATACATACATACATACATACATACATACATACATACATACATACATACATACATACATACATACATACATACATACATACATACATACATACATACATACATACATACATACATACATACATACATACATACATACATACATACATACATACATACATACATACATACATACATACATACATACATACATACATACATACATACATACATACATACATACATACATACATACATACATACATACATACATACATACATACATACATACATACATACATACATACATACATACATACATACATACATACATACATACATACATACATACATACATACATACATACATACATACATACATACATACATACATACATACATACATACATACATACATACATACATACATACATACATACATACATACATACATACATACATACATACATACATACATACATACATACATACATACATACATACATACATACATACATACATACATACATACATACATACATACATACATACATACATACATACATACATACATACATACATACATACATACATACATACATACATACATACATACATACATACATACATACATACATACATACATACATACATACATACATACATACATACATACATACATACATACATACATACATACATACATACATACATACATACATACATACATACATACATACATACATACATACATACATACATACATACATACATACATACATACATACATACATACATACATACATACATACATACATACATACATACATACATACATACATACATACATACATACATACATACATACATACATACATACATACATACATACATACATACATACATACATACATACATACATACATACATACATACATACATACATACATACATACATACATACATACATACATACATACATACATACATACATACATACATACATACATACATACATACATACATACATACATACATACATACATACATACATACATACATATACATACATACATACATACATACATACATACATACATACATACATACATACATACATACATACATACATACATACATACATACATACATACATACATACATACATACATACATACATACATACATACATACATACATACATACATACATACATACATACATACATACATACATACATACATACATACATACATACATACATACATACATACATACATACATACATACATACATACATACATACATACATTACATACATTACATACATACATACATACATTACATTACATACATTACATTACATTACATTACATTACATTACATACATACATTACATTACATTACATACATACATACATTACATTACATACATACATTACATTACATTACATTACATTACATACATTACATTACATTACATTACATTACATTACATTACATTACATTACATTACATTACATTACATTACATTACATTACATTACATTACATTACATTACATTACATTACATTACATACATACATACATACATACATACATACATACATTACATACATACATACATACATACATACATACATACATACATACATACATACATACATACATACAATGCATTTCGGTGAGCCTTGTGCAATTGGCGACTTCCGCATTTCGGATCAGCTCCGGGCCTCCGGAGCACTTGTCCTCGATGCGCCTCGGCCAGACAGCGGCGCAGATCGGGAGCACCGAACTCTGCCACGAGTCCAACTCCGAACTCCGCCGGTTGAGCCCTCAATACTTTCTGGCTATTTGAAACCGAGTGAAACCGTACTTTCTGTTTTGTTTCTTCTGTTTTTTTTCTTCTTCTTTTTTTTCCCGAATTGGACCCACAAGTCAAATTGTTACTTTATCTTGCTGCTGCGATCGGTAGGGAATGTGGTGGAACGAACCCAGGTTTGGGTCCCCTTAAAGGAAACCACCCCTTGGATGGTGAAAAAGGGGTCATTCCCATATTCCCTGCTGAGCGCCAGCAAGCCATGTGGGCGACCTGCCAAAATGGGTGACCCACAGTGTTGGACCCCCCCAAAATCCCAAAATGATGTTTGTCCGGTTGGTTTCCCTTCAAACAACCACAAAAAAAATGGCCACTCTGAAAAGCAAGACTTGGGATACGCCAGCTACATCCCAAAGAGCCACCTCTCCAGAGACCTCCTGTGAGCTGAAACGAGCCTGGGGGCAAGTTAGAATTCGGGTGACCGGGAAACATGTGAAGGCAAAACAAACAAAACGACAACAACAAAAAACACAAGCTGAAAACACCATGCCCTTCCGAACCCCCCTCCCAGAGTTCCGAAGTATTTTGGAGTCTTCTGCAGAGACCCCAAAGCTTTCAGCTGGGGAAACAAGCTTCCAGCAGGCTCGGAGAGGCTGCAAGTTGCACCAAAGACCCTATGGGAAGAAACTTGGTGGCCCAAGAAAACCAAAAGGACCCAAGTACCAGTTGTACCCAATACGATGTTGGCAAGGGAACCAAGCGGTAGCAACACAGGGCCAGTATGTACCTCCACTCTTACAAAGCTTGTTTTGTTGAGCCGGTGCCACGAAACAATAGTAGTAAAATGTTCACCTGGCATGACCATCTATCTTTTCAGCCCAACATGCAAAAACACTGAAAAGCACGAACAAGCTTAAGCAAATATTCCACATGAAACAAAGAAGAATGCAAACAAGGCCCCTGCAACCTGGTCGGATGCCTTGTGGTTCCCTTTTGAATTCTGCCCATCCAGGGGATATCGTCCCATCCAAAAGGGAATCAGACCGCGCAATCCGAAGTACCATCCTTGCCCATTGCCCAAAAGGGAGCCCCACCCCAGGTGAGCTTTTGGGATCGGCCCACAAGTAAAGCTTACAAAGAAATACGTCGAACAAGACACCGAGCCAAAAAAATAAGCTCAGGTGATATCCCCAACAGCATGTTATATGGTGCTCTTTGTGCTCGCACCACCCTGCAGCCCTTGCAGAACCTCGTGGAACTCTCGGTGGAACCCTGGTGGAACCCTCGTGGAACCTCACCTCCGGCCAGCCCCGCACCACCCCGGAGCCTATCTGGGCTGAGACCCCAAAGCTTTCAGCTGTGGGGGAAAAACATGAATCACGCGACAAGTTTCAGCAACCCTGATTTGTCCAGTCGCGAGCATCAACTCCACGACTCCAACCCTGGAAAAGCAGCTCAATCGGGGGCCCCAGCTGATTCAAGCGGCTCACAAGCTCCAGCGCGACAAAGAAGACCTCCACCTGGTGCTTGAAGCCCGCCAGTTGAGCGCACTGACCACGTAAAAACAGCGCAAAGACCAAGGGACCCAAAGGTTAGGGCCCGAAAAGCCTTGCAGCACGAGGTTTTCTAGGGCTGAGTGTGCAGAGAACGAAGACCCATGGGGCAAACCCAGGGTCGAAAATTGACAGACCCAAACCAAACTCAGACTCCAAAGATCCACTGGTCGGTTTCGGCCCCGCTACGATCCTGGGGCTTGATGGACCCATTCAAAAGCCTTCGATTTGCGAACCATTTCGGGTGGGTCCGACGCGGAACCATTCAGGGGTGGCTCACCTTGTGGACAACTAATTCACATTTCGTCAGAGGAGTGCAGTCCTCCGGATAACTCCAAAGTTAGCTTTAGCCTTAAACGGACGAAGAAAAGTGAAAGAAGCCACCGCCCTGCCCTGCCTGCGCCATGAAACCCACTTGGAAGCGAGTGTCCTCAGCACGATTCTTCGACCCTGCTGTTTTCGACTCCAATCTCAAACCGATCGCTTGCCTTTGGGGACACCCCGAACCCTGAGCCAAGAATTGCCTTTGTGGGGTGGGGACCATGGACCAATAGTTATACCATTGAAACTTGGTTGACGTTGGAAGGGGAGCAAAAAAATAAGTTTTAGCAGTTAAGTGGGGATTTCCCACTAAGCCACAATAAGCAAAAATGTAAATGTTTCCCAACGACAACCATGGAAAAGGGTTTTGAAGGTTCAGTTTTCAGACTGATGCCCCTTCCGTTTTTTGGGACACACGGACGAGTCCAGCTGCCCGCTGCCCTGCGATGCGCCACAGCTCCGGTCAGCCGTAAAACAAGGTTTGGTGATGAGAACGACAAATAGATCTGCAATTTTTATATATGTATAGGCATTTGTTCCAGGTTTGGTGAAATTGTTCACGGGTTTAGATCTAGCAAATACATCAACCTAGGTTGTTTTTGGTTGAGGGGAGGGGTACCACATGTATGTACACATATGTGTATATATATATATATGTACATAGAATGTAACAAATACAAAACCTCCGAAGCAACAGATACAAAACCAAGGCTTGAAAGGCTGGAGTGTTCTTGGGTTCTTCGCCACCCATGTCTTGTTCAGCACTTCTCATGTGCACCATGGTTATGGTTTTCTTGAGAATCTACTGTTATGCCTGTTGGGATCCGTGACCAACCCCCAACTCTACAACCACTGAGTACTTGTGGATGGACAACATCTTGCACCAGTTGGTAGGTGGTGTATCCCAGTTGTCATACATAGGGTTCAACCATGCCAACTGATGAAACCCCAAAGATCCGAATACTTGTAGAGGAGAATAGACACTTCTTGGTGGCTCAAAACGGGTTGGTACCCCCCCAACCAGCTTGCAAAAAGCTAAAGGTTGTGGGTCCAAAAACTGTTGAGCCACAGCATTTTGGAGGAACCCCCAAAATAACTCTGAGCTCCCAAAGAATGCTCACTTGAATGGAGCCAGTGGCACACATGCCATGAATTTTTAGGGAACCTCCTCAAAACTGGCTGGTGGACATCCCACCCGAAAGATGTCCAGCAAAGGGTCCCCAATGAAAATTCGCACCAAGGCCAAGCTTCGTAGAGCAGCATCCGAGCGGCAGCGACCTGGGGCATCAGCAAATCAAGGGGGTTTGCCCCAAAAGGGGTTGCGTCGTTTGGGCACCAAGCATTTGTGGTAGCCCAGCTTTGGACAAAGCCATATTATGCGTCCCAAACAGGGGGAGCCCCAAAAGCTTGGTCGAGACAAACCCATAGTGTGACTCCAGCCTTAGCCCTTTGCGTGTGCAGCGCACCAAGCAGCTGCGCTCTAAGCCATGCCGAGTGTGCTGACCTAAGACTCCTATCGGGAGGTCGGAGTAAGGGGTTCCTTTGTTCGATGGACATGTTGAGCCATGGTGACGCCACGCTGAGCCAGCGGCAACCGTCGTGGTCGTGGTGGTGACGCCGGCAGTGGTGGTGCCAGTGGAAGCGGCGGCTGGGGTGGTGGTGGTCGTGGTGGTAGCTGTCGCCTTGGAGCCCGGTGACACAACCCAGCTGACTTTTGCTTCGACCAAGCTGCTTACAATGGTGTATTTGGGCCTTTGCTATAACCCTTCATGAAACCAGGCAGTACGGCCACATATACTTTTGTTTATGCTAGACGTTTGATCCAAAGAACTATGCAGGTTTATGTAGCACCTCACTACAATCCGAAGAATCCCTACTAGAATCGCCCTCGGCGGCTTTACACGCTGCTCAAGTCTTTGTCAGGCGAAGTCGAAGGCGCATCAAAACAGTTCTCCCTGGTGTCTCAAGACCTCACGAAGGAAAAAGCTTGAGGGACCTTCTCCGAGGCCTAGGGTAACCTTCTCGACGGGGCTTCTCGAAGTCTGAGAACCTTCCTGCATCCGTCCCACGGATCCAAGCCGCTTCTGGCTGCATCCCATCTGAGCGTGTCAGACAGATCATCTCGCAGGACGCAAACACCTCGCCATTCTCCTGCAATGCAGGGTCGGGCGAAAGCTGTTTGAACAACCAGAACCTGGTCGCGGTTGCTGGCGTCTGCGTCCAAAACCAAAAAGCGGTTGTTTCTAAACGTCTAACACGGTAGCCTCACGCTGGTATCACAGAAGGAGCCAACCCTTTCCGACAACCGAAGCCTTCAGCTTTGAAAGATTAAATTCCATGTATCTGGGGCAAAAGAAAGCCGCAAATGATAGCAACCTCAAAGGGGGGAGCTCCTGAGTAGTGGTACTAGCATCAGTATCAGTAGTCGTAGTAGCAGTAGTGTAGTAGTAGTCGCAGTCGCAGTCGCAGTCAGAGTAGTAGTGGTGGTGGTGGTGGTGGTGGTGGTGGTGGTGGTGGTGGTAGTATTAGTAGTAGCAGTAGTAGTAGCAGTAGTAGTAGTAGTAGTAGCAGTAGAAGTAGCAGTAGTAGTAGTGGTGGTGGTAGTAGTAGTAGTAGTAACAGTAGTAGCAGTAGTAGCAGCAGTAGTAGTAGTAGTAGTAGGACAGCAGCTGGATACCATTCATTCAATTACTATCGTCCTCAAGAGTCACCCAAATATGGGTGTGTCTTAAAGTACCAAAGCCATCCGAAACAGAGTCGCAAAAAAAAAAACGACCCCCAAACATAGGGGTCCTGCACTTCGTAAAAATAGATGGGTTTCCCTGGTAGATCGAACCACCAGGTAAACCAGGAATCGCCAAACCGACTTTTCAACCAGATCAACCAAGAACGACACCTATGCCCCCAAACATATGCCTGTGGGTCAAAACCAATGGTACCATTTTGGGGCAGGTGAATTCACCACCCATTTTAGAACCTATTTTGGGATTGGGATGTTTTAGTGGGGGTACGATTTGGATTTTGACCCATGGCCATATGACCCCCATGGTCACGTGCAGCTTCCGGTGACACCCCGCACTCCTCGCAGAGGCACTGCAAACCGCCCTCCGCGCATGAGCCCTGAAGCCTCGCGGCAGCCCGCACGACGTTTTCAGCCCGGGCAAAACTGAAACTCAGGCTGAAGCACGAGCTGACTGGTATCGATTGGTAGTGTCTTTTTCGACGGTACCCACTCACCCCAAAAAAAACTTAACAAACAAATCAAACAAGTGGCTCTGTTTGGTTTCCCTCTAACACTGTGGATGGACGAAATCCATTTCGCACCACGATTAATGACACCATGGTTGAAACCATCACCTTTGTTGGCATTTATGTTGAGAATCATTCCAGGGTGTCTGAACGGTGGTGCGAAATGGATTGTGCCCATCCACAGTTCCAACCCCCAGTTTGGCAACAAGCCCCCTGACCGTGAACAACATCGCCAGGCGCCAGTTGACAGGGGTTTGTCTGTACCAAATGACGGATTTTGCCCATCCACAGTTTGGGGGAGCAACCCACTTTAAAACGGAATCCGGATCACACTCCCCACTGTGGATGGACAAAATCCTGCACCGCTTGGAAACCATGGGAAACCATGGTTTGTTGGTATTTACAGGGCAATCATCCTTCCAGGGTCTCTGAGGTGGTGCAGGATTTCGTCCATCCACAGTATGAATCTACAAGATCAATTAAGAAATCCAAGTTGATGAATCTGGCTACCATGTCCTTGCAGAACTCCTGGCTCCTTAGCTGCCTTGAATAACCCCAGGTGCGTGCCTCCCTTCCAACCACCAGGTATTGGGAGTCTCTCAGTTCAGAGGGGCTCCTTTACTCTTGCGCGCAACATGCCCTTTGTGTTCTATCGGGTTTCTTGGTCCGTGGTCGACAAAAGCCACCCACGAAGGTCCCTAGGCTCGTTTTGATGAGCGCTTCAGGCAGCTTTTGCTTTTGCTTGTGAGAGGCTGGATGTGCGGCAGTTGCAAACGCGCAGGACGACATGAAAGCAGCTTTTAACTGCAAGTTTGGTGCATTGGCCCGGGCCGGAATGGGATGTTTGCGTTTTGTACTGCGCTGGAATCGGCTGTCTTGGTCTGGTTTGATACATTGCAGTTGGGTCCATAGCTTGCATGGGTTGCTCAGGCTACGAGACACGGTGAGCCACTGTGCTGGCACTTGAGCAAGGCTACCATTCATCGCTTGGCGCGACAGTAAGTCCGAAAAACAGAATTTCGCAAATGCCCACGCTGCAGCTAAGCGCAGTCCTCGAGCCAGCCGCTCGGGATGGGCTGCGGTGTTGTTCTTCGGGCTTCAGTCTCTCTGTCGATGTGTGTTTTTTTTTTTTTTTTTTTTTTTTTAAATAAGAAAAGAAAGAAAAACACTTTGCATAGGCAATACAGGACCAATGCGAACACGCGACCAACACCAGACTTCTGATTCCAACGTCTCGCCTGGGCGCGGAGCCCAAAGCGGAGACCGCCGCGCACCAGGCGCGGCAGCCGGACCGCCCGCTGCCCGCCAGAGGGCCTCGGAAGCCGCGAGCCGCCGAGCGAAATGGCCATGGGCTTTTCAACAGCCAGATCGGTTAGCCCCCGGCGAACACCGGAACGAATCCAACCACGAAAATGGGTTCTAACATGGGGGGTGAATTCACCTGCCCCAACGTGGGATCCCATTGGTGTTGACGGCCAAATGGACAGACGGTGCGGCTAACCCCAAGGTCCTACTTGGCCATGGGCTTCTCAAAATCCAAATCGTAAATCCAGTGAACATGCCAATCCCGAAATAGGTTATAAAATGGGGGGGTGAATTCACCTGCCCCAAAATGGTACCGTTGGTTTCGACCCACAGCCACTTGTTTTTGGTGAGTGTGGCCCATGTCATCCATGGCCCAAATGGTTGCGAGTGAAGCAACCATGCCAAACAATAGCTTTAGAATGGGGTGGGTACGATTAAGCCATATTACCTCATGCTGGGAGACGAAGGTGTTAGCAATTATTCTGCCACTTACATGACTTTTTCTCTGACAGTCTGAGGTTTCCAATGATGCCTTTCAGGGTAGCCCCCTCTGTTTCCCTACCGAATTCGGGAGTGTCCCATCCAATCAGCCGGGACCCCGCTGGCGGATTGCCTCAAAGCCCGTCGACACCTGGGGTTTGGGCTCCTTCAGATGCTTGTGCCCCAGGAATTCTTACATTGCGCACTTGGTGGCCTCCTTTTGGTCTTTGAAAGGCTTCCTGAACCAAAAATGGCCCTTCGGCCCCGAAGTCCGCCTGTGAATGGCTACCCCCGACGATCAAGCGCCCAAGAAGCCTTTCAGGGACCACAAACCCCTCAATAGGTCTCCCGAATTGAACTAGGGAGGTCGCCTTTCGCCGGCCCTGTCACCAAGTCCAGCTGCCAACGGCCCAACCTTCCAACCACCGTGGCCGAGGATTCAACGCGTCTGCGGCTCGCCCAAAGTGACGCTGGGTTGTCCTTTGAGTTCTTGGACTGCATTGAAAGTGCTCCACAAAGGGCGCACACACACACACACACACACACACACACACACACACACACACACACACACACACACACACTCGGTTCCATGTTTTGACTTCTGCTGATTTCCAGGAGAAGGCATCACAACCTTCTGAGAGCCAAGAAAAAAAATAAAGATAAAGCCAAACAAAACAAACGGCAATACGAAAGGCCCAAAGAGTTTACTTTCAGTTTGCTCCCATGCATCAATGAGTACCCAACTAGCAAAAAACACACTCCACCCCAAGCCCATCAGCTCGGCTCCCGGCGCGGAGCCCGCTGCGCCTCCCGGGCCTACGCGTGAGAAAGCTCCGAGTTTGGAACTCCCTGGAAATGGCAACATTCGGAGCAAAAGAGGGCTGGAAATACGCGAGTTTCAGAACGAATGCTCGAGCCCAGCCCGAACGTCAGCACATGGCTGGTGCTACGGGATCATAAAGTGGAGTGGCTTTTCTCAGAGGACTGTTCTTGCACTGGAGGGCCTAGCTCGGGATGTCCAAATCCTCCATTCCCGGAAACAATTCCATGCCAAGCTGAGTTTGACAACCAGCACGTGCTGTGGCTGGTAGGTTCGCAGAGCAGCGTTAGGTGTAAGGAAACCAAGAGGCTTTCTTGATCTTCCGCAATCTGAGGTCCACTTGCCTTCACGAAGAATTTGCCCGCGAAACAAATGAGTGAGTTGGCCATTGTCTCGAACCGCAAATTGACGAATTGACCAAGACTGCTAGACATGTTGACCGAACATCATTTGGGCTTGGGTTAGCATCAAGGATGAAAACTGGCATCAAAAGATGCTTGAAACAAACGGCAATTCCAGGTGGACCTGAAAATGGGGGGGGTGTATCAAATCAAATACTACAAGCAGCCCAACGGGACGTACAAGCCCGGTGTGAATACAATCCCTCCTGCCGAGCAGACTCGATGGCCGAAAGCAGCTCCGGCCTGAGCGAAGCCGCCGAAAAAGTTTTGGGGGTGGCCAAAGCGTGTCCCGCAATCGCGCGTCTGTTCTGCTGTTCTGCCAGTCATTCAGCGAGATGTCACGCGCCCACAGGGCTTCAAGCTGTCGACCTGCGCTTCCCCACGCTGCCTGCACCTTTCGGCCTGCGTTGCTTGCCTTCCCCATCTTGCACTTGAGGTGTTTGTGTAGCGCGCACAGCTTACGCTGCCTGCGCTGTCACTGCCTGGGTTGTTTTGCGCTGCATTCGCTGTTCACGCTGCCTGCGTTGTTTACGTTTCCTGCGCAGTTTGTGCTGTCAGTAAATTGCAGCGGTGTAAGTAGGTGCGGCAGTGTACAATATGAAATCGGAGCAGGCAGTGTACACGGTGTAAACGGTATAAAGATGTAAACTGTTTAAACGGAGTGCGAAAGGTTTTTCTGGTGTGAACTGTGCACATGGTGTTTGATCAAAAACGGTCGGCATGTTTTGCGCCCACAATGGAAAGTATTGTGCGGCGGTGCTTGCTTCATCGACAAAAACGTCGAGTCGGTCAAACCACAGAGCAGTCAATGAAACTAAAGGCTGGCATGTTGGCCACTCAGTTCAGTGGGTAAGGTCAAACCTCGCTATTTACATTCATGTGTTATATATGTGTTGCAAATGAAAGCCCCCTCCCCCCCCCAATCTGCTTTCCCTTTCTACCCATGACCCAAGTGAACTCTCATCCTTCACCCCAAGACAGTTCCCCATGACTGGCAAGCTAACCCATTCAAAGCCGGGCATCCAACATGACTGGGAAGTCGCCCTTTCGCTGCCCCATTCTGTCCATAAGGCGAGTTCCTGTGCAGATCGCAAAACATTGCCGTCCGTAAACCAACCCACTCAGCCCGCCAGTATCGGACCACCACGCCAAAAGTCCAACACCTGAAACAAGAATTGGAACACAGCCAACCCACGCAAGCGCGAAGAGGCCGGCACTGCGAGGGAAGGGATTCATCCAGGTGTACCGCAGTGAGACCTGGGCTCTTGGGCCAGCCGAGGATGTAGATGTATCCGCATTGCATGTATGAACAAGCATACGCGTGTGTATCGGTTGAAGTATGCGTGTCTGTGTGTGCGTGCGCATAGTCTGTGCATCTTTGCACGTGTATGTGAATGCATTGGGAGATAAAAGTAGAATAAAATGTGACAAAGAAGCAAACCACAAAGAAGAAATGGAAATATAATATGACAGGCGAAGAACCTCTCCTAAGGCAGAGTGTCCTCCACAAAGACGCTTTATGATTCATCAATAAACTTGTATTTATCGCAACTCCCCACAGGCCGGCCTGTCCTTTCGGAAAATCACAACCCAAAAATTGCCGTTCCCGTGAAGAAGAAGTGAATAAGAACTCCAGAACACAAAGTATTAGAAATAAGAAACATGCAGCATCAGATATAGCTCTTCCAAGATGTAGAAGAAAAAAGAATGACAGATGATGCACCACTAGAATGAAGGCAAGTAAACACCATCCATAATACACTTCTATGACAAGAAGATAACGCTAAAATACGCAGCGTTAACGTCTGATGTTACATGTAAACCTGAGAGGATCCCAGAGGTAATTTGTAATAAAACAGGAACTCCCAAAACAGAGTTTATGATCAAAGAACAAGGGTATGACAGCATGATAGCAAACGCGGTTTATTTAAAATACAAAACCACTATTCGGAACGACAACTGGGACTTCTTTGCCTTTTATTTGCACCCTGGAAACTTTTAACTTCTGCTTTTGCTTTTGTCTTTCTCTGATGTTTAACTAGCATTCCCTTGCGCTACTTTCATTTAAATGTGGCTAGTCAGGCGGTGTACTCTTGAGTCTTTATCGCCTAGTGACCACTGGCAACTCATGAAGATAGTAAGAAAATAGAGAAATAAGTGGGGGATGGAAACACAACGGCTTTTCATCCTACCTCAGCCCGCACCCATGTAATGGTTGCGTGTGGTGCTGAGGAGAAGAAGTGACGAACCAGAGACACAAGAGGAGTCTTCAGCCGCTTGTGCTGCGCTCAGTGTCAGGTAAATGCACCGGATGGCTTCTACAATGGAAAGCGCTGAATGGTGCCGAACTGCGAAAAAAATCAGGTGCAGCACAAATGGCTCGAAGATGAAGATGCTCTCCCAGAGCGAAAAGCCAACACGAGTCTTCCCGCCGAGCTGCTGGCTTCCCACCAGCACAGGAAGTGGCACCAGAGCTCCGTGAAGCGCAAGCTCCCGCAGTCCCGCGCTGCATGCCAAAGAAGGGCAAGCAAAACAGGCAGCACCACTATCCCCAGGTCAATTTGGGTGAAGAGACCGCGGGGACTCCGAAGTTGCAGTTCGATGGCGAAATCCACGACTTTGTGCGAATCGGAATGGAGCGATGGCACGCACGACGGCCTCCCACGTGAGGGTGCGGGGAGTGCAGAACTCTCCCTCCTGCCACTCCATGGGGCTATGCTTCGTGATAGCAGGCGAGTCGTGACAGAGGCACACAGCCCTATCTTGATTCAATAGCCCAGCAGCAAGCGAGATGGTGAAGTGCGTGGTGTCCAAACCAAAAAGCAAGTTACCATGCACGGCTTCCCAAAAGCCACCACGTCCATCTACAAATATAAACGAAATCCAAGGGGACAAGCGGGCGCGCGCCGCCATGCACTAGAAAACTGTGACCCACCCCAGAAGCACCCACTCAAACATGAGACTCAAATAACTCAGGACCTGCCTTGAGGAAGGAACTACGATTCTTAAATGGGGCACCAATTGAAAATTGAGTCTGAAATGCGCAAGGTGTCGAGGATCAAAGGACAAAGCTTAGCGGCAACTGGCCACACGACGCGGCAACACCAGGTGGCCACCGCCAGACGCCCATGCCCGCTCAAGCCGGACGCACGTCGCACCGACCAACTCACGGCTCCCGGAGCGGTGTTGGCAGCGCCACGCAACTTGGTGTAAGAAGAGTATGAGAGGAACGAAGCAGGCTGCATTCTACAAATGGCTGCAATGGTTCAGGCTCAGCCTGCGCACTCTCTAGCGCCTGTGAAGTTGCAAAGGCTCTCTGGCGCGGAACTCGCGATAGATCTAGCAAGTCTGTAGATCCATTCCAAGCAGGTATGTAGGTATGTAGGTATGGATACGTCGGTATGTAAGTACGTTCTCCTGTGTGTATGTGGGCCTGCTGTAGCTTTCCACGCCAGGCTGGCTAGCTGACAACTTCGGCAATGGTGGAATTCGAGGCCGCAGCACTGGCATGGACGCCCAGAGCCACAGCCGCCCGCCCCACTCCCTGCGCCACTCGCCATCCTGCCAGTAGTAGCAAGGGGCGGGCTGTCTCGACGTCGCGGCCCCCATCACAGTCCAGCTACCGCGCGCTCTTGGTCGGGATCTTGTTTCGGCCGAAGCATTTATTTTTCTTTCAAGCAAACCCTCCTAGCTTCGAATTCATGCAAATGTCCTCGAACCACTGGTCGTCCGCTGTGGACAACCTCCAAAGCGTCCACGCAACCCCACCACGCGCTCGACCAGCCCGAAGCGCTCGCGCGAGACAAAGATTCCCAGGCTGATCTACCAAAACTTGCCAAACCAGTCACTGTATCTCCAGGTGGCCGGCGCTTAGCCCCAAAGCATACATTATGTGTTCGCCCACATGGTTTAGGGTCCAGGCTGCCACGTACTCATGACAAGCAATGCAAAACAGTCATCACTACTTACCTCCTGTCCGCTGGCTACCGCGTTCATAAAACAGGATCGAAGCTCGGAGCTGCTGCCTGGTCTTATAAACAGCCAAGGAGGTGCATCTCTGACAGCAGTGATGGCGGAAAGCGCTTCTTTGAAGCGGCCACACAGGAGGGGGAGCGGGGGGGGGTCGGCTGCTCGGCCTGATTTGCAGAATTTTGCGTCCAAAAAAGATGGCCAAAATTTGGGTGTCTTTTCCATCTGTCCGGGAATTGCTCGCTCGCTGCATTTTTGCAAAACCTGCGTTTTACCATGCTTTTGCAAGGTGCTTTCTGCGTTGAGCTGGCTTGTTTTGCGTGCCTTTTGTTGTCTTTTCTGGGTCAAAAAAAAACGGCTATTTCTCCGCTTCCCTTTGCTTGCTTACTGCTTGCGTGTTTCGCGCTTGGACCTGTCTCGGGATGCTGGGGATGCTGGGGGTGCTGGCGGCTCAGCAAGTACGCGAGATGCTGGGGATGCCGGGGATGCTGGGGATGTGCTGGTGCTTGGGCTTCGTCTTGAGTTCCCTGTTTTCGTGTAAGCAAGTTTTGTTTTTTCGGCGTTTTGGCTTCACAAAAGACGCCTAAAATTTAAGTGTTTTTTTGGTTTTTTTGCTTTTAGCGCTCGGCGTTCACTGGCGATCGCTTTCGGCCTGCGGGCGCTCGCTTCTTCAGTCGGTAACGACAGACACAGACGCAGATCAGAAGAGAAAAAAGGGCCGGGCGGTCCGATACTGGTTGCTCGCACATGTCCACCAAAAAAGACACCTATTTGTTAGCCGTTCTTTTTTTCCCTCAATTCAGACTTGCGCCAATGAAACCTCGGCAGGACCGGGACGGAGGGAGTGCGCTTTCCGTTGTTTGCCGACCTGGTTGACCGTACACACGCCCGCGACAATGCAAAGCTGATTTGCAAACACTTCTCAAGTCGGGCAAAGCCAAATCAGAGTGGCCGGCTTCAGAAGCACCCTGTATTGAAATGTAATAAAAGGCAATGCAACGTCACGCAACGTAACGTAACGTACGCTAACGTACCGCGACGTAACGTAATGTAGTGTAATGTAATGTAGTTTCGTGTAATGTATTGCACTGTAATGTAATGTATGTCATTTAATACAAGTAATGTAATGTCATGTAGTGTAATGTGATGTAATGTAATGCATTGTAATGTAGTGTAGTGTAGTGTAGTGTAATGTGATGTAATGTGATGTGATGTAATGTGATGTAATGCAATGTAATGTAATGTGATGTGTGTATCTTGTGCTTATACAGGTAGGCTTTCTTGGCGGATGCTGTTCGGGGGTTTCTCCATTGGAGGGCGCCCTTGGCACATGGGATCAAACTGGGGCACGAAGCTGTTCATATGGGATATGGCTGCGGCTGAATCTTTTTTGTGCCAAAATGGCACCTTGGTATATGGAACCAAAGACTAAAACCTGCGGAACCGCCCCTGGTGGTTTAATTTTCAGCCACACCCATATGTGTTTTTGTTTCTGTACGTAAGGGGTATGAGTGTGAGGGATACACAGGGCTGAGGCTCCGGCTGGCGCCTGATACCAAGATGCCATGCTCAGCACCCACCTCAGCTTTTTAGGGGTGCCTTCCAACCATCCAGGGATCCGGATCTTTCTAGAAAACCTCCACAAACCCAGGGAAAACGGATCCGGTTTTTGGTATTAGAACGATTGAAAAGAATGGAAAGGGAATCAACCCCTAGAAGATCGTACGGATTCCAGTTTTCCGCCAAAAGGCGCTTTGCCCTGGTTCCAAACTTGAGATCTTTGATCCAGCAGTGCGAGGAATCCAGCTAAAATGCATATGCCCCGCACCAAAAGGAGAACCACCCCCCAACTATTATGATGCTCCAAATTCCAGTCAAAAAAAAACAAAAGATCGATCGAGCTTGCTACAAGCAGAGATTGGCACACTCCGGGTCTGTCTGAGGCTGGTCCCCTTCCGGTCACGTTTAAGAGACAAACCCACATATGAAACCCGCTGGTTCCGAGACCTTCAGTCCTTATTTGGAGAAAACCAGCAAACTGGGGCTGGAACATGCTGGAATGTGACTCAGACTATGGGGCCCGTTTGCCAAAACCGAGAAAGTTAAAGAAAGACGAGAAAAGGATGTTTGGAATATGAAAAAATGATGTTTGAGGGGCTGGGGTAGTTTGAAATCCCTTAAAATTGGTAACACAAATCGTAAGGTTCTTGCCTCACTTCCTGAGTGGATTGGCCAACGAAAGTCCAAAGTGGAGGCCAGGGAGTGACTTCTTTCCCAAAATTTCCATTTGTGGCCAAACCCCAAAAGTGGACTTCAACCCAGGGGCGATTTCAATTTCCCCCTAAAAGGGAAAACCCCTGAGTCATAGTCAAAGCCCGGTAGTAGAATGGTCTACTCGGAACCATGTGAAGAATTAGGAAGGCGGATATCCGCCTAGCTATCTATGGCAAGGGGATTGTCCCTTACCAACCTTCATCTACCTTTGGGTTTTGAGGACGTGGCTGAGCAAACTCTTCCCCACGATCACCAGCCATCACCAGCCAGAACATCCAAACAGCAGCAACAAGTACAGCCAACCGCGCGGCGTCTTATGGCGCCACCCGGGTTTGAGTCTACGCAGGCGGAACTTCTCCCGAGGGGCCGGCGCGGACCAGCGACGACCGCGCCAGGTCCTGGCGGAAGGAGACCCGTTCCGCTTGAGGGGTTTCGCCCCCGAAAACGGCAGCTGGATGCGTCGTTCTTTTGTGGGAGACCCGTTTGATGGGTGTCGTCTCCCGGAAAAGGCGCTTGGATGCGTCGGGTTTTCGTTTTTTGTGGTTTTCAGGTCCGCCTAAAAAGGAACACCACCTGGAATCACGGGGAACAATTAAGTGGAGTTGAAGATTTGGTCTGGTCCAAAAACACGGTGAATCACGGGAGTTCTCCGAAAAAGGCTGAGTTGCAAGTTAGAGGTAGTCAAAACGATCGCCACTTTTGGAGGTTCAACTTAGGGTGGTTTGGAGGTCAGGAAGTGAGAAACCCCACTTACCCTCTGCAAGAACCAGGAGGGCTTGAACCCCCAATCCAAAACAAATAGGGGGAACCTGAGTTGCTGCTGTTGCTTGTTGAATTTGTAGACCAACAAAAACAAACACCACCAGAAGTCGCAAAACCACCACAACAAGCACCGCAAAACCTGCCGAAACAGTTGGCCACCTGACAAAAACATGATCCTTTTGGGAACCGCCCCGAAATAGTCGGCCAACCTGCCAACAACACCATCCTGTCAGAACCCGCTCTGAAGCGGTTGCCAACCTTTGTGCCCGACTTTTGGGCGGTTGGCCGACAAGTCGTTCTTGACCATTTGGACTCACCAAATTGCCGTCTGCAAACTTAGTTTGCTCAACGAATTCCCACATCATGTGGCGGGGTTGTCCACATTCGGGGGACTTGTTGGCATCCCCCTGAAAAAATCGGGGTTCCAAAAGGGGTCATATATGTTTGACAACCCCATGGGGCACATGCAAAATCTTGACCGTGGCTCAAGTCATTGAACGAGGCAGCCAAGGCGCTCTTTTCCTGACGCCCAAAAGGCCTTTCAGTCCGAAAGGCTGTTCAAAATGGGTTCTCCAATCTGATTGGGTTGATAGAAGAGGTCCGATGACCACTAGGGAAACCTCAAGACGACTTTCACCACTTGGGAGAAAACACGGCATCGTCGCTTTGGCCGACTTGCCGGTGCTAGTTGAAGAGCCCCTGGCTGCGGAGTCTCAAGGGGGCGGCGGCTGGGAGGCAGAGTCATCTCATCCGCGATTCGTCTCCGTCAAGCGCTGGTCCTGGCAGTTTGAGTCAGGACTCAGCTGCACCTCAAAATTTGAAAAGGAGAACCCCTGACAAAGGGGGACTGCTAATATGTGCCCATAGATGCGTTGGGACCCGCAACTTCTTTCGCTTTCGGCGAGAGAAAAAAACCAACCAAAAAACGACAACCCGTCCTCCACGCGCTCTCGCTTGGGTCAATCCCGGCTTTCGGATCAGCTCGCTCACGGTTCCTGCTGGATCAACACGGACCGGAGCTCGCCGGGGGACCACCAGGACCGGAAGGAACGCTGGAAAGCCTCATCCTGGGCTTCTGGTCGAATTGTCGGAGTCCTGTTCGGTGGTCTTTGGTTCTGACGGTATTCTCACAAAAGAAAGCTGTGCGCCTGGCTGTCTCGTGGGACTTTTGTTGTGGTGGTCTAGTCGTCCGGTTGCCAAGGTTCTCCAGTTGGGGGGTGTCTGGGTTGTCTGGCTGTCCAGTGTCCGAGCTTCTGCGGTCTGGTGGGTGGAAACACGGTTTGCTGGTTTTCGGGCAGTCTGGTGCTGTTTGTCCTGTCTGGCAGACCGGTTGTCCCAATTGTCTGGCTGCCCCACTGTCCAGTTGTCCGCTTGTCCGGTTCTGTTGGGCGGGCTGGTTGTGTTCTTCCAGTCCTGATTGTCCCGCTTTTATGTTTGTCTGGTTGCCTTGTTTGTCTGCTTGAGTGCTTGTTCTGGCATGTTGTCTGGTTGTCCGGTTGTCCGCTTGCCTGGTGGTGGGTTGTCTGGTTGTACGGTTGGCTGGTGTTTTAGCTATATAATGTTTCCGGCTGTCTGACTGTCTGGCTGTGGGGTTGTCTGGTTGTCTGTCTGTTTGATTGCTGAGATGTGCGGCAGTGTGATGTTCACTCTAATTCTATAGCTGTCTGGTTCTCTGATTTTCTGGTTGTCTGCTTGCCGGCTTGATTGGTTGTTGGTTGCCTGCTTGTCTGCTTGTTTAGTCGTATGTTCTTCACTTGCCTCATCTTTGGCTATCTGGTACAATGGTTGTCTGCGTGTCTGGTTGCCGGGTTATCTCAGTCTCGTGCCTCAACTGCTCCTCCTGTTCTCTGGTCCAGGCAAGGCGCGTCATAGACCACGATCCTTGGCAATGCACGCGAACTCCGTGCGTTTTGGACAGCCCTGCTTTACAGGAGCCACGGTCGAAATTCGCGGTTGCCACAAGGGACATGTGGTGCGAATCCCCCTAAATTAGCCGTCCCCAAGTTCCTCCCAAATGGACGTGAATGTCCAGCCCTACGCATGCGCCGGCCGTCTGCCATCCTCCTCGTCTTTACGCACCACAGGACTCCGCCAACAAAAAAATACACAAGACCTCAGAACTTCGGCCCGTCCGGCAGCATGACCTCGCGCTTTGTTTGCCAAGCCAGGGCGAGGCGTTCTCTTATATAAATACCTTCAAAGGCATCCTAACCACGTGAAACGTCACTTGAATCCCTCACGGGATCAAAGGGCTCCACAGCTCGAGCTCCGCTCCAAGCCACACGTCCCTAGCTGAGGTCACGCCAACTCCCCGGCGCCTCCCGCCTCCCCAAGCCGAGCCACGGCTCAGCTCCCAGAGCCGCCACCGGTCCGGGGCTTTTGAAGCTTCCGCGCCCGGAGATGCCCGGAAGCTCCGCCTGACATGTTTTTGTCAGCCCCTTCCCCAACTCAAAAAGAGTACGCCTGATCATGTTGACCCCAGATCCAGATTCGTCAACCGCAGTTTCTTCATAGGGGGGGTGTCCCTAGACCCCAAATAGAATGGAACAGCACCCTGACCAGCAGCCTGACTGCATCCTGGCAGTTTCATCAAAACCACTCAGAGCACACCAAACAGCCCTCTGACCAGCAACAGCACCTTGCCCGTATCCCCAAACAAGCACCGAAAGCCACTGCCAACGTACCTTGAGCACGTCAGAACGATCAAAACAGCCGGCCATGAATCGTGGAGCCAGGATGGGTCCTGTTTGGGACGGTCATGTAAAAAGCCAAAGGGAAGACATAAAACATGGCTATGATGCGAAGCCGCTCCCACAATAGTTTGGTGCACATAATATGCGTGCGTGTCTCATGTCCGCAAGGCAAAGAACCGTTCCGATGTTAAGGAGTGGGTCGTTTATTTTGAGACAGGCTCATTCCTTTCAAGCTCTCAAAAATCGGGCTTGGACCCCTTACCTGGCCAGCGCACGGTGTTGAACCATCCAAAAGAACCCCTCAACCGCTCAGGTCGCTGTTGCTCTCGGGCACAGACTCCTTTTGGTTTCCCCCTATGTATCAACGCGATGGAAGGCAGAGCAATCCCCTTGACCCGAGAACTTGCTCATTTGCAAGGCGCAAAGGCAGTCCCGGCTGCAACCTGCGACCCTTTTCAGGGTTTACCCACCAAAGAAACAAATGGAGAACCCGTTTAAGGGCGTTAATGGTGAACCTGCCAAACCCAAAGAGGCCAAAACCGTTGAAGAACCGAAGCACCACGTGGTTGTTGGATCGACCGCAAACCCGAAGCCAAGAAACATGGCCGTAGTTGGCCAGCAGGTACAGGAACCCAGAGTGCGATGCAACCTCAGAGAGAACTTCAGCGGAGGCCTCCTCCCTTATGGTTGAAGGGACGCAACCTCAAGTTTGAACTGGTGTTCCGGAATTGAGTTGACCCCCATTTGAGCTCTGGTGGCAACACTTACAACGGCTCTCTAGGTTCCTTACTTGTTGGTCTGCAGCCTCAGTATGTCCATTGTTTTGCATTTGCATGTTCTAGTTGTCCTGTGAATTTATGTTCTTATGTCATTATGTCATTTGTCTGAATTCAGGATGGCCCTGGTAGATGACGACAACCAACCTGAAGCCACCACCTATGCTCCACCAAACTGATCTGAAACGAGTACTCTTGGGCTTTAGACTACGGCAAACATAAGCCACAATCACATGGGTATGGGTCAAATTAAACCACCAGGGGACCGCAGGCTTTAGTCCATGTTTTCATTTACCAGGGATCCATTTTGGGTACATTTTTTTGACCCACACCCACATCCTGGTATTGAGTGGCCTACCCAAAACCAAGTTAAGAATCAGGGCTGCCGGCTGCCTGGCCATTTTTGGTTGGGACTACACCCCATCAAGTAACTACTAAGTATCCAGGTTGTGATTGTGGCTCACATGAGCAGTCAAAACTACTTTTTTACCAAAACCAGTTGAGTGCCTTGTTGTTCTTTCGGATGCACGTAGAGCAGATGGATTTTGAGTGTGAGCATCAGCCACAGAAGGACATGAGAAAATCAGGCTTTGTCCCCCGGTTGTTGTGAAAAAGTTAGAGCTCGTCCCCCGTGTCCCGAGCCCAAAATGGACCCTAGACAAATGGCAGTGGCTCAGAGAAAGGTACCATAATGGCACCTTGGGAACTGGAATCAAAGATTAACACCTGCGTAACCGTAGCTCTTAAATTTTGAGCCACACCCAAATCGGGAGATGTCGAGCGAATGCTTGCACCGAGAAGCTGCAAGCTCGCTTGCGAGGCAGAAGGGTTCCGCATCGCTGAAGATGATCCTCGAGTCAGGGTCCTCGCTACCGAACCCCGACCAAGGTTGCTGGGATATGCCTACACCGTTTTCCCCTAGGACTACCGATTTGGGGGGGCAACCATCTGGGTGTGGCTCAAAATTAAACAGGAGGGGCAAACCGCAGATTCTTGTCCATGTTTCCACTTACCGATCGGGTTCCATTTTTTGAGCCACAGCCATCTCGGTGTTGCCTGATACAAACATGAATGGCTTGGACTCTGGAGATCAAAAACAACGGGACTGTCCGCCCATCTCTGAGCTTAAGAAAGACGCAATCGAGCTGCGCATTGGGACAGTCGAGTTTCCGAATCAGGGCTGCCAGGGGGGTTGCTAAGGGCTCAACATCAAAAGGGAGGGAGGGGAATTTGCATCAATCAAGGTACGCCAGCAAATGGAGATTCGCTTACGCATGGACAAAACAATGTTGTTTTAAGCTGGTCAACAAAGGAAGAAACACGCCCATGGAACACCATTCTCAAAGAAAAAGATACCTTCACGCTTCGGTCACATAGGATACCTCTTGACAACCATTCTAAACCAGTCTATTTCTACCCAAACTAACCCATAAAAGGACACCTACTTTCTTGTAGGTTCCATGGAGATACTTTTTCAGACCAATCCCAGCGGCTCCAGGAACCTCCGGGCGCGTCTTGCGCAGCTCGCCCGCGCCTCTCGCTGCTGTGGCGCCCACAACTCGTCCTCTTCCACCAACCGGGAGAGGTCCACCTGTCCGACCAATCCGAAGCCGAGCCAAATCCGACCAAGACATGACACATGGGAAGACGCGGCCGCCGTCGGGTGGTTTGGTGGTGAAATGGACTCTATGTTGCCCACTTCATTTGGGAAATGTTCTAGATTCCAGAGATCACCGACCAAGGAATTTGAGTCTCCCTCCAAATTGGTGGTTTGGATTGGTGGTTCCCATTGAATTACCCTCAACGAGAACCAGGGCTTCAAATCCCCAAACCACCAATCTCAACCACCATCTGGAGGAAAGCTGAAAATCTACACCAACAACTGAAATGGAACATGTTGCCCACTTCCTTTGGGGTTGTTCTGGAAGCTGCTTAGAAGGGAATCTTAAATGGGATTTCAATTGTCCCGACCCGGCCCTTCTGAAAGATGGACGCCCCAAGAAAGGAACTCAGCCCCCGCCGAAGAGGAACAACCTCTTTCATGAAGTGGGGCTGGTTGTTAACGACAATCAGGGAACAACATCACCAACGGGCCTATCCACCAACACACCATGTCACCCCACATCCGACCAAACCCAACTCACCTTCCCTCCCCGGCTACCCAACTCGACCAAACCAAAGCAAGCCCACCATGCAGAGCAAAACCCACCAAAGCTGTCTATCGACACCTCCAGCCAAGTTCCATGGCGGGCGGGAGCGTCAGCAAAAGCAACCAAACCACCCACTCACCAACCCAGGCCAAGCCAAAAATCACCAACCCACATCCACTTGCTAAGCAAAAGCAACCCAAACCACCCACTCACCAACCCAGCCAAGCCAAAAATCGCCAACCCACATGCTAAGCAAAAGCAACCCAAACCACCCACTTACCCCAGCCAACCCCACCCCCCACCCACCCCAACCCCCCCCCCCCCCACCCCCCCTACTCCACCCACCCCGGCGCTCGCCTCGGGAAAGTCCTCGCGCAGCTGCCGCTTCCCGGGCCGCGCGTTGTGCGCGGACCCGGAGATCAGCTCACGCAGCTCCTGGGCCGAAGCGGCGTTCCCCCGCTGCCTTTGGAAAAAAAGGCCGGTGGAGCCTGGATCCTGGATCCTGGGAAAAAAATATATATATATATATAAATAAATAAATAAATAAATAAATAAATAAATAAATAAATATATATTAAAAAAAGGCGGAGCCTGGATCGGGTTCTTTGCACGGACAGATTCCACGGATCCTGGATCCAAGGAACCCAGATTCCAAGGAACAGATGCCACCGGACTCCACCCCCACACCCCGAACCTGCAGCCCCGGGATACTCTCTGAGCCATGTCGGTCCTCCAGCGCCAGCGCCGGAAGCTGCGGAAAGCCCAGCTCCGCCGTCTCCAGACACCGCGCCAGCGGGGAGGTCAACACCAGGCAGGCCTTGGCCTCGCGCTGGCCGCGGTGGGGCTCCACAAGTGGGGCTCAACATCACCAAGCCTGCTGTGAATGGACGAAATCCGTTCGAACCACTTTGAAACCATTGTTTGCTAGCTTTTTAGAATCAACAGTTTTCAGGGTTTCTTAGGTGTCACAGCTGACACGGTTTTAACCTAGCTGAACATCCAATTTGTTTGGCACGGGCTTTCATGGACTCCAAATGGGGAGTCCAAAGTTCCCGAGCAATTGATTGGTGATTTTCTGGAATGCGCTAGTCTGCAATCAGGTTCTGAGATGGTCCCTCTCGTATTGTCTTCCAGGGCCCTAGCAATCTGGCAATGCGGAGAGGGCAACAATTTAAAACTTGGGGAAGGCACGACACTGGTCAAAGTCCTGTTGGCCTCTATCACTCTCCGGAGTATGAGCGCCACGAGTCACCCACGCAGTGAACAACATTGAAGCAGCAATGAAAGTGATGCCAATAAAAGGTTTAAGCTTAAGACCAGACTCGATGGGAAAGCGCAAAGATCGCCAAGATGCAGGGTCTGATACAGGCAGGAGCACCAAAATTCGTATGCACCTTCCTTTAATCAACCTTTTACAGCATCTGGCTATCTGCCCACCAATCCCCATGTCCCGTTTGCGACCTTCTGCTGATACGGAAATTGGCAATCTCCGTACGGAAAGTGACCCTTGTCACCAACAAAAAACCCGCAGAAAAATGCACTCTGCATTCTTCGGCAAACATATGGGGTCCAAATCCACTTCGCACCACTTGGATGGAGTCGGTTTATCCGGGATTTGTCCACGGTGCGTGCCAAAAAAGAAAGGAGACCCCTCAAACTCATTTGTTTCCCTTTTGACGTCCCTTTAAACTTGCCGAAGGACTCGAATTGACACCTGCAAACCATCCCCTATCATGTCCTTTCTTCGGGAATCCGCCAAAACCGGTTCATTCCCAACACCTAGACTTGGTCATTCCCTACCTATACCAGCAAAGCCAAACCATTAAATCAGGCAACCCTTTGGTGGTTTCGATTGGTGGTTTGGGGATAGAGGGTAGATGGGAAACCCCTCCCTAACCACCAAACCATCAGTCCAAACCACCAAAGTGGAGGGAAACTAAAATTCCTTGGTCGGGGACCTCTGGAATCTAGAACATTTCCCAAATGAAGTGGACAACATTCATCCCATTTGTTGGTGTGGACAAAAAACTGAGGGAAGCGGATAGAAACCACTCCCTAACCACCAAACCACCAGTCCAAGCCACAAAATAGCGGGAAGCGGATGAAACCAACCGGTCGCACCTTCCCCAACCAAACGCCACGGGCCGCTTCTTTGGCCGACCGCCTGCTTTTCCTCCATGCGCTCCGCGATGGCCTGCGCCTGCCGCCGGCCTAGGCGGCTCAGCCTCGAGGGTAGCCATGTGAACCGCTCTGCTCAGGTTTTGGACTGCAGGGTGCAAGAAAGGCCGACCTTGTTTTCTCGGTTTTTTTTTCCAGCGCTCTTGGGATTTGTTTTCTGCTCCATTCCAAGCGGGATAAAAATCCCTAAATAGTATAGCACCCTGCAAGAAACCTGCATGAAACTCTACTGGAAATCCTCGTTTTCAGGACATGTTACACAACAATCCATGTGTGGTTTGTTGGTCATTCTGCAACATGTCCTGTATAAGTTCCCGCAGTTGGTTTCTATGAGGATGGGCTCCCATGAATTCATTGGAAGGGAACTTGAGTTCGAGTCAACGTCAGAAATCGGGGGGTAGTTCTCATTCCACTTGGACAGAAAGACTGGGCTTGTGACGTAGGGAACTAACCCCAGTTACCGCTAGTTGCGGCCTGGGGTCAAAGTTGTTGCTGTTCGTGAGCATCGGAAACTGTGGGTTTTCCACTCAAAGGAAAGGTGACTTTAATGGCAAAATGGGGCCAGAAAATCAGGAGGAATCCCAAAGGCCTTCAGCATGCGTGAGCTCGCTCTCAAACAGTTCTTTGGGAATGCTTTTCAGAAACATTGGGATCGACACCCAATTTTGATGGTGTAAATATTTTCCGGTAGTTGGCAAAGGGTATATGGGAAATGAAATATGAATCATCGAGCATGGTATATGGCGTACAGTGTATTCATATAGATATATACACCCTCCTTTCGGCTGGGTGTAAGAGAAACAAAAACAAAACACTTGAGCTGGGAAACTGTGAGTTGCCCCACTTCGGACTTCAGAGCCAAACGCCTACCATAAGGGCCTTGTTCTCATGCAAGACCCTTCATGGTTTGTAAGGGAAAGGCGTGAGCAATGATTCGCCTCCCCAACGTTGGATCGAACCCGTTTTGTCAAGCAAACCAAGAGGGTCGGTTCTTTGTTGCTCATACCGTGGATAGACCTGCTGAGATGGATGAAACCCTACGAGTTCAGGGGCAAACCACCCATCTAGTGGTGCAATATGTGTCCACCATATGAGCTACGGCCGAGATCCTTCGTGTATGGGTCATGGTCTTGTAATGGTTGTCTAAGCTCGCTGAGAGCTCCACGACCAGATCAAACCACCATTTTGGGGCACTGTACTCTTTTGTTCTGAGAAACACCCAAATGGGTGTGTCTTATTTAGTGGGGCCGCTCCAAGATGGCTCTTGCCCTTTTGGTTTCTCTCTTTAAAAAAGATAATATTAAACAAAAACAAAACGGGAGCCCCCAAGAAAGACAGACCCAAACCCTGGCAAAGGGTATTCGGATACCTCTTTCGTTGATGGTACCCCCCTTTGTTTACTTTTGCTGTAAGGGGAAACCAAAAAGTACAACCCACCATTTTCGGGGAGTCCAAAAGGCGTCCCCATTTTAAACCAAAAAGGAAACTATTTATTTGAAGGGTCCTTTTAAAAACAACACACACCCATTTTGGACACACCGCACAGCCCTCCCCATTTTGACACCTGCCTCGAGTTCAGCCCCGGGCTGGGCTCGCCCCGCGCCAGCGCCACGTTGTGCGCCGCCTGCCCGTGGCGCGCAAAGTGCACCGCCAGCGCGCGCGAGCGGCATACCTGGCACCCAACGTTTTACAAAACTGGCGGGTGCCCAGCAGGGAATGAGTTGGAATGACCCCTATAAACCATCACCTATGGCTGCCTTTAATGGAATCCCCAAACGGTGCATTCCCAACACCCGGAAGGTCATTCCCTACTGAGCGCCACCAAGCAAAATAGGGACCCGAAAATTGCGGTGATCCAACTTTGATTTCCATCCAAAAAAAAACAACCAGCAAGGAGGGCCACAAAGAAACACACACACACACACACACACACACACACACATGACTTTCCAAGCTTTGGTGACTTTCCTTCCTGAAGGAACCCTTCAACATACCTTTTGCGCATGCCCCGGACAACAGGCTTGCTTTTTGAAGATGGGGAACCCCTAAAAAGTGGTTGGTGGACATTCATCCCCACCCTAATGATGTCCAAAGGGATCCCAGCATGAAAGGGTGGGATCCAGGCATCGCTTAAGGACAAGGGAATCCGTGAAGAATACATGGATCCTCTAGAGCTGGCGTTTTGGTTGGACATCCTACTTCGAGGGACCCTCTTTGAGCATTTGGTTGACCCCAGCGGCCAGGCTTGGAAACTGGTCTGGGCACGGCAATCGATGCGTAAGGCTAGGAGTCCCTCTGTGAATCTCCAGGGGAGGGAAAGAATCGGGGGAGGGAGGGCTACCCGTCAGGGCCTTAAAGGGCTTGCGCTTGACTTATCCTGGGCTTGTCCAGCCCCCGCTTTTCGATGAGGGTGTCATGAGGTCCATGACGAAAGGCAATCCAAAAGATCTATCCCTCAGGAGGAGCAGTGCTGGGAATGGCGGAATCGGGGACTCCCCAGAACCTGCCCAATTGAAGCCTCCCCAAGCCCAAACCTTCTTAGCATTGGCCCCGGATTGATCATGCCCAGCGGATCCGAGTCGCCAAGTGGTGTTGACCAGGTATGTTCCTTCAAGTTGCTAGGGACGCCTTATTTGGTTGCCTAGACTTGGGCGGGTATGTTTCATTCACTGGGTTGGGTGCCCAATCCCAACTCCCAGAGGTGAATCCAGGGCCTGCCTGGGCTCTTTCGTTCAAGGCGGCTCGGTAAGGCAGCACTCGAAACGTGCTGGCAAGCTCTCCTTCCGAGTTTATGCTCTCAGCGCAGGGGCTCCGGACCGCCCAGCCAAAGTACTCTTAAAAACACCATGCGGACAGGGATGAAAAGGGCTTACATACTTGTGAGTGGACCCGGGAGATCTAGCCTGCTCGTCATGTAGGAGATCCTGACTCCAGGCTTACTAATTTCAATTGGAATACAGGATCGAGAAAAGAACCTTCCGGCGCCCAGGTGATCTCATTCTCATGAAGGATGCGAAGCAAGCTGTGCTTGAAGTATACTATATGTATGTATGTATGTATGTATGTATGTATGTATGTATGTATGTATGTATGTATGTATGTATGTATGTATGTATGTATGTATGTATGTATGTATGTATGTATGTATGTATGTATGTATGTATGTATGTATGTATGTATGTATGTATGCATGTATGTATGTATGTATGTATGTATGTATGTATGTGTATATATATGTATATATCAAGGGCTCCCGCAATCATCGGTGGTGAAACATGCCGATACGCAGAAAAAGGGTGTTGAAACTCAGCGGGCCGTCCCCCTTCTCGTGACAATAAACCCTGAATTGACCGCAAATAAAATGTTACTCGACGAACCTCATGCGGGTCCGAGCAATGGAAGGATACTCCCTTCCCAAGGTTGGTGTTTAAAGGGAAACGCGAATGGAACCCCACCGTGGAACCCACGGTAACACATAATACGCTGTTCCCAAAGGAATATGAGAAATGTTGAGTTCTGCCAACCTGATCTTCATGGCTGAAAAATCCCCTCTCATCCCGAAATCCAAATAGCCATGGTCTTGGCTCCCTTTGCAGGATTCCTCCTTGGTTGTCTCTAGATTCTCTAATCTGCAAATCACCATCCCTACCAGACCGTCGCACATCGCCGATCTCGTTTCGTCTCGTATCTCCTGGTAGCAAGAGAGCCAGCAAGAAGCACCACCTGACGCTGCTTTGAGCGGCGTCACGCTCTGGGACATGTCGTAAGCCCGAGCTCGGGTGTTTTGATGGTACAAATGACGGCTCAAATCAGAACTTGCCGGCCTGTTTGGGGGCGCAGGGTTTCCTGTTTTAAACATCCTGTTGAGAAAAGCTAACGGGGCCAGGCCCTAAACGTGTAGAAGCCCGATTGCAGGGGTCCCTGTACTTCCTCAAAAATGGAATGGGTCGAGATTGAGTTTTGGATTTTGTTTGTCTTATTTTGGGATGTTTTGTCGTTTTTTGTCTCGGCCTCTAAAAACGCGTATTCTGAGCTTGTTCGATCGAAAAGTACGTATTTTCAGGGATCTCGTCAACATCCTCAGCATCGTTTTCAACATCGCCGGGTTGGGGGGGGGTGGGCGGCAGCCCCCCCCCATGATGATTGAAAAAGTATCGATTCGATTAGGGGTGCATTTTAATCTGTTTGCAAAGGCAGGGGGGGTGGCGGGGGGGGGTGGATCAGAGAGGAACTGGTGATGCTGAGGATGCGGGAAGCCAAGGCCAAAAACCAACTGGGAAAGCAAAGGATACGAAAAGCCAAAGCCGCAAAAAAGCCAACTGCGAATGCAGAGGAAATGAAAAGCCGCCAAAAACCAGCCAAGCCCAGGCAAAGCCACAAAGGCCAAAAAGCCGAAAAGCCACCCACCCTGCAAAGCAACAAATAAAACAAAAACAAAAAACACTAAAAAAAGTGGCCCTCCAAATGGAATCGGCCAAAAGGCAACCCTTGTTCGGGGGACAGGGTTTTGTGGGGACCAAAATGGACCAAAAACATGAAACCGGACACTGGCACGCATCCAGACAGTCTTTGTGCAGAAATAAAGCTAGAAACCACCCCACTTGAAGGAACCTCACTTTCAATTTTGGCCACAAGGCGATCTTCAAACCCACCAAACAGGGGAGGTTGTTTCGAGTGTGAGTATCACTGTTTGGTCAGCGGTCCCGAAACCTAGGATTTAGATAGGTCCTGTTTTTGATTGTACTCACAAAATGAGGGGGGTCCTGCTGGTTTCCCTTTAAAAACCACCCCAAGAAGGGGTACCATCAAAGGACACACCCATATGTTCCTGTTCAACACCTTAGAACAAGGGCGAAAAGGTGGAAGTGATTTCAAAGGATCCCAGGATAGCAGGGGCTCCCTTGTGGGGTTCACCGAGCGAAGGGTTCCCAAAGTAGGGTTAGGAGACCCAAATGGGTGTGGCTCAAAATTAGACAGGAGGGGCAAACCGCAGGTTTTGGTCCATGTTTCCACTTACTGATCGGGTTCCATTTTGGTACCGGATTTTTGAGCCACAGCCAAATCCGCACAACACCCCCTCCTCAATGCGCTCCGGCAGCGCTCGCCCGAAGCGGCGCTTCCCATCGATGCGCTCGGACGCCGGCCATGCGCGCGAACGCTGGCCCTGTTGATGTGCTTCGCCAAAGCAGACTTTGCCAGTTGGTTGTGTTTGGTTGTGTTTGGTTGTTTTTTGTTGTTTGTAGTTGTTTGGGTTGTTTTTGGTTGTTTCTGCTTCGAAAATCAAGGGCGCGGGGCCCTAAAAGCCGGCCAAAACTGCACCTCGGGTTACCTGGCGAGACCAGAATCTTCCGAAGCATTGGTGTCATCGTGATGTGGCCTTGTAGGATTATGCCAATGGGTTCGGCTGCCCTTTGCCCCACGGCCGGAGCGGGAAGTGACGAGCAAGCAAGCCATCCGCGGAAGGGCCCTGAAGAGAAGAGAACAGGGGCAATCTACGCTTGTGCCCAAGCATTTGTATCGAAAATATTGCAAGGATGTTTTTTTACTTCAAAGGATTGTTGTCCTGGAGATTGACATGACAACCCTTTCAACAGATCCCAAGGTCCGCAGGCTATATGTGCCTCTGTGGCAGGTCAGCGAGCCTAATTTGAGGCACTTGCGGCCATGTTGGGTTAATTTCGTCATCGCAAGCGGATCAGTCTACTTTGGGGGGGGGCCGGTTTTAGGACAACCCCCCTTCCTTAAATACAACCCTGACCACCTAATACTTAAAGGTGACATGCGGGGGACTTCTCGTGCTTGAGTCCTTGTGTTGCTTTCAATTTGAGGCTTCAGGGTCAAAGTCTGCATGTCACAAATTGTGCACCTCTCGTGTGACACATTCCCCAGGTTTACACAAACCAGGGTTGGCCCCAGCGCTGCTCGCACATGTAGCAACTCAACCAGCCTGGCTGGTCCCCCGTACAGGGGGATGCGCAAACAAAGGGTGTATGACAGGTCAAACCATCAGTCGCGTCCCATCAGCCGACTCAGGGTGCCATGCCACAGGGTTCCCCCCGTCGCATTTTGTCGAAATGAACGAAACCCGCTCCTGATCTGTCATGACCTGGCCAGTGGATGCACTGACCCACTGGCCATCTGCCTCGGCCACCAGGGGCTAGCTGACAAGCGACCAAGGCTGAGACTTGGCTATCCCCAAAGAACCTTCCTTGCTTGTACCCTCCGAGCTCGCCATTTGCTTGTGACCCAAGCACTAGGGCTCAACTTCCGCAAGTCAGAGGTTGGGGCGTTCTTTCTGCCTCAGAGTTTTCAGCTAACACTTGGCTGTGGCCCAAAAAAGCGGTACCAAAATGGAACCCTGGTAAGTGGAAACATGGACCACAACCTGCGGTTTGCCCCCTCTGTCTAATTTTGAGCCACCCACTTGAGCCATGAGGGCCCACAGTTTGGGAACTCTGATCATAGCCTTGGGTTGGATCGCCGGGCTTACGGTGAGTCGTCGTTTACGGGCGATGGCTTTCGGCCCCTAACCCTTCCCCAAGCGATTCCTTTGGTCTCGTTGACCATCCCCAAAGAGGCAAAGGGGCGCCTTTTTTGGTCGCAAGGGTGTCCAAGTGGCTGAACAGGTTGACCCCGGATTGATCAACCTGGCGAATTGATGGGGGTGGTTTCACCCAAAGTGAAAACGAATTCCTCTCAAATGGGACAGCCAAGCCGCCGCTTAAAGCAGTCACATGCCTCTCTGATGCTTCGCAAAGCGGATTCCCCTGAACATGTTGGCCACCGGAAGCGGGAGAACTGGTTGGTTGCCTTTTGGCTTGCCTCACCATTTTGGGGGGGGGCATATAAACCCTGCCAGCAGAGGGGGGAACACCCTGTCTTTCCAATGACCCGTCCAGAAGACCACAACACAGGGGGATACGGCTGGTTTTTGAAAAGAACGGCTGAAACCAACAAGGGTCTTGGGGACAAACAAAGAGACTCCGTAAAGGAAGCCACAAGGACTGGCTTTGTGGGGGTGTCAACCAGCAGAAAAAGGCGGTCCAACGCGGTTTGACCCATCAAGCACCAACCCTGCACCGCGGCCCAGGCAAAAGGCGCCAGCGCCCAAAGGGCCCGAAGAACAAAAAGCGCCATGGCGCATTATGGGCAAAGCGCAAAGCGCCTTTCGACCAGAAACGAGGAGCCTGCTCTGCGGAGCTGTTGGTTTGTGTTGTTTGTCTTTCATGTGTTGTTTCGTCCGGTTCTGGTGTGTTTTTTGGGTGTCTTTGGCATCACTAGCCTTTTAAATCGTGTCGTCTGTTTTGATTGTTTGTTTGTGTTCAACTTTGGCCGGGAGCTTTGGCTGGTCAGAAAAGGCATGGTAGCTTGGTGTGCGACTGCCTCGACTCGATGTCTTGTGCATGCCTGAGGGTAGCCAAGCACAAGGCCTTTCGCGGATGCTAGATGGGTGCGTCTTTCTCCGAGGCTTTCCCCCAACCCACCCCCGTTTTTGCCGCACAAAAAAAGGGCCACCATTTTGGGGGGGTCCCCTAGAAAAAAGATACACCCAGATGGCCATGTGTCAAAATCCAAATCGTACCCCCAGACATCCCAATCCCCACTAAAATAGACTAAAATGGGTGTGCACCTGCCCCAAAATGGGATCCCATGAGTTTTGACCCACACCCAGATCTCTGCGAGCTGTGACTCATGGTACAGCAGTTGTCAAGGAGCGGGACACAAAGCACAGGAACCCAGAAGGAGCCAGGCGTACACCAAAAGACAAAACCAGCACAAGTCAGGCAATGGGAGCGCGCCAGCACCCAAACAGCGTGTACAAAAAAGAATCTCCAAACAGCATTTCAACCATTGAGGGGTCTTTCTTTTCTGCTTCAACACCATTCGAGGTCAGTCCTTTTGACACAAATCCAGCTCTCCTTTCGGCCCCGGCACAAAGAATCGCGCCCTTGGCCGCGGCCTTTCAAAGGAACCGGGCCATGGCCGTCTTTCGGGCCGTGGCGCGGACGAACGGGATGAACTCTGGAGCGCAAGCCGTGGATGGGAGTTTGATAAAATGGCCAGGAGTTTCCGCTTTTGAAGGCCTGCGGTTTTGCCCCCTTGTCTTCAAAGGCTCTGCGTTTCAGGGCTCTTAGGGTTCTCTCTTTTGCAGAGAAAGGCCTGTGCCCTGAACAAGGTCGCAACCGCGAAAAGGGCCCGGTGCCGTTCAAGGGGGAGACTTCATCAAAACGAAAGCAAGAATGGTGGCCGCCATTGCGCCGTAAAGTCATGGAGGTTTCACATCCCCAAGCTCGATTCGGTCTTCCGAATGGGTCCAAGTCAGCAAACTGGATGCTGGGAATTGAACCCCTCTGAAACGGTCTGCCCAAAACGGAGGAGACTAGTGAACATGGACACGGGGAAATGAAACACATCTGGTGGCGTGCGCCCAAGCAAGCCTGGCCAAAAGCAGATAGATCCATTGAGTGAGGAGGAATTCTGTCCACCTAACTTAACCACTCAACAAACAGCATGTTTCTTTACCACAAATATGTGGATACTGTGGTCTAGTTTGCTATTATTCCCGAACTGTCCAACAAATTCAAACAAAAACAAAGACTCAGACTCCCTGGTCCACGGCACAGGCCATTCCTTTGCAGTGCAAACCTCTTGCACATGCGTCCTGTACAAACTAAAACTTTGGGCTCATTGACCCGTGTGAGCCAGGGTCAAAATATGCGAAAGATACCTCTGATGCACGTGCGCAATGCCTTGATGTGTTTTAGCGGTTGAAACTTGGCTGGTCCGTGGATATTCACCATAGACTGCTGGTTAAATTTTGTTGCATATCAAAAGGACATGAGTCATTTAGCCCGTCCCCCCGTCCCCCTGTCCGTTCCAAATGAGCCATGTACCACTGACATCTTTTGACCAAACCTCATCGGAAACCTCCAATTTGCTTGTTTGTTCATTGATTTGTGGCAGCCTACGTTACGCCTAATTGCTCGTTCCCAACAAGCAGCCAGTCATATTTTGACCGAATCTCTCGTGCTAGACCACCTGGTCCCGTCACCACTTGTCAAAGCTTTCGCTGGCGCCTGGCAAGCGTGATACTCGGCTCCGGTCGCAAACGATTTGAGGTGACCTCGTGTCCATCTTGGTGAGTCAGAACAGGAAAACCAGAGAGAAAACCAAAAAGAACATCAACTGAAACACGCGTTGTTTCGAGAAAATGGCTTGGAAGGCTTGGCCACTGCTGCAACTGCCACGTCATGTATTTTACTCATGACAAACGCCTGCACCAGTTGCAAGGTAGCGTCCCAACTGGCGTACGAAATCTCTTCGCGACATCCCGGACCTTCAAGAAACGACTTTTCCGGCACATTCAAGGTCCAGCTCAATCATGACCGAACAAAAGCCGAAAGGTCCGAGCGAGAGAGAGCATGAGAGCGCGGCACGCCGCGACCGAAGACCCATAACGAAATCCTGCGTTTGGAGATCAGGTGCGCGTGGACCAAACAAAAAACAGACAGACAAACAAGCAGGAGGAAGAAGCGAAACAAGCAAGGCAACTTGGCAGCGCCGTCGCAGGCGTGCAGCCGAACAGCTGAATGAACCTCAATTCCCTTTCACTGCTGAAAACTGGATGGTCTGCTATGTATGCCTGTCTCCTACGAGCATGAACCAATGTCAGAAGATTGCCGTTGACCCGATGAACGAGTTCTAACCTTGAACAATATGTTTACGTAGATATCGCGTGTGTAAATATATATATATATATGTACATAGTGGGTCGAATTAGATGCTACACACATGATTGTCCTTTGGTGCAAGCAGGAAAAAACATGAAAAATAAAAAAGGAAAAACACTTTGAGAAACGACATAATATATCCATCCCATGGCACCCACGCGGCCACGCCTCCTCTGAGGCTGCAGCTTGAGTCCAGCGCTTCGGCGCCTCTTAGTCAGTCCAAGTGTTTTTCGCTTCGTATGCTACGGATGCCGAACTCAATATGGCCATGGGTCAAAATCCAAATCGTATTTCCAGTCAACATCCCAATCCCCACTAAAATAGACTTTAAATGAGTGGTGCACCTACCCCAAAATGGGATCCCATTGGTTTTGACCCACAGCCATATTGCAAGTAAACCAACCAGAAACCATGGCGATTCACAGGGTTTTCCCTTGTCCCCCACTGCTAGCAAACAAAACGGCCCTTCCAAAATGCCTGCTAAAGGGAGCATGACCATCGCTACCCACTCCAAGTAGCAGGACCTTTGGAGCTTTGCACATGCTCAGCTCTGCTCGCCGGGTACGCCCTTTGATGGGAGAGCAGATACAACAATGCGCTCCAACGAGGAAGGTATAGTTTGGGGTCGCCAACTTGTTGACTCTGACAGGGAAGCTGCTTTTCAGTTGGCGCAGTGAAACCATCCAATTTGAAGCAGGGTTCTAAGAATTCCAAGCATTTGCTGGTTTAAAGAAATCGGATTCAATGGTTGTGCAAATATGGGGATACGATGTTTGGACAGACGTAGGATGCTTTTGTATGTTCCACAGGTTTGTCGGGGAACCCTCATTTTCAGAAGTTTGATGTTTGGTTTCCCCTTAAGCCAACCCCACAAACCCTCCAAGAAAGCCACACAAACACATACCAATTGAAAGCATACTTGGGCAAATGGCCGCCTTGTTCTTTTTGCATAGCCCCGCCAGTACCCTTTTGGACTTAACTGAATCAGCCCTGCTCTGTCCATCCCTGAGCTCTTTAACCCTCAAAGAGATCCAAAGAGCACAGGCTAGCCCGAAAGGTATACCGGGTGCTTCCAAAACCACGTACCAACCAAAAGAAAAGACACCCTTCTGTCCTGGGTGCACTTCGCAGGCTGCTCCAGGCCCATTTCGGAGAGAAAGCACCGCGGGGGCCGGACTTCAGCCGAGGCACGTCTTGCGGCAAACCTGGAGCGTAGCTTGGATGCCTGCGCCGAGCCAGCAGAACAATCAAGCGGAAGCCCTGGGTACGAGTTCACGCAGAACAAGATGAAGTCTCAGCTGAACAAGACCCACCCTTTGCCGGACAATTGTGAAAGTGGACGCGGGGGTGTTAGACGACCTTCAACAGACCCAATGTCGATGAAAGTGATGACAAGTTGCTCGCACGTTGCTGGAGGAAGGACTAGGGCTCGCCGTCTCGCAAACGGAGCGCAAGCAATGCGCACAAATGCCTCAGCCCGGCAGTCACAATGCTTCGAAACGACGTGGAGGGTGGTGCTCTGCTCCGCCACCCATGTTTCAGCCCTTGCGTTTGCTGTTGTTGCTGTTGTTGCTGTTGTTGTTGTGGTTGTGGTTGTGGTTGTGGTTGTGGTTGTGGTTGTGGTTGTGGTTGTGGTTGTGGTTGTGGTTGTGGTTGTGGTGGTTGTTGGTTGTTGTTGTTGTGTGTTGTTGTTGTTGTTGTTGTTGTTGTTGTTGTTGTTGTTGTTGTTGTTGTTGTGTGTTGTGTGTTGTTGTGTTGTTGTTGTTGTTGTTGTTGTTGTTGGTGTTGGTGTTGGTGTTGGTGTTGTTGTTGTTGTTGTTGTTGTTGTTGTTGTTGTTGTTGTTGTTGTTGCTGTTGTTGTTGTTGTTGTTGTTGTTGCGGTTGTTGTTGTTGCGGTTGTGGTTGCAGTTGTGGTTGTGGTTGCGGTTGTGGTTGGGGTTCTCGTTGTCGTTGTCGTTGTCGTTGTCGCTGTGGTTGTGGTTGCGGTTGTGACGGCGGTTGTGGTTGTGGTTGTCGTTGTCGTTGTGGTTGGGGTTGTCGTTGTCGTTGTCATTGTCATTGTCGTTGTCGTTGTCGTTGTCGTTGTCGCTGTCGCTGTCGCTGTCGCTGTCACTGTCGCTGTAGCTGTCGCTGTCGCTGTCGCTGTCGCCGTCGCCGTCGCCGTCCCCGTCCCCGTCGCCGTCGCCGTCGCCGTCGCCGTCGCCGTCCCCGTCGCTGTCGCTGTCGCTGTCGCTGTCGCTGTCGCTGTTGCCGTTGCTGTTGCTGTTGCTGTTGCTGTCGCTGTTGCTGTTGCTGTTGTTGCTGTTGTTGCTGCTGCTGTTGTTGTTGGTGTTGTTGTTGTTGTTGTTTGCTGCTGCTGCTGCTGCTGCTGTTGCTGTTGCTGTTCTTGTTCTTGTTCTTGTTCTTGTGCTTGTTTCTTGTTCTTTCGTGTTTCGTGTTTCGTGTTTCTCGCTTCTTGCTTCTTGCTTATTGTTTCTTGTTTGTTGTTGTTGATGTTCTTGTTGCTGTTGTTGGTTGGTGGTTGGTTGTTGGTTGTTGGTTGTTGGTTGTTGGTTGTTGGTTGTTGGTTGTTGGTTGTTGTTGGTTGGTTGGTTGGTTGGTTGGTTGGTTGGTTGGTTGGTTGGTTGGTTGGTTGGTTGGTTGGTTGGTTGGTTGGTTGGTTGGTTGGTTGGTTGGTTGGTTTGGTTGGTTGGTTGGTTGGTTGGTTGGTTGGTTGGTTGGTTGGTTGGTTGGTTGGTTGGTTGGTTGGTTGGTTGGTTGGTTGGTTCGTTGGTTGGTTGGTGGGTTGGTTGGTTGGTTGGTTGGTTGGTTGGTTTTTGGTTGGTTGGTTGGTGGCGGTTGGTTGTTGTTGCTGCTGTGGTGGTGGTGGTGTTGTCGTTGTCATTGTCGTTGTCGTTGTCATTGCCCGTTGCCCGTTGCCCGTTGCCCGTTGCCCGTTGCCCGTTGCCGGTCCCGTTGCCCGTTGCCCCCGTTGCCCCCGTTGCCCGTTGCCCCCCTTAACCGTCGCCGGTTGCCGGTTGCCGGTTGTGGCTTGTGGGTTGCGAGTCGTGGGTTGTGGGTTGTGGGTTGCGGGTTGTAAGTTGTGCGTTGTGGGTTGTGGGTTGTGGGTTTTGGGTTGTGCGTTGTTCGTTGTGCGTTGTGGGTTGCGGGTTGCGGGTTGTGGGTTGTGGGTTGTGGGTTGTGGGTTGTGGCTTGTGGATTTGTTTGTTTGTTTGTTCGTTTGTTTCTTTCTTTCTTCCTTTGTTTGCTTGTTTGTTTGCTTGATTTGTGTTTCTTTGGTTTGTTTGGTTTTTTGTTTTCTGTTTTTGTTTGTTTGTCGGTTGGTTGGTTGTTTGCTTGCTTGCTTGGTTGCTTGGTTGCTTGCGGTTTGTTGTTTCTTGTTTGTGGTTTGTGGTTTGTTGTTTGTTGTTTGTTGTTTCGTGTTTGTTGTTTTTTGTTTCTTGTTTGCTGTTTGTTGTTTGTTGTTTGTTGTTTGTTGTTTGCTGTTTGTTGTTTGTTGTTTGTTGTTTTTTTGATTGTTGTTTGTTGTTTGTTGTTCGTTGTTCGTTGGATGTTGGTTGTTGGTTGTTGGTTGTTGGCTGTTGGTTGGTTGTTGGTTGTTGGCTGTTGGCTGTTGGTTGTTGATTGTTGGTTGTTGGTTGTTGGTTGTGGGTTGTGGGTTGTGGGTTGTGGGTTGTGGGTTGTGGGTTGTGGGTTGTGGGTTGTGGGTTGCGGGTTGCGGGTTGTGGTTGTGGTTGTGATGTGGTTGTTGTTGTTGTTGCTGTTGGTGGTGGTGGTGGTGGTGGTGGTGGTGGTGGTGCTGTTGGTGGTGGTGGTGGTGGTTGGTGTTGTTGGTGTTGTACGTGTTGTACGTGTTGTTGGTGTTGTTGTGTTGTTGCTGTTGCTGTCGCTGTCACTGTTGCTGTTGGTGGTGGTGGTGGTGGCGGTGATGATGTTGTTGTTGCTGCTGCTGCTGCTGTTGCTCTTGTTCTTGTTTTTGTTGCGGTGGCTGTCGTCGTCGTCCTTGAGGCGTCCATTGCGAAAGGCTCTCGAAACAGCCCGGAATTTCGGCACGGCGTGTCTCTGAGGCCTTGGCAGGCTCGGGCCGCATCGCGTTGCACCGCCTTGTCGCAGGGCAGCCTGGCTCGAGATAACTCGCGGCGCGTGCCACGCCGACCCCGGACTTTGGGGACCAAACCGGGAGGCGGAGGGTGTGGCAGGGCATTCTTATGGTTGATCTTTGAGGGAAAAGCACGCACCAAAAAAACAAACTCCTCTTCAGCTTCACACCCCTTGGCGCTTTCTGGCCCCGTTGAACATCGATCCAGTCCGCGCCCTATCCGCCGCCCCAAAGGCCTGGTGGGCTTCCGCAGGCCGTGGCGCATCCGCCAGGCCAGGACCGCCTAGGTCCCAACACTCCAAATGAAAAAACACCAGCGAAGCGCTTGTTTTTTGCAGGGCGACCATCTTGGTTTGAAGGAACACAGTTCTGTAGTTCCATGCGCGTTGACGACTTTCTCGTTTTTGCAGGGCGACCATGTTAAGGCTTGAAGGAACACAGTTCTGTAGTTCCATGGGGGCTTGACGACTTTCTCGATGGGGGTTGACAATCTTCCTCGTTTTTGCAGGGCGACCATGTTGGGGTGAGTTTGAAGGAACACAGTTCTGTAGTTCCATTGGGGTTGACGACTTTCCTCGTGTTTGCAGGGCGACCGTGTTGGTTTGAAGGAACACAGTTCTGTAGTTCCATGGGGGTTGACGACTTTCCCCGTTTTTGCAGGGCGACCATGTTGGTTTGAAGAAACACAGTTCTGTAGTTCCATGGGGGTTAACGACTTTCCTCGCTTTCCATGTTGGGGTGGGATTGAAGGGACACAGATTGCAGGGCGACCATGTTGGGGTGGAATGGACAGAACACAGTTCTGTAGCTCCATGGGGGTTGACGACTTTCCTGGTTTTTGCAGGGCGACCATGTTGGCTTGAAGGAACACAGTTTTCTAGTTCCATGGGGGTTGACGACTTTCTCGTTTTTGCAGGGCGACCATGTTGGTTTGAAGGAACACAGTTCTGTAGTTCCATGGGGGTTGACGACTTTGCTCGTTTTTGCAGGGCGACCATGTTGGGGTGAGTTTGAAGGAACACAGTTCTGTAGTTCCATGGGGGTTGACGACGTTCCTCGTGTTTGCAGGGCGACCATGTTGGTTTGCAGGAACACAGTTCTGTAGTTCCATTGGGGTTGACGACTTTCCTCGTTTTTCAGACCATGCTAGGGTGGGTTTGAAGGAACACAGTTCTGTAGTTCCATGGGAGTTGACGCCTTTCCTCGTTTTTGCAGGGCGACCATGTTGAATTGAAGGAACACAGTTTTCTAGTTCCATGGGGGTTGACGACTTTCCTCGTTCTTGCAGGGCGACCATGTTGGGGTGGGATTGAAGGAACACAGTTCTGTAGTTCCATGGGGGGTTGACGACTTTCCTCGTGTTTGCAGGGCGACCATGTTGGTTTGAACGAACACAGTTCTGTAGTTCCATGGGGGTTGACGGCTTTCTCGTTTTTGCAGGGCGACCATGTTGGGGTGGGTTTGAAGGAACACAGTTCTGTAGTTCCATGGGGGCTGGCTACTTTCTCGTTTTTGCAGGGCGACCATGTTGGGGTGGGATTGAAGGAACACAGTTCTGTAGTTCCATGGGGGTTGACGACTTTCCTCGTGTTTGCAGGGCGACCATGTTGGGGTGGGTTTGAAGGAACACAGTTCTGTAGTTCCATGGGGGTTGACGACTTTCCTCGTTTTTGCAGGGCGACCATGTTGGTTTGAAGGAACACAGTCTGTAGTTCAATGGGGGTTGACGGCTTTCTCGTTTTTGCAGGGCGACCATGTTGGGGTAGGATTGAACGAACACAGTTCTGTAGTTCCATGGGGGTTGACGACTTTCCTCGTGTTTGCAGGGCGACGATGTTGGCTTGAAGGAACACAGTTCTGTAGTTCCATGGGGGTTGACGACTTTCTCGTTTTTGCTGGGCGACCATGTTGCGGTGGGTTTGAAGGAACACAGTTCTGTAGCTCCATTGGGGTTGGCGACTTTCTCGTTTTTGCAGGGCGACCATGTTGGGGTGGGTTTGAAGGAACACAGTTCTGTAGTTCCATGGGGGTTGACGATTTTCCTCGTGTTTGCAGGGCGACCATGTTGAGGTGGGTTTGAAGGAACACAGTTCTGTAGTTCCCTGGGGGTTGACGACTTCCTCGTTTTTGCAGGGCGACCATGTTGGGTTGAGTTTGAAGGAACAAAGTTCTGTAGTTCCATGGAGGTTGACGACTGTCTCGTTTTTGCAGGGCGACCATGTTGGTTTGAAGGAACACAGTTCTGTAGTTCCATGGGGGTTGACGACTTTCCTCGTGTTTGCAGGGCGACCATGTTGGGGTGGGTTTGAAGGAACACAGTTCTGTAGTTCCATGGGGGTTGACGACTTTCCTCGTTTTTGCAGGGCGACCATGTTGGTTTGAAGGAACACAGATCTGTAGTTCCATGGGGGTTGACAACTTTCCTCGTTTTTGCAGGGCGACCATGTTGGGGTAGGATTGAACGAACACAGTTCTGTAGTTCCATGGGGGTTGACGACTATCCTCGTGTTTGCAGGGCGACGATGTTGGCTTGAAGGAACACAGTTCTGTAGTTCCATGGGGGTTGACGACTTTCTCGTTTTTGCTGGGCGACCATGTTGCGGTGGGTTTGAAGGAACACAGTTCTGTAGCTCCATTGGGGTTGGCGACTTTCTCGTTTTTGCAGGGCGACCATGTTGGGGTGGGTTTGAAGGAACACAGTTCTGTAGTTCCATGGGGGTTGACGACTGTCTCGTTTTTGCAGGGCGACCATGTTGAGGTGGGTTTGAAGGAACACAGTTCTGTAGTTCCCTGGGGGTTGACGACTTCCTCGTTTTTGCAGGGCGACCATGTTGGGTTGAGTTTGAAGGAACAAAGTTCTGTAGTTCCATGGAGGTTGACGACTGTCTCGTTTTTGCAGGGCGACCATGTTGGTTTGAAGGAACACAGTTCTGTAGTTCCATGGGGGTTGACGACTTTTTCGTTTTTGCAGGAAGACCATGTTGGGGTGGGTTTGAAGGAAAACAGTTCTGTAGTTCCGTGGGGGTTGACGACTTTCCTCGTTTTTGCAGGGCGACCATGTTGGATTGAAGGAGCACAGATCTGTAGTTCCATGGGGGTTGACGACTTTCCTCGTGTTTGCAGGGCGACGATGTTGGTTTGAAGGAACACAGTTCTGTAGTTCCATGGGGGTTGACGACTTTCTCGTGTTTGCAGGGCGACCATGTTGGGGTGGGTTTGAAGGAACACAGTTCTGTAGTTCCATGGGGGTTGACGACTTTTCTCGTTTTTCATGTTGGGGTGGGATTGAAGGAACACAGTTCTGTAGTTCCATGGGGGTTGACGACTTTCCTCGTTTTTCAGACCATGTTGGGGTGGGTTTGAAGGAACACAGTTCTGTAGTTCCATGGGGGTTGACGACATTCCTCGTTTTTGCAGGGCGACCATGTTGGTTTGAAGGAACACAGTCTGTAGTTCAATGGGGGTTGACGGCTTTCTCGTTTTTGCAGGGCGACCATGTTGGGGTGGGTTTGAAGGAACAAAGCTCTGTACTTCCATGGGGGTTGACGACTTTCTCGTTTTTGCAGGGCGACCATGTTGGGGTGGGTTTGAAGGAACACAGTTCTGTAGTTCCATGGGGGTTGACGACATTCCTCGTTTTTGCAGGGCGACCATGATGGGGTAGGGGTTAAAGGAACACAGTTCTGTAGTTCCATAGTGGTTGACGACTTTCTTGTTTTTGCCACCCCAACATGATCGCCCTGCAAAAGCGAGAAAGTCGTCAAGCCCCAATGGAACCACAGATCTGTGTTCCTTCAAACCCACCCCAACATGGTCGCCCTGCAAAAACGAGAAAGTTGTCAACCCCCATGAACTACAGAACTGTGTTCCTTCAAACCCACCCCAACATGGTCGCCCTGCAAAAACGAGGAAAGTCGTCAACCCCCATGGAACTACAGAACTGTGTTCCTTCAAACCCACCCCAACATGGTCGCCCTGGTTTGAAGGAACACAGTTCTGTAGTTCCATGGGGGGTTGACGACTTTCCTCGTTTTTGCAGGGCGACCATGTTGGGGGTGGGTTTGAAGGAACACAGTTCTGTAGTTCCATGGGGTTGACGACTTTCCTCGTTTTTGCAGGGCGACCATGTTGGGGTGGGGGTTGAAGGAACACAGTTCTGTAGTTCCATAGTGGTTGACGACTTTCTCGTTTTTGCCACCCCAACATGATCGCCCTGCAAAAGCGAGAAAGTCGTCAAGCCCCCATGGAACTACAGAACTGTGTTCCTTCAAACCCACCCAACATGGTCGCCCTGCAAAAACGAGAAAGTTGTCAACCCCCGTGAAACTACAGAACTGTGTTCCTTCAAACCCACCCCAACATGGTCGCCCTGGTTTGAAGGAACACTGTTCTGTAGTTCCATGGGGGGTTGACGACTTTAATCGTTTTTGCAGGGCGACCATGTTGGAGTGGGTTTCAAGGAAAGCACACGAAACAGCAACTCCCCTTAAACTGGCCTGGGAGGTCTGCCGAAATATGCCAATTGCGACTGCAAAGGACCTGGGGATTGATCGATTGCCTTATCATGAACATCGTTTAGATGGTTGGATGTAACACTGAAAGCCATATCCAACAGTTGAAGCACAAACCCATCTTTTCAACTTTTGGAGGCCCGCATTTCATTAGGCTCATTTGTGTAAGGAAAACTGCTTGGTCCAAGAGATCCAGGAAGATTGCAAGGTTCTAAGTGGGTGCTTGCTAACATAAGGAACAGATTTGATGATGTGCCCTCTCTTGCTCTCTGGATGGCTTCAAGCATTGATCGCGCAGCCTTCTAAGAGCGGTCAAAAAACACAAGCACCGAACACCTTTTTGGCTACGCGTCTCCCAAGCATTCTCCCGGGGTCAGCTTCCTGGCTGGACAATGTCCGGTTTTTGTTGTGGTTGCCCTCCGCTGCGCGCAAAACCTCCGAGCCCAAAACGCGGGCTATGCGCGCCTCAAGATTCCGGCCGCGAGCCTGGCTCATCCGGATGGAGGCAATGGACCTGCGCTGGCGGACGCGGAGAAAAACAAAAAAGACCCAAATGGCAGCGACAGCTCGCAGAAATCAAGGATCCACGCTCGGAGACGCGAAAAGAAAGCAGGCCCGCTAGTGCGTACTTTTGAATTCATCCCGAGGATACAAAAAAGAAATCGACCATGTTCGAGTACTTCAGATTTGCACGGTGCCAAGAAGTGATCCGTGCCTCTTGGCAGGAGTCCGCAAAGAGATCAGCGCCCCCAGATGCAGCCGGCTTTGGCCGACTTCCTCCACGCAGCGAGGGTTCAACGAGGGCAGCGCTTTCGGCGGCGGCAGTTTGGCACTAGCACCCAACACCACGGCAACCTGCGCGGTGGTGTCCGTCTCCATCTGCCAGGGGAAGATGACACGCAAAACAAACAAGACACCAAGCCAGCTGTCTCAAAGGCTAACTTCCTCTTGCACGCTGGAAAACAGCAACAATAATTTCTGTGGTTATCCCAACTGCCTTTGCCCCCTGGCTCCAACCCAACAAAAGAGCAGCATTTGCCCAAGCCGCCGAGGGCGTCTCAAGGATCGCCGCCGCCGCAAGCGCTGGCTCCTCCCTCGCCAAAACCGGCGCCTGCTCCGGCGCCGGAGGCGCCGCCGGAGGCGCCGCCGGAAGCGGCGGAGGCGCCGCGGGCGCTTCGTCCGGCGCCGGGAAGGCGTCAATCGCCTCTAAGGGCTCGGGCACAGCCGGCAGCTCCAGCACCTAAGACATCCAGGCCTCTCCCCCTTTCAGAACCCCCCAAACACGCAAGCCTCGTGTAAAGCTAGAAGAGGCCAAAATGGAAAGTGTGTCTGGGGGGGCTGTGGTCGGGGGCCCATAACAGTTGGTATGACAACCGCCTGTTCGACCCACTCAGGCGATAAACGTGTGGCCCATTTTTGCTGACGTGGGCTGAACATCCAAGAAAGCATGCCGTGAAGGTCAAAAGGCCTCAAACACAACTTTCAGCAACCTTCCAGAAAGAAAACAATGGTTTCGCCTTCAGGCCATGTGGTCGCTTTACTCGCACCCAGGAAATCAAATTGGGCGGACGCTTTGGTGCGAATTTTGTTCATGGATTTATGCGGCGAACTTGTTTGGGGAACCAATTTTTATATGTCGGGCTAGCCCTCTCCAAACCAACAGTTGCTTTTTTAATGTTGTCAGTGACTCACATGAAGCGCGAAGGGAGGACTTTTTTAGATTGGCCCCTTTTTGAGCAGTTTGGCATCCCTCTTTATGGAACCTGCCCTTCTAGGCTAGGGATACATATTTCCAGCAAAGAAGCTCCCAAAGGACCACCCTGCACCCTCCAAATCTCCCCGAAACCCGTCAGCGAGCAACCTTCGCACCCCACCCACCCCACCCACCCCACCCGTGCCGCGTTTCCCCCCGCCCTGCACGACTCGGTCCCGCCTGCCCCACATGCGCCGAGCCCAAGTTGGGCGTACTGCAGCAGGTGGACGCGGACCAAGGCGCCGGTGGATCCGCCTTCATGGGCGGACGGGGGGAGACGTTCGTGGGTGCCCAAAAAAAGAGGGGGGAGGGGGGAGGGGGGAGGGAGGGGAGGGGGGAGGGAGGGGAGGGGGGGTGTTTGAAGGGAGAGTTGTTGCGGGCCTTGAGATGTTGGGTTTTGACTTTGCTTGCCTTTCAAAGCCGGGAACCAGGAATTTCAGGCGGTCAAAAAGGACCAACCCACGTTTCAAGTTGCAATAACCTGGCCCTTGTCCAAACAAACGGTTCCGAGGTGGTGAAGTTGAGTATGTTACAAGTTGAATCCAAAGCACCGCCACAAACAAAGCAGGGCAAGGCAGGTCAGCAAGTCGCCACGCCTCCGAACAACCTCACCCAAAATCCACGAACGGATTGCAGGCAAGCAGACAAGCCTGGCCTTATTGAGGAGTCTGTCTATTGCGTGTGTGTCTGTGTGTGTGTGTGAATGCTTGTTTGATTGGGGGATGGCAACCCATCCCTAGTTTAAGCCACACCCATTGAAAGACAAACTAAGTCACCATCAAAACCTGTTGAAGTGGTCTACCCTAAGCTCCTGGTAAAGAATTGAAAGGGCGGATATCTGCACCTATGTATATGGGCGTATCCACTTTTAGGGTACCCCCAAACTGGTGTTTGTTTGTTTGTTGTTGTTTTTTTCTGTTGGTTTGCCTTTAAAGCCCAAAAAAGGATAGCCTCAAAAAGGAGACGAGCCACCTAGTTGGGACTGGCCCTTATGCTCGGACCCGGTTTTTTGGCTTTGAGGCGCGCGCGGGCTTGTCCGGGTGCTCTATCGTCTCCTCCTCTGAAGCGTCTGCCTCAGATCGCAAGGCCCAGAGAGCCCAGTCTGTACAGTAGATGCCCTTTTGTTTGAAGGAGACGTACTGTGGATGGACCAAATCCATTTCGCACCACCAAAGAAACCCAGGAATGATGTTTCCCCTGTAAATACCAACGAACAATGGTTTCCCATGCAGGATTTCGTCTATCCACAGCATGACTGGAGTGTTACCCTCCCACTTAACACATGGAACCTGACGTTCGGGACCCGGTCCCTTGAAAAAAGGAAAATGATCTCCTGGGATTCTTTGTCAGGTTCCATGTTAATTGGTGGGGGTGCTTTAAGGAATGGAATGATGGGGTGTTGCAAGGAATGGAGTGATCAGAAGGTTCCAGGTGATTTTAATGAGAATATGGCCATTCAAATGTACTGAACGGTTGATTCTCGCGTAGCGCGTCCGAGCGGCCCAGTCGGCCTCGTTGATGATGCTCAGCACAGTCTTCTCCTGGCAACCCATTTGCCTCTCGCAAGGAAAAGCCTTTCCCAGGTTCTTGTTTTCATGCATAGCCAACGCGGGGCTTGTCAAACTTCGGGGCCATCTTTGAGGTCCCTTAGGGCGCAAGGCGCAAGGCGGCGCGAGGGCAGGACAAGTTTTGTTGAAACCGCCCCCACTGACCGGATTCCGCGAGCAGGAATCAACCCTCTCCTTGCTCCCGACCGACGGGAGCGGTGGATTTTCGGACGTTGCCTCGCTCTCCGCCTGCAGAGAGGGCCCAGGCTGTTCGATTTATCGAACATCTGCAGACTTTCTTGCAGATTACCCCTCCCCCTTCTCAAAAAAAAACGCTGGAAGTAAGCTAGGGTCAAACTTGGGGTTGAAAGAGCGGGCACCATCAAGAATCGAAGAGAAGTCAGGAAGTGGGGCACTTGTTGTCTAACCGCTCGGTGGTGCATTGCAGGATGCTGTAGGGACCCTTAAAAGTCATTCATTAAATGAGACTCAACACGCGACGGTTTTGAGGCTCAGCGTTTGTGGGCTGATTCAAAGAAAACTAAAGGAAACTATATACTCGTTTTTGGGATGGCGCACGAATAGGGCTATGCAATGAGAATACGTCGGATCAAAGCTCCTTGTCCCAGGTGAAACATCTATCTTCCCAACCATTAGTCCGTCGATCCGCCTAGGCAGGTTCCTGCCTCTTGCAAGCCTCTCATGTGAGTAGTTGCCCATATCGTTGATAGTCTGCTGGTTTAGGGAGAGGACATGGGGGGACAACAAGCCCCGAATTCCTGGGCAAATCATAAATCCCTAAAAAAAAAAAAAAGGAAAAAAAATGCTTGCAGGATACGTCGTAAATCCAACTCTAAGCACTAAACATCTCTCAAAGTCGGGTATATAGCTAACTGGTCACAGAGAAACTCCAAATCGGGCAACCCAGAAGATGGGCCAAAGCTTTATGGAATCCCTAAGAAGGGGGGTAGTCCAGGGGGCGGGGGGTCCGTCCCTCAAGAACCCTACCTCTCAACTCTCCGCCCTCCTTCTACCCCCCTTGACGAAATTCCAAACCAAACCAACCAGGGAGAAGAACACTAACACACCTCAGATCCCCCGCTAACAGTTTAACTTTGAGAGGGTTAAATTGAAACTACCTCTAAACACTAAAAGGCTAAAAAGCCAAGGAACCGGATGGCTGGGAGCTACCGAGATAAGTGGAAGTCACTGACGTTTGTAACATCTCTTCAGCGCTCACGGAACCGATCCGATCCAGGCGACCGATCCGATCCAAAAACCGCCTTGGCGATCTGCAGGATGGAGCGGATCCCATCCAGCGCCTCCTCCATCGCCGCCACCGCCGAGCCTCCGTGGAGCTTTTTTTTCTTTATTTGTTTTCCTTTTTTCCCTTTTTTTTCTTTTTTTTCCGGTGCGACCAAATGGAGTTCGATGTTCCATGGATTTTGTGTTTTCCCTGCGGTATCCCTCAAAAACCCGCAAAACGGGCACCCCCAACAAAAAGACTGACCCACCTAGGCTTTCTTGCTTTTATTTAGGCTGCGCCGGTTTACGCAAAAACATGCGTCAAAAGGCGACCCTGCACAAGGCGACCTCCCTTGGGTGTCCCTTTGAACCCTCATAAGGCCGGTGGACGAAACGTCGCGGTGCTTGCGGCGACCCTTTGAAACCAACTAGGGTACCAACTTAGCTCGGGGAAGTGGGGCCCTTTTGTTAGGGGCAACGAAGAGTCCAAAACAACAAGGGTATCTTCGAAAATGACACACTCAATATGTAAGGGTTCCGATTGCTGGAGAGGACCCAAAAGGCTTGTGCATTTAGGGAGGAAACTACCCAGCACCTGTTCTCAAGGAATTGTAGGGGTTCTGGATTGAAGGGTGCCCGAACCTTTTCGCGTCCGGTTGTCTGCTGGGATTCTCATGGAAATGACCTGCAGAGCTTCTCGATCCAAAAGAAGAAACCCCTCCTCCCTGAAAAATTCGGGGAAAATGGGCTGCCGCGCTCTTCGGAGGGCCGCTTTCGCTCAAATCAAGAACCCGGCAGTCAAAACCAATACAGCAACGGTCGTTCTTTAAAGAACGGGGAATTATAAAAAAAATGGGTTTCGGGTGGCTTCCTGGAAAGGGAGCAGAGGTCAAATTGACTTGTACGTTTTTCTACATCAAGGAAGGCCCTGAAACCGAAACCCGCCTTCTCGGTCCAGAGCGCCAAACTCGCTTCGAAGCCTCTGCAGCTTGCTCAGCATCTCTTCCCTTGGCACTGCACTGTGAGAGGCCAAGGGAAGTGGCTGAAGCTGAACCCTTCGAACATTGAACAGGGCTGTGGGCAATGGAATCCAGTTCTGTACCACAACAAGGGCCTAACCCCAAAGACTAACCCCGCATATAAGTACCCTAGTATCGCAGAAGTTGGGAAAAACCCCTTGATCCCACAACCCTCTTGAGGAACCCCACAAACAGTTCATTCAACAAAAGGAGATTCCGAATACAAACGATGGTTGCGCTAGGAAAAAAAAAGCCGCCTGAATGGACTCAATTTTGGGCCCGTTCCACGGAATGAAACATCTCCCTTTTTCCCTTCACAGATCACCCACTCTAAGGAAGCTCCATTAAAAGTCCGGAAGGGGAAACTCAAAGCGAAACGTTAAACCTGTGGTGAACGTGAGCTATGTGGGATGCATGTCAACCAACCATTTCTCGGGGACCTCCCCATTAAAACTCATTGTCAAGATTGGCGGCCCATGGACACTTGGAATGGGCCCCACTTGTATATGAATTAGAAGAGAAACCGCTCAGTCATAAGGCAAGTTCTCACTGGTTGGGACAAGCTGGTTGCAACCTCAAACTGGAATGTTGCTGTACAAATGGCTGCAAAGAGAATTGCGAAGCAAGTGCTACCACGCTGTTCTGCACAACAAACGCTGTCTCTTTCAATCTGGGCAAGTGTCATCTTCTATCTGGCCACATCTTTCAAAAAATGTGTGAAGCTTGCATGCGTGACTTTGAAAGCGCTTTTAGGAGCAATATCTGTCCGCCCATGTTTGGGAAAGGCTGATGTGCTGCTTTAACGTGCAGAAGACTTGAACACGTTTGAGGAGTCATACTGAAGGCAGGCTACGTCAGGTGAAGTGGCTTCCCTGCCTGTAACCTTGGTCGAAGTTACAACCAAGGACCCAGGAGTTGACATCCAGATCTGTTCAATCAGCCGTTTTGCCCCAGGAAAGTAGCACATTGTTTTTTTCCTCCAAGTGGGCAGCCAAGGAATGAGGAAGCTACCCCGTGGACACGACTCGATTGCCAAACACTCGCTTGTGCCCCTCCTCCTCTATCAATCGGAAAACAAAACAAAAAACTGAATTCCCATTCATCCTGTGTGGGTTGGGTCATGACACCACGTTGGCTTCGAGAAAAGAACAAAGAAACTTGCTTGAATTTGTTTGGGAAAGGGTGCGGATTCGCATCGGTGCCTAATATTTAGACCTGCAGTTCCTCCAGCTTTGTAAGTGGCCATGGGTCAAAATCCAAATCGGTTAGCCCCCAGTGAACATCAACCAATCCCCACCAAAATAGGTTCTAACATGGGTGGTGCACCTACCCCCAAAATGGTTCCAATTGTGTTGACCCACAGCTAAGTATTTGCAAGGGTCAAACCGGCTTCGAACAGATCGCCCGGGGCGCATCTCTGTGATGTTCTGCGACAGCGCGGGCGCCTGCAGGCGCGCCGCCACGCCGTTGATCTCCGCCATGAGCTCGCGGCGGCACACGCTCGCCGTCCTAGTCCGATTCGTGCGCCTTTCGAGCGCGATTCGCATGAGCCCCACCTTAGTAACCTGCAGCAACAAAAACTTGGGGAAAAGAGCAAGACATGAGCGGGCAGCGGGCAAGGACAAAGATCGGAATGTGTTTCTCCAAAAGGGCGAAATGAAAACATGGTGATTGTGGTCCCCAAAACTTCTGGGGGGTCGTTTGATGAATGCACAGGGCCACTTCTTCGGACAAGGGACATGGTCTTGGGGGTTGTTTTGGGAACCCAAGAAAACCCACCAGACTTACACGGCTATGAAGTAACGAACTTAGGATGCCATCCCCTTGGCCATTTTCTCATGAAGGGGATTCATGTGGTCGCAGAAGGTAGCCTTACCCACATTTCCACAACCGGGGCTCATGACACGGCGCCTGAGCGCCTGCAGGCCTGCAGGCCGCAAAGTACGTCTTCTGAAGCCAAACTCGGAAGCTAAAAATATCTGATTTGGGTTTGTACCATGGAAAGCAAAACTCCAAATGGCCCGAAAGGAGTGAGAGTCGCCCTTTTCGGCTGCTCCTCTTGCTATGGCTCGAAAGCAGTGACACGTGTGAGACAACGGGCTCAAGGAAATCGATTCGTCTCACTTCCAAACCCCCAATCCGTCTAGGCTTCTCAGACTGAAACAGACATGCCAGTCCCCCTCCCCCAATTGGCCTGACCCGGGAGGTCAAGTGAGACTGGGCAAGGCGCCAAGCATAGGTGTAGATGAGTAAACCACCAGCTAAACCACAAATCGCCATCTGTTCTTTTGCCAAGACAGCCAAATGGCTGTGGGTCAAAACCATAGGTGAATTCACCACCCATTTTAGGACCTATCTTGGGAAAGAGACTGGGAAAGGCGCCAAGTTTTAGGGCCAAACCTGCCACCGACCGGGACGAGTCCATCAGATCGCCAGGTGCCGGGCCTCTCCCGCGGTAACGACGCCTCCTCCGCGTCCTCCTCTGGCAAAGCTCCCAGGGCCTGCAAGACAACCCTCCGCCATTTCTTGGGTCTCAACTGAAAACCCTGTGAACCTCATATTTGGCTCTGGGTCAAAACCAATGGTACCATTTTCGGGTTGGTGCACCACCCATTTTGGTCTATTTTAGTGGGGATTGGGATGTTCACTGGGGGTACGGGACTTTGCATGGCCATATGGACAACTTCTCTCATTTTAACCCCCGCCCCCCCCCCGGAGTGATCTCAACAAAAAAGCAAATCACCTCGCCTGACACAAGGCCTGCAGCTTGCTCACGTGGAACTGGCGTTCTTCCAAGGAGACGCCCTCCTTGGTGTTCTCCACAATCGCGGTCACCGCCCTTCCTTGGTTTTTGTTGGGCATCAAAGGGGCCCCAAGGAAGGATTGTTGGTACCCCCCATCTGTTTGGAGAATTTACTCTTTTGAGGGTTTAGAGAGTTTTAGACAGGCAACATTTAGAGGTGTCAAGCTGTATTTGAGCCAATCCTCCAAAATACACTACGTGAAGTTGATCAGTCTGCAAATACAATAAGTCCAGACTCTGAAAGCGACCCCCACATGGATTTGCGCTCGGTTTGCCCCCGGCTCCGTGAGATCGTTCTGCATAAAGCAGGCACTAATAATGTACCAGGGTCCAAAGCATCTTCCTGGGGGTTGGTAATGTGGACCCCCAGGGATTTGAGGCAGTCAGTGCCAGCTCCCTTCGTCAAGTTTCTGGCAGCCAAGGTCTCCTTGGAGCACGAGACAATGGCATGGCAGGCCTGCCTGAGAATCAGCCAGTTCCTCTGCGCCTCAGCTCGCGACATGAAAGACGATTGCACGAGTAGCAACCAGAAATGTTTTGTTCTCATGTTTGGGAACGCCCCTCCCCAGATGTCAGGCAACTCTCAGTTGGTGGCTTGGTGGTTCAGGTTTGCTTCCGATCAAGTCAAAACGAACGAACTCTCAGCACAGCGCAATTGTCGCACATAACATGTCAGGAACCCAAGCAATAAACCAGCATGGAGCCCGCAACAACGCAACGGCACAGTTCCAACCATCATCATTGAGTTGTGCACATTAGTGCAAACGCCAATACTCCAGTAGCTGAGAGCAGAAGTCATGTTTATGTATAGAGAAGAAGCGCAGCGGTTTCGCTGCACAGTGAGTGTCTCTCAATTCGAGTGGGTTTGTTCCACTCTGGAGCCCGAAAAGGAGTGGGTGCTATTCTGGCTTCTCAACTCAAAAAGAAGCACTCATACTATGTCTTTACACCTATGTCAAAACTGGGATGAGTATCTTTCCTGTCCCCGCCTTTACACGGCGATCTTCTGCTTCGTCACTTCCCCGCGTACTCCCCCGCGTGGCGAGTGCCGCTGCCTGACAAGCGTGGCCAAACAACAACGGAACCCACGAGAAAAGAACCTTGATCCATTGTCTTCATTCTTTCAGCTGCACCAAACAAGGTCAACCTGTTTCTTCATCCAGCTGCCTCGTGCACCGCCGCCTGAATATGCTTCAGCTTTCGTCGTGCCTGCAACCAATGGCTTTTGCCGAATCTGCAGCTTGCAAGCCACTAGCAACTTGCGAAGGATGCGCAAACTTCCTGGCCTCACTGAAAATTCGACGCTTGGCGATAACATCGCTCATGGGTTGGCTTTCATGTGTACAGTTCAACGTGTGCTTTCAAAAATACGCGTGACAGCAAACCATATAATCCACATGCCCAAAGAAACTTGGTATTAAAAAATTACACAAAGATGACATGGTTCGTGAACATCAGCTGTCCACTGGTTTTGCGTCGCATGTCCCAGTTGCCAACGGTCACTTTGAGCCGGTCGTCCAAAAAAAAGCACCCGGGTCACCCACCGCGGCCGGCCCCTAAAGCTCCCAGCGACCTTTTTGTTTGGCATACGGATCTACGGATCCGCTTCAGAGCCAATGCTGCCAGAAGGGGAGGGTGCTGAAGTGGACCTTCTTGGCCATCCACTCCGCAGGCACCGTTCCATCCGGCAGGTTGCAATCGCTGCCCGCGACCCAGGCCCAAAAGTTCTCGCCGTAGACAATGATGTCGTCGCACTGGTGCATGGACAACACCGGCAGCCCGCACTCATAGGGCTTGGTGGGGATACACCGATGCGCGTAGATGGGGATGAGGGGGTGGGCCTTTGCCATGGCCTGGGCGTTCTCCAGGGTCCTTTCGCCCTCTGGAGCCCAGTCCCCCAGATCCTCCAGGGCCTCCTCATCCTGGGCTGTGGGAAATGGAATCCACTTCTGTGATACAAAAGGGGCAAAGACTCACCCTCCATATAAAAGGGGAGATTCCCTTGTATCACAAGGGGAAGCTTGCATTATACACCTGAACATTGCCTTGTAAATGGTAGTGTCCCTTTATTTTGGTGTTGAAAAAGCCATGTTTCAAATGGTTGCAAAATGTATCTTTTAAGGAGCCCTGTCACAGAAGTGGTTGGATCAACCCCATCCCACAACCCTGTCCTCCGGCGTGCACTCATACCGCAAAACGTCGGCCACCGAGTCGCTAATCACCTCGTCCAAGGCTAAGACGTGCCAGTTGTGCCAGGAGCCACCCACCGGGACACCCACCTGTCATAACAGGGAGCGCCCCCAAAAGGACTTCGGCGTTTTTTGGAGTTGCGTTTTCAGTCAACCCAAAAAACTTGGGTAACTCCAAAGAAGACCCGTTTTTTTGCTCCGCGCCTGCAGAAATTCCTTCAAGTCTGGCGGGAAGCGGAAATCATAGCGCTTCTCCAACTTCTCAATCTCTTCGTCGCTGAGTCCCTCGGTCATCTTGACATCACGGTTCGCGGCCGCCAACGCTGTCTGGATCCTTCGGATCTCCTCGGTAAAGTCCAACAGCACCAGCTGCGCCGACACCTGCCCAAAAAAATTGGACTCAGCTGGCCAATGGGTCTGCCTAACATTCTTGGTTCCCCAGAAAATGGACCCCTTTCCATCTACCAAAAGAATCGCCGCACCTCGGTGCCAAGGCTCTGCAACATGTCGGGGCCGGCCAGGGTGGCGTCCCCATGCACCAGCTTCACCCGCGGCAGTCTCACGTCCAAATGCGTGGCCACGCTCTGACGCAGCGAGTCCATGGACTCGCGCCCCGGAACCTCCGCGCTCCAGATCTCTTCTCCGGCAAGTCCCGTCACTTTCACCTTGACCTTCTCCTCATCCGACATGGCTCGCAAATAAACGGTTGCAGAGTTGCTCTCAAAGTTTCGAACCTCGAGGGCATGTTCGAAAGGATTTGCATCTTACACAAGTTGAACACCACATGCAGCGCGTATTCGTGTTTCAAAGCTGGTGGGTGCTTGTCTCACCTTGCGACAAAGCTCCGCTAGGTTAACGCAACATCAATGCCAAGATGTCTGTCGAAAACAAAAAAGAACTTGGGTGTGGGTCAAGCATACTGTGCGATTTTTTCCGTGACGTGCGCTAAGCGAAAACGCGAAAACCGCGAAAACCACGAAAACTGCAGAAAACGCGAAAACCGTGAAAACCGCGAAAACCGCGAAAACCACGAGAACGGTAAAACCGCGAAAACCACGAAAACCGCGAAAACGGCAAAATAAGCGAAAACTGTGAACACGCGAAAACCCACGAAAGCGGTGAAAACCGTGCAAATGACAACTTTCGCAACGCTTCCTCAATGCCAACTTTCGCGGGACATAAACCTTTGAAAAGGCGGCAAGCTCATCCCATCTTCTGTCTATCCATTTATCTATCTATGTATCTATCTATCTCTACCTAACTATCTACTTATTTGTCTATTGATCTATGTATCTGTCTATCTCTATCTCTATATCTATTTCTATCTATATCTATACCTATCTATGTGTCTACCGATCTATTTATCTATCGATCTATCTATCAGTGTGTCTATCTATCTATCTATTGATCGTATCTATCCAAATAGCATATCTATAAAATCGTTCATACCTGTCCTATCTAACTCATTGTATCCATCTTATCTACATTGTCCATTTTATCCATCTGACATTCTTGTTTTGTGCTATCTTAGCATATCTTAGCCTATCGTACCCTGCCTTGCCCAACACCATCCTATCTTATCCTATCTACCCCGTGTTGGCCTATCTTTCCGTGTCTTACCCTGTCTTGGTATCTTATCCGATGTATCGATCTGTTTGTCTATATATCTTCCCATCTCTCTATCTTATCCAGTCTTATCCTACCCTCATCCTGTCTTATCCCATCTAATCCTATTTTCCTGTGGTACCCTACCTTATCCTGTCGTACTCTACTTATTCTATTTTATCTATCTGATCTATCTTATGTATCACTTTGATCGTAACTTCCGATTTACATCGCCTACCTTGTTTTTTCTTATAATATATTATCCTGTATTAACCTTTCTTAACTTATTGTATCCTGTTTTCCTATCTTATCCCATCATATCCTATCTTGTCCTGCCTTACCCTATCTTATCATACTTCTTATCTCATATCGCCCTATCTTATTTGTCTATCTATCTACCTGTCTATCTACGGCCACAAGTCAATCTGATCCCCCGCAAGTTAATCTGACCGCCCTCACAAGCCAATCTGATGCTTCACAAGTCTTTTTGATGCTTCTGCAAGTGAACAAGTCAATCTGAACCATGTGACAAGTTTGTTTGATCCCCAGCCCAAAAAAAGGCGCATATCCCGAAGATCCGTTCCGCAAGCCATCTGCGCGTCGGGCCAAAGTGCATCCAAACAAGCCGCGCAGACATCTGCCGATTAAGCTATGGAGCACTGCTTTTCCCCAGCCGTCCCAAAAGAAACCCGGCCCAATTCCACCTGCCGCCAAAACTGACGGGAGTGGCACTGGGTTTTTTGAGTTTTTGCTAGTTTTTTGGTACTGCCACCAAAGCCGTTTTTGCAGGGCAGTTGGTTTTTTTCAACATTTAGTCAAGCACCAAGACTCCCGCGCCAAAGAGCGTTACCAGCTGGTAAGCTATCAGGTGGATGAACACGTCCGTCATCGCGCCGTTAAGTCCCTTGCAGGTGAACCAAGCCAGGTTGCCCAACGGGGCTTGGTCGAGAAGCCAGCAATGAAGCTGTGGCTGACGTTGATGTTGCGCACTTGTCATCGTACAGGAGGCTGTCCTTCTCGCAGAAAATAAATCTTCCAGCCCGCGTCGTTGCCCAAGATTGCGAAGGCGCCCGCAAGCTTCGTAACGGCGCTGTTCTTGGAATCTGCCCCCGTTGCCCAGTTCTTTGTCGGCGCTGCCTGCAAAGCTTGCCGCGCCGGAGGCAGTCAGCGTGCCCGTGGACACGTTGCCGCCGTGGTGAAAATCCCTGCGTTGGCATTGTTGCTGATTGTCAGGGTGCTGCCAGTTATTCCGGTGGCCGAGCTGTTGCTGGTGTTCCTGCAAAATTATGCGCATATGGGTAGCGGGTGAGAGCTGGGTTGGTGGACCCTGAGGGTCTGCTCATCAATTTGGGTTGTGGAACGCATCAGGTTTTGTGATTTGACAATTCATCAAAATGACTTGTGAAGGATTGGACTGGCTTGTTCGAAACAGATTGGCTTGTGAGAGGGATCTGAGTGGTTTGCGAGGAGCATTGGATTGACTTGCGAGCATCAGATTGGCTTGTGAAAGGGGTCAGATTGACTTGTTATGGCTTGGACTTTGAGCATCAGATTGGCTTGTTAGTTGTACACCGAAAAGCCATCATTCGTCACTCGTCATCCTCCTCCTCATCATCATCATCATCCATCGACCACTCACGTCGTTCATGATCAATCATAGATCCTCAATCATCCAAAACCATTGTCGCCGTCATCCATCAACCATCATCACGTTTCGCAACTGTGATCACCCTAAGCATCGTCGTCGTCATCATCCATCATCAGCATCCATCCTCACCGTCATCCATCATCGTCATCATCATCAGGGTAGTCGCATCTTCATCATCACCATAGCCGTCTTAGTTAGTGATTTTGTTAGAATGAAACGGACAATCGTCATCATCGTCGTCACCCATCATCATTATCGTCCATCATCCGTCATCAAGATCATCCTTATCAGGTTCATCATCGTCATCTTCATCATTATCCATCATCGCCCTCATCATCTCATCACCAACGTTCATCATCATCCATCATCACCACCATCATCATCATCACCATCATGGTGATCTTCCGTCATCGACCCACTTCAACTGCGCCGTCAAGGATGCGACGATGACAGTTGTCGTGGCATGGATGATCATCATCATCATCATCATCATCATCATCATCATCATCATCATCATCATCATCATCACTTTCATCACGCATCGTCATCATCATTAGACTCAGCCTCTATCTTCCGTCCGTTTCAACTCTGCGTGTGTTAGGCAGCGCTCGGGGCGCAGAGGATGTTACGATGATACTTGTCGTGGCTACATCATTGTCATCGTCCGTCATCATGATCACCATCAAACCCATGCATCATCATCACCACCCTCATCATCACCATCATCATCACATGCCATCATCATCCTCCATCATCATCGTTATCCATCATCCTCATCCATCACCAGATCCTTCACGATCGTTCTCATCATCCTCATCATCGTCAATCGTAATGACGAGCTCGTCACCGCTTGTCACCGCTTTGTCACCGCTCGCTTTTTGGTCGCAAAAGTGCGCAAAAGCGGCCCCAGTTCCCGAGTTCCGGAGTCGCAGGGTTTTCCGCGGCCCGACGACCTGGCTCGGAGCCCGACAGCCCGCCGAGGTTTCTGCCTGCGGTCCGTCAGCCCGCCGAGCTTGTCACCGCTGATGTCACCGCTCCGTCCGGCTCCGTTTTTGGTGCAAAAAGTCAGGATTCCGCTTTCGGCCCGGAAAACCGGCGAATTCCAGCCCGCCGAGGTTGTCACCGTTTGTCACCGCTTCGTCACCGCTTCGTCGCCGCTCTCTTTGGGGCCGAAAAGTGCGCAAAAGGCTTGCGGCTTCGGTCCGAAAAACCCTGGTGCGGGCCTGGTGCGGGCCTGGTGCGGGCCTGGTGCGGGCCTGGGCCCTGGTGCGGGCCTGGCTGGTGCGGACCACTGTCGCAGGAGGTTTCTGTCAATCCTGTGCCCAATACAGGATTGCCCCCCTCAATCCTGCGCTCAGCACAGGATTGCTCCACCCAATCCTGCGGCGGGCGCAGGATTGCCCTGATGCAGCACCACCAGCTCGGGCTTGGAGCTGTAGCCTCGTGCTGGAGCCGGCCCTGCTGTAGAGCTCCCAGGCCTCTGGCACGTCGTTGATGCTCAGGACAAAGGGCAGGCCGCTCGCGAAGAGCGCGTCTCGGAGCTCCGAGTGGAAGGCCAGGTCATGCCCCCGCCTCCTCGCGCCATAGTAGTTCATGCTGCGACCTGGGAAGATGTAGGGAGGATCGGCGTAGATGGCATGTCGGGGCGCCAGGCGGGGCAGAGCGCGTAGATAGGCCAGCGCATCCTGGCACCGCACGGTCACGTTAGTCGGTGGGCGCTGCAGACGCCGCACGCTGCTCAGTGCCAGCGGCCGCTGCTGTGAGAAGGAGCCCCACTTTCCCGAGAAGCTGTTGCGCAGCAGGACGTATGAGCAGGCAGCCCGACGCCCGGCGCGGCCTCTCTGTGAGCCCGGCAGGAGGCGACTGAAGTAGAAGCGCCTGTCTACCTTGCGCCCCACCAGGCGCAGCAAGGAGCGCAGGAAGACCGGGTCTTGCTTCAAGAAACAGCGCTGCAGGTTTGCGACGGGCTCGAAGGCGTCGACGCCGCGCACCTGCCTTGGGCTTGGGAGCTGGCATGGCAGCTGCCTTGGGCGCAGCCTTGGCCACGGGCGCTGCCTTGGGCACGGGCGCTGTCTTGGGCATGGGTGCTGCCTTGGCAGCTGCCTTGGGCGCTGCCTTGGTCATGGGTGCTGCCTTGCGCTTGGGTGGGGGGAGCGCACTTGCCTTGGGCTTTGCCTTTGTGGGAAATCTCACCCTCTTGGGCCGGAAGGGTGAGTCTATTTCGTATGCTGGTTTGTGGGCAGGTCGGGGATCATTTTTTTGCTCTTCGGCAGGGGCAGCACAGGCGGCTTGGGCTTGTTCTTGCTGCCCGGAGGCCTGCCTCTAGGCCTTGGCGCCGGTTGCGCTTGCTTCATCGGTTTTTTTAATAGAAAATATTTTTTTAAAAGACCTTCGGGGGATTAGACGTGATCCAAAAACAGCACGAAGGACAAGGATGAGCCCCTCAGTCGGACGACTTGCCCTTCCAGGAAGCGCAGGTGTCT